CCTCTCCCCACATGACCCCCCTTCTCCCAGATGACCTCCCCCCACCCTTACCTTTCCCATTCTACCCGAGGTTTGAGTAACATATGCTCGAGGATACAGCAGTCTTCACTGCTACATCGAGCTCACCACGCGGGCAAAAAAAAGCCGCTGAATTTTCTTTGCCTGAACATCTAGATGTCCCTTGTTTTTGCTCAGATGGGCTATCCGCTTCCAGGATGTTTATTTATGTTCCCAGAAATAAATCCGGCCAGTAATGTTGGCCTTGCGGGAAACAGAAGCATAATCGTTGTAGTTGCCACCCTGCACATCTCTCACACTGTTCTATCATTGCTATGACTCGTGCAGGCGCAAAGTTCCCGATCAAGTGGACAGCTCCGGAGGCTGCCATGTACGGCCGCTTTACCATCAAATCCGACGTCTGGTCATTCGGCATTCTTCTGACAGAGTTGGTCACACACGGGCGTATACCCTATCCAGGTAAGGCTGTCTGTTGCTCCTGCCCATTTTGGATCAAACCTCAAGAGTTGATTCACCAATCAGCATAGATTTGTGAATTTTGGTCAGTAGGGTGGGTAGGGCATACAGGGGAGCAGTGTTTCTACAATGTTGTGAAGGGCGAATTCCACCTGCCGTGAAATTTCCTAGCTAATGTCTCTCTCTAGATCCCCCTTCCCGAGCCAATCTTGGCTTCCCCGAGTCTGCCGTGGGTCGGCCTTTTAACCACACCGTTTAAACAAAAACCTGTTTCTCTGACTCTCGAAGGCATGATGAACATGGAGGTCTTGGACCAAGTGGAGCATGGGTACCGCATGCCCAAGATGTCCGGCTGCCCGGACAGCTTGTACGAGCTCATGCTCAAGTGTTGGGACAAGGACCCCGCGGCCAGGCACACCTTCGAGTTCCTGCATTCCTACTTGGACGACTACTTTGTCTCCACCGAGCCCAACTACAAAGAGGCTGAATAGAGACATTGGTAAGAAACCAGATAAAATTGTGTGTGATGCCCGAGATAGATGTTGTCCATTTGTCAGGAACTGCATTTTGACAATTATGCACAGTTTCATCTGAACTTTTGTAAAGCACCCATCAATCCAAGAGTTATCCACCAAAAAGGGTGTGAACTTGCCCGCGGTAACACCCCATGTATTTATTTGATCCAACATGGAATCATTTGTACACTTTTTCATGGAAGGGCTTGTTACTTAATTTGTCCACATAAGGAATCTCACTTTTGGCGCCTTCAACACCTTTCTGAATAGTGGATTGCTTTATATCCACAGAAGCTGTGGATCACTCCACATCAACCTCATACCTGTGTGTGGATTTGTTCATGTGCACAGCCAATGGGATTGCTGATGTAAATATGCCTACTGAATATCCACCGTTACGAGTGGACTGTTCCACATCCCCACTTAAGAGAGGCCAAGGACTGAGTGAGTTCCACGTCCTCAGTAATCTTTGAAGATGTGGAACATCACTCCGTTGTATAGCTATGCGAAGTAAAACTTAGCAGGGTGTCTGCTGTGTATTGTCCACGGAGATACAAGGTGTGGATCGGTCCATTCTGCTGTCCCAGCCGTTGTGCTGAACACATCCACAGTGCGTGGGATCCCCTATGTGGACCACCGACCCACATCCACACTTTGGCCCTGGGTTGTTGACAGCCCCAACAGCATCCGTGCATGAGACTCCGTTGATCTACTCAGTACTTGAGTCTCATGTCCGGTAGGCAGCGTTCAGGGTATGATAAGGGGTTGGCCTATTGCTGCTGCCGCACGTTACATTTACACAGGGCAACTGCTGTGAACCAAGTTGCACCCACCCTCTGTGTGGATCCCCGTACTTCCAAGTGGATTTAATGAGTAATGTTGATGAAGATTTCTATGTACATAATTTGCCAGAAACAGTTAGTACTGTGGGTAGTAGCCGTCTGATTCAGCTGTGATTTACGTTGAAATAACTCTGATTACTTTGCTAAATTTGTATCAAGTTAATGACGTCATTACTTTCCTCCATGTGCCTCTGCCCCCTGCAGAAGCAAGTCAGTCTTGCCTGGAAAAAAAAAATTTGCTTATTAAAATATACAAGCGTCTTTATGTTTAAGAAAGAGACCAGAATTTGTAAAAATGGACTGATTCGTGAAGCCCCGCCCCCTTTTTTTCTGACCAGTCACAGTTGTGATTTATGTCCGACGTGCGTGTACAAAAGTCTGACATGCGTGCATGCATGCGCCTATGATGCGCGAGGCTGAAACACATAGTGTGGTAACGGGAAAGAATGCGTGCTGAGTACCCAAGTGCACAGTGGGCGAGGCTTACTGGATCGGTCTGTTTGCCTGCTTGCTGTAGGGATGACTTCCGAATGGATGTACATGTATTAGTCTCAACTAAAATGCTACAGTAGTCTATCCCGCAAAGTTTGCATAATCCACAGCTTTTTTAAAAAGTTACCGAATCTACCAGTTGGCCCTATTGACCAAAAATATGCACCATATTTTTTACTCATTTCGCTTTTAGATAATAATAGTGGAAAGGTATGATATGCAATTTTACTAGCTGCAGAAGGTACATGTACTGGTAACAGATGCTACATTTTGTAAAATGGCCAAATTTTTGTTTTATTTTGGCTGGAGCGTCTGGAGTATTTTTCTACTTACAATATTTTTATATCTGCTGCTCAAGCAAAAGAATGGGTTGCATTTGTACATTTCTAAATAACTGAGATTTTCTGAGTATTTGCTAGATTATGTATTTTGATATTTGGAGAGTTGTGTGAATTTTTGGCGAACTGAAGCCTCAGAGTAGAGATAAATAAATGTGAATTTCAAAACTCTATTTGGCATAGTACTACAGATCAAAAGGTACTTTGCGTAGTTGATCAATTTGATGTTAATCTGTTATTTGTACTACTGATAGTTGATACATATCTTTACAAATAAATTCCTTCATGTCCTGTTTGTAAGGGCCGCATTTACACTATGTAACTACAGAGGCTATTTTTTATTACATAAGTAACCAAGATACACATCTCATTTTGAATTTTTGAGTAGAAGTGTAACGGTTCCTAGGCCGGCAAACTTCCCTGCGGATGTATATTCAGAGTGGCCGAAACGGAGTTCAACTGTTTGCCAGTTGATTTAAGTGCCTTAACATTTCAATATTGGAGGGGGGGGCAGAAAGTTTGAACTCTGTTGGATTGAGTTTGAAACTATCCATTCAGATGGGGAATTTGTGTGGGTGATACATGTATGACGAAATTGTTGATTTTGTACAGAAAGCAATTTGGCAAGCAGAGATGGTACAATTGAAAAGTACTGAAGCGAAACATTCCATTTTGGGATTCCTTCTGTCGTGGATGTGGGGCATGTTAATTGCCCCTGTTTGAAGTCCAGTTAAACCGGAAATGAGGATCGTCGACAAAGAATGGCGCTATGAATTCTTAAAACGACTAGTAATTCCAACTCTCCTTCCATTTTACTGTCTCTGGAAGAGAACTTACTTGGATATGTAATGATAAAATATATAGATCGAGTGCGCTGACTCGAGAATCCTTAAACGGCAACAATTTCCAAAGGCGTGACCCTGTTGGAATCTGAATGTTTCAAGAAATGAAAGATAGAAAAATGCAGGGCAGGGTGAATGTAGCACAGATTTGAAGTTGGTCGCTAGACTGTTATTTTCCTTTTCGGCGAAGTATTGCTTCATGTATACACAACCTTAATTTAAGTACACGTGCCTTTTTAAAGCATTCTATTCAGTTATCATCATGTACTCAGCATTGTGACTATTTTTGTATGTGCTTGTTTACGGATGCGACGGACTTATATATACAATAAACAAGATCTTCTGGTAACGGGCTTCTTAATCACGTTTGGTCATTCTGGAGTCTTTTGGGGATGGGAGGGGATAGGGACGTTTTGTTTATGAGACAGCACCCCCGGAAATGAACGTGAAACTCAAAGGTCAGATTGGCTTATAGTGCATTTAATTCTTTCCTGGGGCGGATCCAGGGGATATGGGGGCGCACTCCCCCCTTTTCACAAAAAAATGAAGGAATAAAAGTAGAAAAAGAGGGAGAGACCCAGCCCCATAAAATGTGACAGAGTAGTGAAAAAAACAGTTCTGCTTCAAGTTACCCAGCCTCTGTAGTTTTACAGCCCCTACCCTAAAAACTTTTAGTTCACGCCCCCCTTTTGGAAAACCCTGGAGCAGCCCCTGATCCAGCTCTGCGGTCCAGCTTCGATTCCCTGGCTCGGTCCACGTGTGGATTAGGTTTTCAGTCCCTACCTGATTCTGTGGGTTTTACCCAGAAGATTCCTCTGGGGTTTTCTACCCATCTGTAAAACTGTAACTGCTTCTCGTTGTTTCCTCTCCACGGGCTTCTTCGGGCTGGGAGTGCCTAGGGCACTTTTGGTGTCATTACCAGAAATAAATAAAATAGTAAAAAAATATTGCGCCCTGTTCCCTCTGTAACGTAACAACCAGTTGAGACTGGCTATAAGCCACGAAATTTTATGTGGTAATTAAGCAATTTGACCTTCATAATCCACTTTAGCAGGAGGGCATTGGCCCTAGCTGTAAAATGTAAAAAAAAAAAAATCATTGGAATTCTGTCGGACAGAATGTGAACGTAGGAGCCATTTTTATAATATACAGGCCATCCTCGTCCTTTTCTTATCTTGTCATTGTCTAGTTTAACCAGTATGACCTTTCATGTTTTTCTCGCGCATAAATTATGTTTAATTACAAACAATAGCCATAATGCAGTGTGTTGTGTTATCAATTGGCCTTAGTTCTTGCTCGTCAGTTTTTTTATGTCCAAATGAAAAGAAAATGCAGAGAGAAATGACACATCGGGAAGCAGGTGTAGGACACGGGTTGAATTAGCTGTATACGCCTGCGTAATCCAAAACCTATTTCTATTTTGGATCCACCCAAGTCGTTCGGCGCGATCTGGCTCTCCAGTCTGAACCGGATGTAAACAGTGAAGTGTAAGCTAGGCCATTTTCAATACATGCCGTTTGTTCAACAGAAGGGCTTCACTTGAATGTACTTTAGAGATTTGTGTGGAAAACTTTTTTGTGGGAAAAAACTTGTGTGAGATGGTAACGTTAGTTTTAGAAGTCCGGTCAACTCTTGGAAGATATCAGAGAATGTTGCGTGCTGAAAAAATGTCTTACATTCCAACGACAGCCAGCTAACGGCATCATCATGCTCCATGACTAGCTGTGCAAAAGTTAATGGAGGAACTTTATCAGCACCAGTGACGTGGAACAAAACTGACTCCCATATGGTGACTTTTCACGTGACTCGCACGAGAACACTTTCCACCAAATCCTAATCTTGGTGTCTTATGTCATTGGCCGATTAACTGTCTCTGTCAATCGGACCAACGGGCAAATCTGTTTGCAGACGGGTTTTTTCCCTCTTTAAAAAGAGGACTTAGCTATAATCGGAGACAGAAGACTCGCCAAGCAGCACAGATACGACTGTGTGACCACACCGGCACCCGAAACATTTAAACTTGAAAAGTGGGTCTTCAACGGAACTCTCTGGAAGCACGATCGACGACGCCTATCACTATGAAGTTCTTCATTTTGATTTCGGTGTTATTCTTTGCTTCTACGACAGGTATGCATTATATACATTACACAAAATACACTATGCTGAGTGCGTTTACTTTGTGCGTTTGTTTTTACAATGTCGTCATTTCTTCAAAAACTTCGTCATAAATTGAACAAAAGCATCACTGTGTGAAAGCCAGTGAGTTTATTGCACATAACCATTGTATTAGGTTGTGGAATATGCATAATAGTATCCCTTTGTGCCATTTGCCGCATCAAAAACGTCGTCGTCACGGTCCATGATTGAACACAATGCATTGTTTCAGCTCAGCCAATTACAATGTAAGCTAAACCGACAGAAAGACAAGCGCTGAGATGTCTCGCTTTCCTGCAGGTGCGAGCGGTGCCTCTTGCTATGGTCGATGCGACGATCCTTTCAACAGTGTTTTCAGCTGTCAATGCAATTTGGCCTGTGCCATATACGGCGACTGTTGCAACGACTACACCCTCCATTGTATGCTTGGTGAGATGCAATTTGTTCAGCCAACATGATCTTGTACAGGACTTCACTGATATAGGCGTCGCAAGAGGGAGGTAGTTTATAGGGGGGTTCATCCCCCCAAGAATATTGAAAAAAAAAAGAAGGAAAGGAAATCAAGAAATGGGGGCGAGAGGTTGAATCGGGGAATACAAAATAGCCACCAATTTACTCGAAAAACCTCAAAATGAACCTCCTTCCACTGTTAATGGTTCATGAGTTTGTTGTAGGTGTATTGCCCATGCCCCTCAACCCCCCCTCCCGGGAATTGCGTACCTACAAATCCTGGTGACGCCCATGATCACCACGTTTGTATGATTATGATTTCACCAGTGCTGGACTACAATCAGAACGTTTCGCGTCATTTCCTACTCATGTCTCATGTCGTAAAGTCATTAGCGTACATGACATCGTCATGTCAGACACAAAATGATAGGCTGACCCACTTTTTACAGACTACATGGTACTGTCAAGGAAAATATACTGATTAACATGCAGATGGTAACCCGTTTATGGTTTTTATTTGAATGGAACAAAAACAATGCAGGTTCTTGTCAGGGCCGCTGTGATAACAGTTTTGATTCAAGTCAGCCCTGCCAGTGTAACGCAGCCTGCAACACATACGACGACTGCTGCAGCGACTATGACCTCCAGTGCGCAGGTCAGTTCTATCTACAGCACGAAATATTGAAATAGGGGATGGATTTTGGGGGGCTTCCCACTGATAATGTCTGCAGAATGACGTACTTGGCATTGATGTCAGCATCATTTTGTTCCAGGCAATCCAGGCGTCCCAGGTGCGCCTACCAACATGGACGAGTTCGCCAATGCCGTGTGGAACGCAGACGTAAACCGCCTAGCCGACTCCGATTTTTCGCTCAACTTTGGTAACTACATTAGTAACTCCAATGACCAGCGGGACCTTTCGCTCAGGCCGTACGTATTTCTGTGCCAGCTAGGGCGTTTTCTTTGGTGTTCGGTAACTCATATTTCAAACAAGTCAGGGAAGCCCAACCATACAGTGTAATTCGATATACCCAGCAAGACATGGGACGGAGGGGTACCCCCCTTACAATGTCCAATCCTGTGCACACTGTTGTTCAACACATCCCCTAGATGTCTGTAAGGAATTCCTGAGAATTCGATCAAACAATGACCAACTCAAAGGTGGTGGTGGGGGGTGCTCTAGTCTCTATTCCATATCTTGCTTCATATGTAATTCGACAACCAGAATTAGAAGCCATTACTGCGGTGGTGCAATGCTCGTGGACAGGTGATACGCGCGCGTTACATGCCTCTTCGACCAATAGGATGTCGTGATTTGCCAATTGCACGCGCACCTCAAGCTGAAGAATGTGCGTGTGAAGATAAGCTATTTGCTATTTTGTACTCATACTCAGGCACAATCGCAGTGGTGAGCCTGGGTTCTGTCTTTGTCCAGTATCCAAAACTAAGAATTAGTCACAAAGTCTCAAGTTTTCAATTCGCGAGGCAGACCAGAACCAAGAATAACGTATGAAAGAAACCTATTGTTTATGTGACATGTCAATAGTGGATGGCCCCTACTTATGCATTATTTTAATCATTAATTTTTTGGGGGGAACGTCTCTTTTGTGTAGGCTGTTTTCGTCTGTGAACACAGCCTTTCTCCAGGGCGAGACATACAAGACGATGGTTGCCCTGTTCGATAACTACATCACGTCTGTGGGTCAGACCGAGATCACTACGGCAACGGAGCGAGCTGAGCAAGACGCCTTTATGGACGCCATGTTTGAGACGGAAGTCATGAATATAGCGTACGAGTACGTGAGATACTTAGGTAAGCATTGCGTTTCTGGCTCAAAAACTAGGCAAACCAAACTGTAAAAATTACCTTGACTGCCCCTACTATATACATGAAGACACTTTCGTTTGTAACATGACGATTGGACCAATTGAGCATCAATTTGTACAAAGCCAATCTGAAAGAATTCGCAAACCATAATTTGTTTTTCAGAGTGTATTGCGCCCATTTACCTTCCTGCTTGAGAAGTGCTTCAATGCGATTGTAACTAACTTAAAACAATTGGTGGTAGTCAAATGAAATCCATTGGTTACAGGTTATTACTCGAGCCTTGCCGAGTACAAGGATTTTGTGCGCGGACTGCTCTTCACGCCCTACACCCGCAAAGCCACCAGTGATACCTCGGGCTTCGAGCATGTCTTCGCCGGCGAGTGGTCGAGCACTACGTCGGTGTCCGGTTTCCACAACTGGGTGCGCATGTACCAACTGGAGCAGGAAGGGGTCATGAACTACTACGGATATATGAATATTCAAGAGGTAGGTGCACTGTGAAAACTCAATTTCAGTTTGGAATGTAAAGCAAACACTTTTTGACAACACATTTTTGTCCATCGCAAGTCCCTGCGAGTCCTCGTGTGTAAGTCCATCACAAATCCATCACAAATCACTCAGTTAATTCACAAGCTTAAATGAACTGTTCATTGTTCACCCTATGACTGACCTTGTGACGGGACTTGTGATGGACATGAAAATACGACGGAAACTTCAAATTCTCTTTCTGAAAACAGTATAAAGAATTAAATGTGACTGCATATAGGCACCACATCATGAAATAAGAAATCATGACAAACTACTGTGGTAAGATAGGGTCCAAGTCATACACAGAATCAACTAAATATTACTTTGATTCGATTACGCTGCCCCGTAATAACTACAGGAATGAAGTGCACCCGCCTTAATAGACGAGCTTTATTCTTATTTGCTCTTGACCCGTCATTTCGGACGAAAAAAAAGCCTTTCACGTCACAAAAACTAAGCTCTCCTCTTAATTAAAACATATTAACTTATTATCGTGTTATTAACTTTCGGCCTGGACTTAGAAACACGTGCTCGGTTCCCATGAGTTGAACAGGTTCTGAATGGCAGAGGGATTATTAAATGACAAACTACACCCCCCCAAGTAAAGAAGTTCATTGGATGCAATTTTGCCATCACTGGCATTGATGTAGGTAACACAGGTTACTATAAACAGTCTAATAAGGGAATTAATATGTGCTTGGTCGGTCTTAAACGTTACCACCCAAGGACACATTTTATTTATTTCCATTTGGCCCTAATAAACACTTTTTTGTTAGAGAGTCAAAAGAAGTCAATATGTGATGGATTTCCAACAATTTTGTTCAAGCATTTTACTTTCATTTTCCTGAACAGCCCCGTCCATTTTATGGTATTTTCCTTGTGCAAGTTGTACAAAATAAGCTCCTTATATGGACTTGGCGCGCGGGTGGCGAACCGCGTGCACACAGACTCAGTCTTGACCAATCAGAATCGATTAAACTGTTTCATATCCAAGTGCCGGCGCGTGGTTCACTGAGCAGGCATTATCACTTCTCAGCGGGCATCATCAATGTTAATACACGGCCAAGTTGCACGTTGTTAAATAGGGAGACTGTCTTAGGTATTTATGAGTATCTGTTCAATGGGTGTAGGCCTAACTCATGCCTATCATGCCGAAGCTGGTCATGTTGGACTATAGCATGCATCTGCCATGATATTTCGATAGGAAGAGTGTTCATGTTTTGAAATGCCAACGGAAAATTAAGCAACAAGTAATTAAGCATTCAACTTTCAAGAGGTCGCTGCGCCCGTCGGTGTTAAAAAGTAAAACATTTTTCCCTTCAGTTAACATACGCCCAAAGCACCCGTAAAGTTGCCATTGTTTCCTTTCCAACCTCAGCCTCGACAAATCCTGTACCAGTTCGAATGGGAGGGGCGAGTCAAGCCCATTACCTCCATCATGTACGGGGTCAGCCCTGAGTTCGAGGTGGCTATTTTCTCTGCTTGCTTCCTGACCAATCGCAACGCCGTGTGCCCAATGACCATCAACGGCGGCAGTGCGTCGGTGCAAACGTGGGACAAGGACGGGCAAGACGTCTTGGGATCGGCCTACTTCGTCGCGTAGGTTCCACAGGTTCTGCGTGCATGGAGCTGGGCAGATCAGAAAAGTTGTAATTTGGGGCAACCGCAGGAAGCTGTAATTAATAATACATGTGCTTATGCTTGTCCATCATGCATGTTTGGTCCAATGCACGCTCCAATCCGAAGTTACGTAATTTTTACAACGTTGTTTTAATTGCAGTTTTCAAGTTAATTTCAGAATGAAATTATAAGTAAGAGAGATTAACCATCATCAGCACGGAACACCAGTCCCGTAGTTAGAAAACCTGTAACCCGTCTTAATCAGGATCAACCAGACCTCCGAAACGCAACGTCAACATAAGATGATTCTATGTCACAATTTTCATAGAATAAGCCCACTTATATAAATTAACTAAAAATAAAGGAAATATCCCTGGATTGCGCTTCTCAGATACGTCTATACTAAATAAAACATTACATCTTGGATACGAGGTAGATAGCCACGATGGTACAGGGCACCAATTATGTGTTCTGTGTAGGGGACATTTATACACATTTATACAGATTAGTAGGTTGGTTTGCGGATTTCGTGACGTCATGACGATGTCTTTCAAAATGACGAAAAATTTCGTTTCTTACACCAAACAAGCTCCTATCTATCAAATTGGGCAAGATTCGCCTCCGTGATCCTCCTTCCCGATGCTTTGAACCAGACGTTCTTGTCGAAGAGGTTTGGGATGAGGGAGTCGGCTAGCGTCGTAGCTCGCCTGGCTCTTTCAAGCGCCTCGGGACCAAAAACAACGCCCTCTGCTTGATCCAACGTTAAATCGTCCAGATCATAGATCCTAAAATTATCTGGTATTATATTGTCAGGATAACATTGAGGTTTTTGTTAGCGTAACCTACGGCCAACATTTCGTTCGATACCACGCATTAACAGACTTGCAACTTATGCATGATCGGACCCCGTCTTTCAAGTAACTTCAGATTTTCACAGCGTTTGTCATCGTTCAAGACACCGTCATCGTGACGTAGTATATCACGTGTCCCAACTCGTTTGCTATGTTTGCTCTGGGAAACTACTGCGAACCAACGTCGAGATACGCTACTACCCTTCTTGTGAGGGCAGTTCTCCCACGTGGGTTGAGACGCTGTAGTCAAATGTCCTCAAATTAATCAAATGCAAAACATGTCCACATCACAGGGTTATAAAAAAAGGAAACGGGTATCTGAAGTCACTGGCATCATAGCTATCAAGAGTTGGTAGTTGCTTTTCAACGCTTACTGAGATTTGGAATGTTGGAATCTGGACAGTCCGACAGCCGATAAAATTGGATTCTTTGTATTGTGCTTCCATTTCTTGAAGCCGGGAGAAAAGGGGACTTTAACATAATCAAGGGACGATATCAAAACCAATGAATAATCTGAGTATTTTACCAGTTCAATGACTGCAGTTGAAGAGTGTAGTGTAAATTGTAGGGGCACGACAAGTTACGAGCACGATGTGCGCTGCACACCCAATCAAACAAGGATCCAGGAAATGAATTCTTCTTAGAATCACTTTTTGTGTATCTCTGTACTCTTCTTCCATGTATGAAGACTGTTTGACATCTTTTTTGAGTTACGTGAACTGAACGGTGCCTTTTTTCAAACATTAAAAATTTACCAAGCATTTCTGGACAAGTGAGGGCGCTTTTGCTTTGGTGTAAATCCAGGAAGACATGCATGGACCAGGTTGCATGTTTTCATGTTCAAATTGTGAACCCCAAATTTGCTATCTGGGAACATTTCTGTGAAAAAGATTTTTGGTGGATTATTGCCATATACTTACACAGCAATGAATTGCCAAAGAAAATAAAATCTGACATAGCAGTGGTTAAAAAATCTAGAAATTTCCTGTGCACAAATCAGTGCAACATTGAGATTCAGTGCCTTGGATGACATCATTGTTCTGTTCATGAATATGCAAATATGCATCAGCATTTAAACCAAACTAGCATTAAAATATGGGTTAAAACGGTAAAACAAAAATTTAAAATAAGGTTAATTGAAACCCAAAGATGCAATTTAACAGTTGATACAGGAGACATGTTAACAGTTTTGAATTGTGAGGGGGAAACCAAGAGAGTCAATGCATCAAGAGAGTTCAACAGTTTTGATACATTTATTGCAATAATGCTTGATAGAGCATAACGGTTCCCTTCATTTTACGGATAGACACGGATCGTTACAATGTCATTATATTCAGCCAATGGAGAACAACACGAATCAGCATCTACATAAATTTATTAACAGAACCATCTTGTTGAACAATCAAAAATACCCCAGCAGACAAAGCCAGGCCGAATGCCATTTGCTGATTTGCATATTATCCGTCTTACGCAGAAGCACCCCCAATCGTTTAAAGGAGCCGTACTGGTTGGGAGTGTTAGGTTTGTTGGTAGCGACGCCCACGTAACACGTGCATTTCATAGTCGTTGTGAACCAGCGAAGTGAACTGCCTGCCAGAGGAGCCTCTGTTACTTGGCAAGTTTCGCCCTCTCGGTCCAGCTGCGGGGCTCATTAGACAAGATTTGGTTAACACCAAACACTAGGTAGGGACTGGAAGTCAAGAGAGTGACTAAAATGAATTTAAATTGAAAATACGTCATCATGCAAGTCTCCTCTATTTTTTCCTTCTCAATAAATCTCCTCCTCTGGGTGTGAAGGTTAGTTCCTCCATTTTCCCTTCCAAAAATATTTTCCTGTAACCATGTCGGTTTGCCCCCTCTTAATTCTCTTCTTAAAATCCTCCTCGGTGTGTTAGATAGTCTTCGCTATAATCGCTTCTTCAAAATATCCTCCTAGGTAGTAAGGGTAGTCTACTCAATCATTTGCCCTCCAATAGCCATGATGACTTGGCTCCTTTAATTTTCCCTTCAAAAATTTTCCTCCTGAGCGTAATGTTAAGTCTCACATATTTTTTCGTTCTAAAATTATCCTCTCAGGCCTGAAGGTTGGTCTCTTCCACTTTCCCCTCTAAAAATATCCTCCTAAACATTGTTTTTGTTTGCATGGATCCGTCGAAACAACTCTTGGTAGGCCTTCATTTTTTTGATATAGCCCATTTAATGGGCTCCCTCTCCTTAACCACTTGTGCCCTTTCATGCCGGGATGGACTGAATCACTTTCCTAACTTGGCATACTCTTTCCTTGACAGTTTAAACCTTTTGCACTCCGTGTCAGTAGTTTACAACCTTTTGCATATCATTTTGTATGTCTTTAGCTGAGTAGGACTATGGCTGTATCCAATAGCCTAAGCAAACATCTCTCAAAAAAAAAAGTAACTGTCTGTAATGTTCCACAAGAAGCCACTTTTTCATATCAAGACGTCAGCAGTCCATATAGAGTGCTAAGCAGCCCACTCCTTAACATTTTTAATAATTATTTTGTTATGAAGTAGCAAAATCACTCAGATTTGGAGTTATAATCTCATATCGTACTGCCAGTTTCCCCAAAAGTACAGGTCACTGCACATACCACCAACAAAAAGGTGTGCAGTGCAGCGCGCAATAGAGAGATCCCTAGTGCAGGATTACCTGTCAACATTGCATGTCATAGTATTGTACTCTTGAACGTTTAGCAGGCATGCAGTACCCTGTAACTATGTATAGTAGTTAGCTGCTTTTGTCGCGGGGGTCTTTGTAGTACAAAACGTCTACTCTTTTGTATCCCTGTGGAAAAACACTTCTTGTCCGGTTTACTGATAAACACGAGGTGATCGAACAAATGTATAGGTTTGATGCACCATCTGTTAATGCAGAATAACAGAGTGTAATCTACATTGCAAAGGCCGAAACTACGAACTGTTGGACCCGTGTGTTGCACCATTGTGACCCAGATCGCCAAAAACAAAATAAAAAATAAACAAAACCAACATCAAAACAGAAGAATATTGTGACAAAGTATCATGACAGCTCATATCTCTTCTAAGCTACAACGCTTCATTTACATTCAAAACAGGTAAATCTCATTGTACCTCTGCACATGTCTTTATAAGTCCAAATAGCAGCCTTCTACAGCAGCCATTGCAGAATGAATAACTCATACCTGGTCTTTTTTGTTCAAATTTAATTTAAGTTTAACATCAATAACTGGTGTGACGGCGATCTGTACGTAGAGCAGTGTGCATCACCAAACATCATTGCAATTGACTGATTAAAAGTGTTCCAATAAACAAAACAAAATTATCCAGTGTTGGTAACAGATGATCCTACGCTATGGCTGTAAATCATGAACCATGAACCCCAAACTGTGGTTGATGGGATCTCATGGCACCAACTCATTCACATACGAGTATACTGGCAATGTCACGTCCCGACTCAAGGTCACACCGCCTGGTTAATCATGTAAAAAGAAACCTCATTGTTGACTTCGGCACGCAATGTATTGTGCAAAGTTACACTCGTTCTACGGAACGGCACTCTAGTCTCTGGATGAAGAAATGGACGCCATTTTTTGGCTCCTACTGTTTTCAGCACAGTAAGACGCACGACTGTGTCTCATTCATAGACACAAAGTGCTAAATCATGATAACAGATGCATTGTCAAAAATTTTAACGTCTGTCTTTGGAGGATCTAGCTGTACTGCGGAAGTCGTGTGTACGGGGCACAGTTTCATCTCTGTTAATTGTGTATTGAATGGTATAGACTAGAAGTAGTTCATGGGTCTCGAGCGGGATCAAGAGAGTGCGCAATTATCCGAGAAAAGGAGGCTCCTTCCTTCACTTTGCTGGCACACAAACGACTAAGAAATGAGTTACAATGCCTTATAAATGCACTTCGGTTACCCCGACTTTCGAGGTCACGTAACTTTGTTGCAATCGCTATGATGTTATCTGGTCTATCAGGCATGGTCATAACATGAAAGTGGTATCATTCAATTTAAAAGTTGTAGGCCTGATTGAAAATAGTTCAATAAATTTTGACCTCCGGTTACTTGTTTTTTGATACCTGCTGAAATTTGTAAAGCGTGCCCAGCTTGACACCCAGGTTTACGTTAGTAGAGGGTTTCAGGTTAATATCCAAACCTCTTTGGAAGCTGTTGACCGTTGTCTTGAACTAAGTTTTTTTATGCATTCAAAATGTGCCTGAACTCTGACCCTCCATTAATCCCGGAAGCAAAGGTCGTGAGATTTCGACCCCCCATCACGTACGTTCACCCAGCTCTGTCGGTGTGTCAGTTTAGTTAACACGTGAGCTACAGTATAGGGAGGCGCATGTCCGTGCGAAGTTAACTTTTAATCGTGATATCGTGAAATAGAGATGTCTACTTTTTATGGGCCCCGAGTTGGACAAAGAGAGGGCGAAATTTTCCCAGCTGGTTCACAAACGAGGCGTTTTTGCAACAAAAATAATTAGTCTCGACCAACATGGCTCTTTTCAACCGATGAAGGGGTGCTTCTGCTCAAGGTGGATAGAGATGAACAATACAGACATTTCTTAGACTAAGATAAATAAATAGAGATGCATGTATTTCTATTGGATATAGTGATTTCTCTGTTAGAAATTGAGATATTGGGGGGTTGCCGACGATCCGCACAATCACGTACGTAATTAATGTCAGCATCATTTTGTTCCAGGCAATCCAGGCGTCCCAGGTGCGCCTACCAACATGGACGAGTTCGCCAATGCCGTGTGGAACGCGGACATGAACCGCCTAGCAGACTCCGATATTTTGCAAACCTTACGTAACTACATTAGCAACTCCAATGACGAGAGGGACCTTCCGGTCAGTCCATTTGTGCCAACTAGGGCACTCTCTTTGGTACTAATCTTAGAAGCATGCGCGTCACTAAAGCTGTGTACATCAAAGTAGTGCGGGCAGATCATGAGAACATGTGGACTGGTCCCCACCCTACTATTATTGTATAGGGACCGATAGCTTACTGCAGGTAGGTAAATCTTTGCAACATTGTACAATCTCGTTTCCATGTAAGCACGTGGAATGAAACAAACGTGCATGAACAAAGAGACCTTGGAACGATACTGACGGGAGTGAAAGGTCTTAATGAAATTCGTTTTTTACCTATCTTCCAGATAACTTTCCTAAATATTACCTGACGAGGACAAAGGGAAAATTCCGACATGAGTGTTTCTTGGGTCGGTTTCACTTAGAAATCATTCTTCCAAACATCATCGGATATTACAGGAAGGCCCAGGTAAAATCCCCACAGGCGGACCTGAAGCTTGCTACGTGATACCGTGCACGATATGGGGCCGATGGTACCCCCCACATGTCCAATCCCTATACACACTCTAGACTATTGTAACCTAACACCCCCCCCCCCGAACTCTGTCAAGAATTCCTGAGATTCCGATAAAACAATGACCAATACAAAAGTGGGGGGGGGGGTCTCTCCGCCCCATCTCTTGCATCATACGTGCTACCTGACCTTTTACTTTGAGGCTCTATTAGAAGCCATTACTGCGGTGGCACAATGCTCGTGGGCAGGTGGTGCACGCGCGTTACGTGCCTCTTCGACCAATAGGATGTCGTGATTTTCCAAAGGGACGCGCGCCTCAAGCCAAGAATGTGCTTGAAGTGAGGTGCCACCCACAGTATGACGCCATATCGGATTCGTGTACAAGAGTTACAGTGTTGCCATAGCTTAATAGCGGGTTGTGCTGTCATGTACTTACAGGCACGACCGTATAATTACACGTAGAGGAGCCTGGATTCACCGTGCTATCTTCGTCCAGTAGGCTTATCCGAAATTTAGAATTAGTCCCAAAGTCTCAAGTTTTTAATTCGCGAGGCAGGCCACCACCAAGATCGAGTAACGTATGAAAGAAATGCATTATTTGTGTGACATGTCAACAGTGAATGCGAAATTCAACAGCTGACCCCTACTTGAATGAATTGTTTTAATTATTGCTGTATGTCTCTTTTACATGAAGGCTGTTTTTCTCTGTGAACAAAGCCTTTCTCCACGGCGACACATACAAGACGACGGTTGCCCTGTTCGATAACTACATCACGTCTGTGGGTCAGACAGAGATCACCACGGAGCGAGCTGAGCAAGACGCCTTTATGGACGCCATGTTTGAGACGGAAGTCATGAGTATCGCGTACGAGTACGTGAGATACTCAGGTAAGCATTGCGTTTTTTTTTGGTTCAAATACTAGGCAAACCAAACTGTAAAAATTACCACACCTACTGTATACATGAAGACTGTTTCGTTTGTAACATGACGCTTAGACCAACTGAGCATCGATTTGTACAAAGCCAATCTAAAGACATAATTCGCAAACCATAATTTGTTTTTCAGAGTGTATCATGTAGTAATCGTGTAAAGTCACTCCGTTTTAAGCCAGTTCACAAGCTATTCAAGTGAGCTGTTCAGTGTTCACCCTGTCACTTATGACTGACCTTGTGAAGGGACTTGTGAAAGGACTTGTAATGGACACGAATATATCAGTGATGAAAATACAACAGAAACTTCAAATTCTCTTTCTGAAACAGTATAAGGAATTAAATGTGACTGCATATGGGCACCACATCATGAAATAAGAAATTAAAAACTGCTGTGATAAGATATGGTCCAAATCATACACGGTAAGGCGAACAGCATTTTTCGCACCATTTAGAAGTGCAAAAGTGAGTCGAACTTTAAATTATATGCCACGAAGTGCAAGGCCCGCATAGGCACCAGCCCACTGACATGGGGTACACTATGAGATGGAGTCTGCTAAGAAATGAAGCCAACGTTAGCACTGAACACCAGTCCCGTTGGTAAAAACCCTCAACACCTCCCGTCTTGACAGTCAATCACACTGTAAAAAACGTTGGCCAAAGCAGTGTTGGGCATTTGTTATTTGCCAGACCTTGGTTAAAGTTACCACATTGTTGGTCAATTTTCCGTCACTGTTGGTCAAACATTGACCAAATATTGGGAAGAATTTGCCCAAAGGTTGATATTTTTACCAAATCGGGCAAAATATCAACCCAAAATTGACCAACCTTTTTACAGTGCAGAGTCAACCAGTCCTCCACTGCAGCGTTAACATGAAATGCTGCCGTACCACAATTTTCGTACAGTTCACAAGGGAAATATCCCCGAATTCCCATGTAAAACCCTTTTATGAAAATAAAACCCCTATTAATTTTGTTCTCACTACGAAAAAGTTGGTTGATGATTAAATAACTCACCCCGGTCAAAAAATTGAGGGGGTATATACTCCTCCCCACCCTTCCCAACCAATCACGAGAAAATAATAAAAAGTGGTCCCAAGTTGCGGATTTCAGTACATGAAGTCGCCATGTTCTCTTTACGATACACATTTATCTGGCAATTAAGGTTTTCGTAATCCCTGGTTTAATTTTATTATGTTAGCTAGTCTTGCACCTGTATCTCAAGTAATTTTGGCCTTTTTGCACCACTCTATTGCAAATTTGTGCGTTCAGATAAAGGTTCCTAAAAACCCTTTCTTTTCATTTGATGATACAACAAATTATCAAAATGTTTGGGTGCCTCAAGTACCTTTTTTTTTTACCAATTTCCTTCCTATGGGCGGTAACCACAGTCACTTCCCATCTTAATGAAGCCGATAGATATTTACTGAGATGTTAACGTATAACGGATGGATCTCAAGGCGAGGGGGCGGGTACCTTAAGTTGCTCAGTCCGTCGTATTTCATGCGTTTGACGTAGTTCCTCAGAAGACGGTGCCTACAAAGACACACAGCAAAGGGAACACAAGAATTCCCCTGTAACTTGCAGTATTGGTACACACTGACATCTCAAGCAAACCCACCCACCCAACTTGATTTGGTCAGAAAACAAGACACATACCTCTCCGGCATCGCCGCCGCGCTGTGGTGATGATGTTGGATGTCTTTGTAGAATCCGATGAAGCGATTACGTCCCTGTGGTCGTCGCCCTATTTTAAGCTTAACCCTCCTTGCCCGCAGTAATATCTCGTCGTCTTCGCCTCCCCAGCCCCAGTACACGTTGGGGAAACCGTTCATTTTCCGTATGTCGCTGCCGAGAAAACCCGTCACGCCGCCAAACAAATTTTCGTATGCCAATCTACGGTAGTGAGAGACGATAGCGATAGACACTCCCGAAACCATCAATACAGAATGATCTAGAAATAGTTTTAACTTGTGCTTTTACTTTTTTTAAATATTCATATTACATAATTTTTAAAGAGATCCATAGACCCATTTTGTTTTGGGCCGGAAATAGTACTCGTCGAGAGGTTGTACCACTCAAACATAGATTACATGTAAATTTCTCTTTTCACACTCTTCACATACAAGAAGCTTTTAAATTTAATTATTACTTTTACAGGTACATAATTTTTTCGTTTGGCAATATCTTCATTTGAGGCAACAAAAGTGCTAAAAATCTATGGCAGACTGGCAAACAACTAAGCTCATGGTGTTCTAGCTCAGTGAATGCTATGTTTTGGGAGGAAAACAATAATTGTAAGATCTCGATTTCAAATGAAATGTATAAGGTCATGTTTAAAATTGGCCCCAAATTAAGCGTTTGGGACACGTTCTTATCCGGCCGATTGCAGCTACCCAGGTAGCACAGGGACGTCGGCCCGTCGTTGGAATTTTGTCAGTACATGACGTCGGGAGGGCGTAGGTAAATGGGGCATTTGCAAATCCCGCCGCCGTCGGCTCGACGTCTAAATTTGCTGTTGGGTGGACGTTGGACCGACGTTGTACCAACGATCCATTATATCCCCCCCCCTTTGAGTTTAAAATCGGTGAAGGTTTTCTTGAATGTTTGATGATAAAACAAACTCCAGAAACGGAGCCATTTACAATTGCGGCCTTTCGATTAAAAACCATGCACATCACGCGACTGATGGACGTGTTCTTCATGTACATATATATTGTCTTGTATTTGTGCCGACATGCTTTGCCAATTGCCGGACACAATATGAACTCACAAGACAAACCACTCATTTCAACAGTGCAGGGCACAATTTCAAAGAGAGGGGAGGGACACGTGTGAGTCCTCACATCGACGTCGGTGGGTATCTCAAATACGATGTTGACCCAAAGAACTCTACAAGAGGTCGACTGGTCGTCCTCATTTTGTCATGACCGTAACTGAAATTCCAAGTCGGCGGCAGAGTAAACAGCCGACGTTGGCTGTAATACTTTGCTAGGACTGCGGTATGACATAAGTAATTGGACAGGTCGTTATATTTAGTCTTGCCGATATCAGCTGGTTGTCTTCATTTGGTCAAATTGACGGTCAGTCGAGTCCCAAACAAACGTCGGCAACACGGTACCAACAGACGTTGGATTTGGGGTTGTGCTTGGACCGCGGTCCGACGTTATCCATAGGACAAGTTGGTTGTAAATCATCATGCCGACGTCGGCAGGAACCACACTTGAATGACATTGGGCAGAAGAATAATAACCGACGTCGGCTGGCTTTCCTTTTTAGGACATGTTGGTAGGACGATCAAAGTTCCGACGTCCGTTTCAGAACGTTGGTTGAACGACGCGTCGTACCGAGTTACTATATCGACCGTGACCATCTACCGACTTTGCCGACCCATTGCCGATCCCATCCGACGTCGGGCCGCCGTCAGTGTGCTACCTAGGTGAGCGGTTTGCATGCACATTGACTAAATTACAGTAACCGAACACCCGTATGCGTCATGTCAACGCCTGAGGGCACTTAAGTACCAAATTAAAATCCAACCACTACGTGTTTTACCGGCAACATCCAAAGAAACATCTTTCGACTCATCGTCGGAAATCGCCTTCGTTCATTGTTGTCTGTAAAATGCCAGCTTTCTTTAAGCCAAGTATGCTTTTCAATACTAAGTTCGTCGTTTACTTATTGGATACCTGCAAATAATGGACTGTAGCTGTTAAACCATTACACCACTTCTTCAATTTTGAACACTCCTGTCGCCTTCTCTAATAAATTGCAAACAACATATTTCCCCTACGTGTAATTCCAGACGCTGTCCCCAGAGATAAAGTGACGTGGCATGTTGGAGCATCCGTAGTAATTCAGGTCACTCAGTGGCACGTGATCAACATCGTGGAAAACAAAGCAATCCCAGTGTGACATGTTCAGGCTTTCCATAAAACCCACGTTCATTAAGGTTGCCCGGTTGAAGTTCAAGTCGTTTTCCTGTCAAAAGGTCAAATGAAGCGGAAAAGAAAGCTTCATCCCTGGTTGAAATGATACTTTTCCCTTTGATGTCTTTGTGGTTTACCAATAGAAAAGATAGCTCACCAGAATAGCTGAACCAAGGGACCAGTTTGATCAAGGTCCACAAGTTAACTAATGGTTGCTTCATGACGATAGCGCATGTGCAGTGAAGTTGAAGTGCGAACGACAGTAGTCAACTGTTGTCAGGCCATTAGGCCGAAGGGGAGGAAAAGTGGCCGCAGGAAGGGCAAAATAGCGAAGAAAGTGAGCATGGTCGTTTACCAGCGACATACTGTATTGGGGGCATTTTCTTATAACTGGTCCTCTCTGTACTGTACTATTAAAACCGTTTGATCAGAGTTAGTCGAAGTCTGGTTAACTATTGTCCTTGATCGAACTTGCCCAAGTGTGTAACCAAAAATACACATGCGTATAGTGCCTTTCCACTGTATCCGTCCAATTTATCTAAAACAACTAGATAGCTACAGTCGGTAACAATGTGACTTATACTATAATATCTTGGCTATACATGATCATACAATTTAGACGTGTTTTCCATCCAGTGATACCTACATCCCCTTCATTTGCTGCCAATAGACGGATCCCAATACGATGCTTCGATCTGCGCACTTTCGCGTTTGAAAGCGAGGCTGTATATGCCAGCTTCAATTCATAATACGATCAGACGATTGAAATTAAGGAGTTAAGACACAAAATGCATAAAGGTATGTTAAATTCAGTCTTTTCAAGCTGAAATTTTTTGTGGAAGAGTCTTTCAGGACGTAAAATCTCAACACGTAAAATCAAAAGAAAAATAACGACAATTGACCGCAAACTAACGTACCTGCAGTGGTCGTGTATCTTGTGCAGTGGGCGTGGTTTAAACTGAATTGGCGTCACACTTACGAACCGGATACTGCATTTACTGTGTGGACTCCGCGGGCGCGCGCGACGAAGTTCAACACAGAGAGCCTCGGTTTCGACGCAAATATGCCCCTCTCGTGGCAAGAGGTTTGTCCGGAGCTTCTGCAATAAACCTACTTGTGATCGTGTATTACTCATCTTCTAATGGACTGGTTCGACCAGCTCGCCTGCTCTCACCAGTTTAATGCAGTGAGAGAATTGCATCAGTATCGACCACATAAGTCTTGGACCAAGACCAGCAATAATGGCAGATGATACCTGATTGACTGCGAAGACACCGAATTCAAGTAGTTGTCTCCTCAGCATGGGGACGAGGTAGCGAAGGAGGATGGGCAGATGGTGGGAACGATTCCGAAACGGAATGATGATAGCCACCTGGAAAAACGAATCAAGGAGCAAACAGCAGATTACAGTCAAAGACTTTATGCGACTTTAGGCACTTTGTTGCAAAAACAATGTCCAGTTATACATGTTCTTGTGAAAATGTTCAAACTGGTGTGGTTTTTATCTAACCTTCCATACAGGTATGCAATGATTGGGCCTCCAGTGGCCACCTGGGATGAATGTATAGTTCCCAATCTTCATCTCCAGTTGGGCTAGATTGGCCTCCATAATCCTCCTTCCCGATGCTTTGAACCAGACGTTCTTGTCGATGAGGTTTGGGATGAGGGAGTCGGCCAGCGTCGTAGCTCGCCTAGCTTTCTCAAACTCCTCGGAACCAAAAACAACGCTCTCTGCTTGGTCCATCGTTATATTGTCCAGATCATAGAAGCTAATATTATCTGGTATTGTCGGAATAACATTGAAGCTATCGTCAGCGTAACCTACAGCTAATAACTGTTTTGATACCACTCCTGTTGACAATCGTCATCTTCACCTGTTTGTTTGGTAATGTCCCAAACACACTTGCAACAAGCATAATATGACCCCGTCCTTCAAGTAACCAAACAACAGAGCTTGCAGATTTTCGCAGCGTTTGTCACCGTTCAAAGACACCGTCAGCGTGACCCTAAGGCATGTGTCCAAACTCATCTGCCATTTTGCTTTGGGCAACTAATGTGAACCAACAGCTTAACAATGTAACTACATTTACCTTAACACTGGCGGGTGCCCTACAAGTCAAAGTTTGCATTCTTGGGAGGGGGGAATAATGCTTGATGTGGGCAAAAATGGGACAGACACTGTAGTCAAAACACATCTTCAAATCAATGCAATGTAAAATATGTTCACAGTCATCATGGAAAATAAAAAAACGAGGAAACGTGTATCTGATGTCAGTGACATAATAATAGTCAAGAGTTCGACGCTTACTGAGATGTGGAATGTTGGAATCTGGACACTCCGACAGCCGATGAAACAAGATCCTTTCTGTTGTGCTTCCGTTTCTTGAAGCTACGAGAAAACATGATAAATGTGGATATAAATACGATCAAGGGACGACATCAAAGCCAGTAAGTAGCCTGAGTGGTAATATATCACTACATGGCTGTGATCAGGACGTGTATTGTAAAATGTCACACCCTAAGATCTTAAGAAGCGGGTACTCAGTTCTACAACGGTCTATTTTTCAAACACCACACACAAATCCCACTAGTCCCGCAGCGACAGTCAACGGACGCGGTCCACGAGCATCCTTGTACCTCGATATAAAACTGCAGGCCCGCCTTAGGCCTAAATATCATTGGATCTTACCCGTGCCGACGACTCCTCTTCCAGAACCTGTCCGGGTGGATTCTGCTCGAACGTAGATTTCTCCTGCGCCAAATTAACAACAAACAAGTGAAGATAAAGTAAATCTTCAACGTATCTCCGTATTTTTGCAGTGCTATATAAACTACGTTGGCTCTAAGCCAACTAACTAAACCGACAACAAACGTGTCTACATGAACAGCGTCTATTTAGTAAAGAGGGAAAAGAACATTCATTTAGGAATAACACATCCCCAAATGATCTTTTTCTTCGTACGACGTGCGCACCTTCAAACTGGTACCAATCTCCACTCATACCACGGTGAAAGTAAAAGAGAGGGAGAATGACCAACTGTAGAGTCGTTCCTACTACCAGACAGACAGCAAAGGCCTTTTGTATCCCATTCATTCTCACGATTAAGCTTGCTGCAGTTCAGCGTATTGGAAAGACGTTCAAAGATCCTGTTTGATTCGGGACGACCAGAGAGATGGGACATCAGCCAAACCGTCGCGCCTTCCACTCTATTAAACTGCGATTATAATATCATGGCACTGTGTACTTCGCCGTGTTTCTCTACGTTCCCAGGCGGGCGCAAGTCCTTCTGTTGTCAATCCGAGCTAGCCAAGCGTTTCCCTTATAATTATATCGTGCAGAGGTCAATAGATTTTGACATGACAGCATTATGGACCCACAGATTTAGAATACGGACGCAAACCCGTGCAAAAGACGACATAGTTTGACATTTTCAATAGGTTTCTCTGTAAGCATGGATGCGCCTACCAGGCTTCACTTGTCACGGAGAATTACCTTTCCAATAAGTTAACATAGCTCTATGATATACACACACTTTTCTAGGGCAGCTGTGTTTAATAAATTGCATCTTTCATTCGGAAAAAAAATGCCGTGTATAAAGCTTAAATAAACTGATCCACGAAATTTCAATTAATTGTGGGTACCCATGCACTTCCAATGAGAGTCTACGCAGTGAGCAAATTTTGGTAGCCTCTCGACCAATAAGAAAGCTTGATAAAGCCTCACGTGACCTTCATTAGGGGAGGTGTCGGTAATTTTCTGAGGGGGTTGTGTAAATGCAAATAGATAAAACGCGTAGACTTTTAAACTTGAAGTACATTGTTATGCGTATTCGCTTAGTAGTTGGATTAAACAAACAATACAGTTTCTTTTTTGTTAATTTTTGTTAATATTTTTTTTTAATTAAATACGTACACGTCTATAAGGCTAGGGTACAATACCGTATGCAGTTGGGTTTCATTTTCATGCGAAAACAGTGGGATGCATTTTTAAAATGGCTTTTCCCGCGCAGTGAAATTTCCTTCAGTTTAGGGGTGGTCTGCTTTGGGTGAGAATTTCTCAAAAATTCATTGGTCAACCCACTAAAAATTGAACGGAAAATGAAAGAGGACATGTGGAACATCATTTTTCTGTGCAGCCTTAACACTGTGAGAGTTGTATTTTTAAAATATTTGTGAAGTATTGGGATTTATCACTGCTGTCTATGGGAATATATTTGCACCCTTGGTAGTGTAGTGAACTGTACCTGAGTTAGGGCGCCCTCATCCTTCCAAACGCTTCACGAAGGCAATTAACAAGTTTATACTTTTTAGGCGTTTTCCGTGCACGCGGTGTCAAGGTTGTGTCTTTGCTTTGGGTTCTCGAATGTAGAACTGTACTTTCTGCATTTTGCTTCTATTAATTTCCAGGGAGCATGGCTTCGGCCATGCCCCAAAGTGTGGGAGAGAGTCAATGCTAGAATCCCCTGGTAAGTACTTCTCATTGTATGAATATTTCGCACGATCTCCTGTCGGAGAAATTGTACGATTTACGCGGCCCAATGTGGTGACTGTTTTCTGTATTACAACGTTCCATAGTGTATTGGTCAGCGAGCTGTGTTACTTAGCCATGTGCCCCGTTAGCCTTTGACCATCGACCCATTGTTATTATTTACGGTGCCGTCTAGCCATTACACTACACCAACTGTTTTCATATTCTTAAATTGTAGTTTTGGAGTTAGACATCATTTATTGTTCACGTGCTCTCCAAGTGCCCGTCCGCTTTAATGACGGGACCGTTCCTCCTTCCATCGTCCAACTGACAGGGGGCTGGTCAGCTACAGTTGGAACTGCACTTTGCTGGTTCTCGAACGAGTATAAATGCACCAGTTACGGTCGCATCGCTACCGTTAAAATGAAAGCTTCCGACCAGCATGGCTCTTTTCTACTGATGAGGGGGTGCTTCTGCTCCAGGCGGATAGTGTATTGTTATATTTCATCAAGATGGCTAAATTACTAAATACATGTAAATGCTGATTCGTGCAGTTTCCAACGGCCTTAATACCACTGACCGCTGTGACGACGATTTGTGCTTTATAAAAGAAAGTAATGTGAATCACCAAACGTCATTGCACTTGACTTGTTAAACGCACTCCAGTAAACAAAATAAAATCATCCAGAGTTGATAATACGTGAGCTTCTTTTTACTGACATTACTCAGGACTTCAGAAGCAGCGGGTCTTTGTGACAGAGCACTGACAACAGAGTAATGTAAGCGATTCAAAGCCACGACGCTTCCTTGATTCTGTAAAAACTGGTGTAACCTTGCATCGTTGTTGGCCTTCACGGAATGTATTTGTACTACGCTACGCTCGTTTGTCCTAATCATTTATCACAAGCTGAACAGCCTTCTAGTCTCTCCATTAAGAAATGGAAGTGGTTTGGGTTGTTTCCAACTTAACTTCTACACAACATGGAAGGCATATTCGGGCCTACCTTTTAGTGCTGGGCTTGGTTTCGTTCATCGAGATCGAGAATCTGCTAAATTATGATAAACTATGCCTAATCATAATAAATAAATGTCAGTCATTGGAAGATCCATGCTGCTGACGTAGTTTATGCAGCACAGTTTCACAGTATTGGGAGTCAAATCCTCAAAACTAAGTACAGAGTACTGTGAGTACTTAAGGGGCCGAATGCCGGGCCGAGTGCAAGTACACTCCAACGCACCGAATACAAGAAAATCAAGGCCTCGTACTGGTCTGAGTAAAAGTACTGAAGTCCAAGTCCGAATACATGAACGTGCTAAGAAGCCCACGTAACAATCGAAAATCGCTGTTATGTTCTGGTCACATATGCTGGTAACACGTTGTACATCAATATTGCTGTTGAAAGCTATTGTTGAATGTTGCTGTTTTCCATTTGCCCTGCATTCACCGGGTAGCCATTTGTTCTGCTTTCCAATGCAGACAACACCCCCCTCCATTTGTTTTTCTCGCCCCAATCCCTCGTTCTCTTGCAGTTCTACTATTTGTAATCAGGCTTGCTAAAGTGGTTTTCCTACTCTATTACCCCGACAGAGTTTTCACGGTGCCCAGCTGGTGAACTGGTTGGCGAGGAGCAACAAATTCTCGACCAGACAAGAAGCTATCGGCTTGGGCAAGGATCTCTTGGACCTCCTGGAGCTCAGTCTCACCAAACACTGTGAGTACCGTACCTCTACTCTGTACATCGGACTTTGAGCTGGAGGCACTCACAAGCTTCTTTCGGTGTGGGTTGCTTGTACTATAGACAAATAAAGTAGCACTTTTTTCATTTATCGGGAAAAGCAAAGTTCTATTTTAGTCAAGTTGGAATTCTGTTTCTGTACTCTCCTGTGGTTTCACAACATCCAGTGCAGTAGCCCACAGTTCACCTGTCCATATGTTCTCTAATTTTCGTTCATACGAAACTTGAAGTGATGTGGTTTCTTATCCTTTCCTAAATGGAACACTTGAGTTTTATTGTGACTAATTCAGTTTGTGTTTAATACATGTATTATGAAATTTTACCATGTGATTGTTGCATTTTCCGCTGTTGTGCTTGCAATTTCCAGTAATATATCAAAGTGCCCGGTTTTCAACGGCAGTTACACATGTTCTGAAATGTGGCTAGGCCCTATACGTTTAGTTTAGCGTTTAGTAGTATATACCGTTATACGTTTAGCATTTGGAGATATAATTTTAGCCCTTCATGCTGATCGCAGTCTGTGACATTTTTCAGACATGCCTAGTGAAATTACAATTGATATGATTGGCTTCAACTACACCGTCACCACTGTTATAAATTGCCATCACCTTTAAATGGAGCAAACTCTGCAGAAAGTAAAGAAAGGGGAGGAAATGAATGAACCGGTTGAGTAAACAGTATTAAGCGTCAGTAGTATGGCTCTGCAGGATGTCAATCAAATCCTCACTTTGCATTATAATTAGGCCTACATTTGGAATTGAGAGCGGGGTCGGAATCACATGGACACGGGTTGGTAAGGTGGGCACATTGAAGCTATATACCGCTAAGCGGCATCAATGCTTCCATTCCCACGCTATGCCCATGTTACGTTTGCATGCGTCTCCCAAGTCGCAACCAAGTCTAGACCACGTTACTTTCGACGCGGCCAGGGTAAGCTTGAGATCGCCCGTAAGAGGCAACATCAGCCCCGACAGCGTGTTTCGCTGGTGACCACGAGTGCTGGTAATGGTATTTCCTTTTGAAAAAAGGGAAAGAGTAGCCGTTTCTCTGTCAGTCGCTGTTGTTGTATGACTAGCAGTCGCGAACAAATTTTATTAAAACTAAGCTTAAACTGTAGCACATCAGTAGCTTGGCTTACTTTTGCTGGTATGCATGCAAATGTATGATGTAAAACGAACAACGCCTATATAGCAACTCTAATCGAATTATCAATAACATTGCAGCACGTGGGCTTTCACCTTTACAATGGCAACACACGTCTGACTGAAATTTTATGAATCGATCGATTTTCACACTTTGGATCTTTTTCCCGAACGATATGGTTAAACTTGTAGTTACAGCCAACCTTGAAAAGTGTGTTTATATTGAATCGTGCAGATTTTCCAACCAATGGCCAGCCAGTCCAAATCATTGTCCACGAATTGCATCGATGGTTTATGTTTGGTCTGTGGGCTGATAGGCCTACCTCACGCATCTGCCTGATTGTTACCTGTATCATGTGTATCCTGTATTGTGTCATGTATCAAACATCATGTCGTGTTATAGCATTGCACAACCAAGAACTTCATTATCTCGGTTCTGTTTTTTTTCTTCAAGCAGTTTGATACCGTTTATAAAATTAGTGGGAAGGCACCTGACTGTCTGAGATTGAGTTTACGAGGACTTGCACAAGACTAAGGTTATTAACGCCGACGAAAAGCAGGGAAGCGCAGTGGCGTGATATTACTGCAGATCGGTTGAAAGGCGCGGTTCGGCTGATGCCGTGTCTCTCTGGTCGTCCCGACTCAGACAAGATCACTGGACGGTACGCTTAACACTTTCTGATACGCTGAATTGTAGCAGGCTTGGCCGTGAGAATGACTGGGATATACGTGGCCCTCGTTGTCTGTTTGGTGCTCGGAACGGCTCTACAGTTCGTCGTCCTCCCTCTGTTTTACTTTCACCGTGGCGTGAATGGAGATTGGTACCAGTTTGAAGGTGCGTGCGAAAAAGATCTTTTTGGAGAAATCTGATACTCTTTTTAGGACTTCCATGTAGAGTTTGTTGTTGGTTCATACCGCCAAAGTAGTTATAATCTAATGACTGAAACTTATTAAAGTGATATGCTAAGGGTATATTGTTCCTTTTTGTTTCTACTTGCCCCCAAAGAAATCTACATTCCTACTGAATCCAACTGGATCGGTTCTGCTGGAGGAATCATCAGCACTGGTAAGATTCAGGTCGGGCTGATTGTTTTTATTATCATTATCATTAGTATTTTTGATCCGGCCTTCTGAATTCAATACAAATACGATAGTATAGGACAACACACACTAAGACCAGTAAATGGATTATTTAAGAAAAATTAAGAACAATTCATTTTAGAACAACTAACCCAGGGATATAAAGGGGGTACGTTAGCATGTATTGGATAGGGGAGAGGTGTAATAAGGGTGCTGGAGGGGGGAGGGAGGAGGGTTGTAAGAGGGAGAAATTGTGGGTAGGGGGAATTGTGGGAGTAGGAATATAGGAAGGGAATTAGTATATTATTCACAGTATTTCATTCATGGTATTCAGTTGCTGATGCTCTCGGACCACGTCGGTTGTTTGTGGGTGTCTGGTAAATTGGTGGGATCTTTACTAATGGATAGTTCTAGATTCGGGTACCCTTTATTTTGCACTTGATGTGGGGGCATTCCATTACGCCCTGATCACATCTCTGTATTGGTATAATCATCGGTTCGGGAATTGTTCTTTAATTATTTCAATATTCCTCTCTCCTGTCTTGTGTTGTGTTAGTTCTACCAAGAAACGGAAGCCTAACAGACAGAATCCGGTATCATAGGCTGTCGGAGTGTCCTGATCATTCCAACATTCCGAATCTAAGTAAGCGACCAAAAGCATGTACCAACTCATGATTGTTATTGTATCACCTTCTTCAGATACCCTATCCTTTTAGTTTTTCAGTTACCATAATTGTGAGCATTATTTGCATTTGATTAATTTGTGGACGTTTGACCCCAGTGTCTATCCCATCTCCACCTACATCGAGCACTGCCCCTCCCCCAACCAGGAAGGGCATTTTTTGACCTGTAGGGTATCTGCCAGTCTTGAAGCAAATGCATGTATGCATCTATGTCAGGATGAACCGTTAATTCGAACGAGGTGGCCAGAGCAAACTGGCAGTCGAGGTTGGACACGTGACAGCATGATGTCATGCTGGCGGTTTCTTGAACAGTGACAACCTCCGTGATGACATGCAAGTTCTGTGGTTAGTTGCTGGAAAGATATAATGATGTTACAAGTGTGTTTGTGGCACTAGTTAACGAATGGGTGGAGATGACCATGCAAGGTTTGCTTATCTGCTGCTATTAACAAACTTATCGGCTGTATTTCATGCTGATGATAACTTCAATGTTTTTCTGACATTACCAGATAAATTGACCTTCTACGAGCTGGACGATTCAGTGACTATGGACCAAGCAGAGAAGATAGTTTTTGGTGCCGAGGCGTTGGAGAGAGCCAGGCGAGCTACAGCGCTCGCCGACTCTGCCATCCCAAAACTCATCGACAAGAAAATCTGGTTCAAAACCTCGGGAAGGAGGATTATGGAGGCCAATCTAGCCGAACTGGAGATGAAGATAGGGAACTATACATTCATCCCAGGTGGCCACTGGAGGCCCAATCATTGCATACCAAAGGGGAAGGTTAGATAAAGTCACACCAGTTTGAGTAATAAAGAACATGTATAACTTCATCAGAGTATGTATAACTGGGTTTTCGTTTTCAACCAGGTTTGGATAATAAAACACGTCGAGGAAGTTGCATAAAGTTCACCTTGACAAAATAGGCCTACAACATTCTTTGACTAGAATCTGCTGTTTGTTCTTTGATTCGTTTCTCCAGGTGGCTATCATCATTCCGTTTCGGAATCGTTTCCACCATCTGTCCATCCTCCTTCGCTACCTCGTCCCTATGCTGCAGAGGCAACTTCTTGAATTCGGTATTTTCACAGTCAACCAGGTATAATCTGCCACGGTTTTATGGATAGCCTTGGTCCAAGACGTGATTGATTGATAGTGATGTTATTCTTTTCTGACTGGTGAGAGCACACTATGTTCACCCCTTCCACTTAGTTTTTGCGCATGCGCTAAAATTCGGCAGAGTCGTGGTCGCTTTCTGTTGTTTTGTTAAAATGGCGACGCTGGCCAGGAAATGAGTGTACCAAAATCCATCTGCGGAGATCTTCCGCATTGTGTAAGAGTTGGCTGAATTTATACCAGAGAAATATAATCAGGCTTCAGATTTTATTTTGTGATGTGTTTCTTGTTAATCATAAGTGACATTTAAGAGGAAATGGGGTGAAAAGTGTGTGTGTATACTACATTTCCGAACGTGAAAGAGGGTATTTTAAATTTGAATTGTTCTCCAGTTTTTCCACACAGGCTGCATATCATATGCTTAATAATTAAAAGAGTGTTTGAAAAAGGTTACCGTGTTATTTTTAAGCTGTTGCAAAATCCTTTGTCATTTTGATCAATTTCAATGGTGGCTCTCTGTCGACCGGTCGGCCATGGTTTATGTTTGCACATGTGTACGTTCATGTACATGTACTGTACATGTACGTAACCGTATACTGACACTATAATACGGACAAATGATTCTCGTGCAAAATATTCAATTCGCATTAGCTTGAAAATTCTACCGATGTTTTATCGGGTCTTAATACACACGGTAGTCTATTTCGTTTATTTGGATAAACTGGAGAAGTTGTTTTAAAATGGGAAAGACCGTGGACGTTTTTTGTTTTCAAATCTGATCGTGTTTTTATTTTTTTAAAAATCACCTTTTCAGATTTTGTTTCAAATATTGTGCAACTGGGTTCGTTATAATACGGTGGTTTAATGTTGTCTTCTCAAATTTCATTTGCTTGTATTTTGTTAAAAATAAATTATGGTCTCCATCCGCGGAAAGAAGTATCGTTAACGATGTCCGACGCAGCCTGCCTCGAAATCCACAGTTGAGTGATTGAGTGCGCATGCGGTAACTCTCGACTAAACGATGCACAAGGGCGTGGGAGTGAACATAGTGAGCAGGCGAGTTGATCTAATCAGGCCTTCAGAAGGATAACAATGCCAGATCACTCGCGTCTTGAACCGAGACTACATTTTTACAAGTCCATTGAAGGTTTACAGTTTTGGGGGTGAAATTTCGGTTGCTCCTAGACAAACGTCTTGCCCCGGGAAGGATTGGAAGCAAACGAAGAGGGATGCAGCTATCATCAGATGTGACACATAAATTTGAATCTAAAGGAGAACTCGTAGCTTCCTTACCTGCCTTGAGCAGAAGCATGCCCCCTCGTCGGTTGAAAAGAGCCATGTTAATGGGAAGTTTAATTTTGTTGGTAGCAACTCGACTGTAAGGTGTGCACTTCTATTTCATAGTCGTTGGTGAACCAGCGAAGTGGGGTTTCCCAGCATCCGTTGCTAGGCAAAATGCGTCTTCTCTTGGTCCAGCTCGAGTGCTCACGGGCACATAATATTGCTACTGACCAATAGTTCAAACGAAGCCCATTGGACCAACACCGTAACAAAGTCACATCTCGAGTGCATGCCTCATCCTTGGTTCAATTATCATTATAATCAACAGTCCCGATTAAAAGGTCTTTCAACCACAAGGAAATCAAAGGGACAAGTAGACCTATACCGTTTCCATCAACAACAAAAGTTCTCATTTACCTTTCCTAATAACTTTTCGACAGGAAAACGAGTTGAGTTTCAACCGTGCTACCTTAATGAACGTGGGTTTCATGGAGAGCCTGAACATGTCACACTGGGATTGCTTTGTGTTCCACGATGTTGATCACGTGCCACTGAGTGACCTGAATTACTACGGATGCTCCAACATGCCACGACACTTTATCACCGGCGACAACGTTTGGAATTACACGTAGGGGAAATAGGCTTGTTTGCAATTATTTATTGGAGCAGGCGACACGAGTGTTCAAAATTGACGAAATGGTGTGATGCCATTAAAGGTACGGTCCACTGTTTGCAGGTATCCGAAAAGTGCCTGACGAATTCAGTGTTGAAAAGCATACTTGGCTTAAAGAAGGTTAGGGGACTAAAGTCCCTGGGAAATTATTCTTGTTGACGAGCTGTCATTCAGGAGAAAAAGCAATGAACGAACGCCATTTCCAACGGTGTGTCGAATGATGCACTTTTGAAAAACACCGGTAGAACACAAAGTACTTCGTTCTTCATTCGGCGAAGTGCTGGCAAGCGTTGGCACGACGCACAGGGCGTTCGGTTTAATCGATCCAATGTGCAAATAACGTAGCTGCAATAGGCCGATAGAACGAGATCTTAGAATATTGATTTATTCTTAAAATGTACAGCACACACCGGATAAAACGTCACTACCCTTGTTGTTTGGCACTCCTCTGTAGATTTTGAGCACTTTTGTTGCCTCAAACGAACATAATGCAAAACTGGAAACTAATGTAGTCTACCCTTAAAGTTATAATTGAATTGAAGCAGGGTGAAGAGTGTGAAGAGAAACTCGCGTGCAATTTGTGTGACATATTTGAGACATACAACCTCTCGACGAGTACTTTTTTGGCCCAAAATAAACCGTTTCATAGTTTCTTTTGTAAAAGAATATTTCACGATTATTTAATCGATTCGAACTCAATTTAAAAGATATGTGACCCGTCATGGAGTGAAAAAAGGAGAGTAAAGCTGCATTCCACTCTTTCCTATTTTTGAGGGTTTAAAGTCATAGTGAAGTAGAGGTCAACTTTTGGGTTTGGTAATATTTGGAAGGAGTAACCCGTCTCGTATTTAATTCCAAATATCGGTGGATCTGATTGTGAAAATGTCATTTTTCTCAGCTGTTTTTGACGATAGCATTGATCGTGCGTTGTCTGAAATGTTGAAACAATGTCGGGAACAACGACGCAAAGCTGTCAGAATAATGCCACACTGTCACCTTATACTTCTACCCTAAGTGTTCCATGTACATAGGCTTATCACTGGAAAGCCCTCTTTCTACTGAATTCAAAAATGCAAATATCTCAATTTTGAAAATTCGGACTTTCTGCTCATGTTGTGGCGACAAGTAACATTATGCCGGCGGTTTGAATGGCAAGCAGACAGGACATCATGGATCCCTCTGACTTTACAAACCCGACTCACGCTCAAAAACCCTTCTTCTCTCTCGCTACCGTAGGTTGCTTTACGAAAATTTGTTTGGCGGCGTGACGGGTTTTCCTGGCAGCGACATACGGAAAATGAACGGTTTCCCCAACGTGTACTGGGGCTGGGGAGGCGAAGACGACGAGATCTTGCTGCGGGCAAGAAAGGCTAATTTAAAAATATGGCGACGACCACGGGGACGCAGTCGCTTCATCGGATTCTATAAAGTCATCGAACACCATCACCACAGCGCGCCGAAGATACCAGAGAGGTATGTGTCTTGTTTCTGACCAAATCAAGTTGGGTGGGTGGGTTTGCTTGAGATGTCAGTGTGTACCAATACTCTAAGTTACAAGGGAATTGTCTTTCTTTAACTGTGTGTCTTTGTAGGTACGATCTTCTGAAGAACTACTCCACCCGCATGAATTACGACGGGCTGAGCAACTTAAGGTACCCGCCCCCTCGCCTTGAGATCCATCCGTTGTACGTCAACATCTCAGTGGACATCTTTCGGCTTGATTAAGAGGGGAAGTAACTATGGTTACCACCTAGAGAAAGGAAAATGGTCAAGATAGACACTGAACGGAGCATAACATTTTGCCAGTTTGGCTGTATCACTATCAAACGAGAGGAAAGAGGTTTTAAAATCTCTTATTGAATGCTAAGATATGCAGAAACAGATTTGAATGCGATCAAGTTGTGCCAAAAGGCCAAATTATTTGACATAAAGGTGCAAGATTAGCTAACAAAATAAAGATGAAACCAGGAATCACGTTATACTAAATCGTTAGATCTATGATGTTGATGTGTATTTTAAAGATTCGTCGAGAACAGCGACTTCATGTATACTGAAGTCCACAACTTGGGGTCACTTTCCATTAAACTCGTTTTCACCTGATCAGTTGTACACGCTTTGTGCCTGGGCGTAAATCCCAGGGAAGAGGGGGTACTGTCACCCCACATTTTGACTGCAGGTGAGCTATTTAATTACCTTCCCACTTTTTTGTGGTGAAAAAAAAATTTACGTAGATTTGGAAGAATTTTTTTAACTTGTCAATGTTACAACCAAAATATATCCAATAGCACCCAAAAGCGGAGAAAAACCAAAAAAGCCCTAAAATTGCCTTTCTGATGTAAGACTTTGTAGGAATATAATACACATTAGATGTCCATCTCTATCATGAACATCACCCCTATAATAGTGTCACATGGTGCCAGCCCCCCCCGTCAAGTTTCAGAGGCCGGGCAAGTTATCCCCCTTCCTACTTGTCCACATTCCCCACCCCTCTGAGTTGTGTATTCTTTTTGTAGCGTACTTCAGGGCCCTTATTAGATCCGAACGAACATTTTCATCTTTTTTTTTTTGAGAAAAAAGTTGCGATGTCGCAAATTTTGTCGCAAATATTTGCAAAGATATTTGCGATGTTTGGTGTCCCTCCAGGGCCACCATAAGCTCTGGTTGATCTCAGTTGACTGTCAAGACGGGAGTCGTACAGGTTTTCCACCTACGGGACTGGTGTTCCTTGCTGAAAATGACTTCAATTGAAACCACTGGCCTGCCTTGAATTAGCATTGGATCTTACCGATGCCGACGATTCCTCTACCAGAACGTTCAGTTGGATTCGGTTCGAACGTAGATTTCTCCTGGGCCAAATTAAAAACATAACAAGTGCAGTAACCTTTCAACATATCCACTTGTTTTTGTTTTGTATGAGTGCTATTTCAACTATTCTGGCCATTTAAACATCAATTAAACCCACAACAAACTTGACAATAACGTTCGTCGCATTTATTTCAAGCTCCTAGATGTGGAGGGGCCGAGGTGGAATGCTCATGCGTGAATGCCGAAGTTCTCTTCATAAGACCTTTTTTCACACGCACCTTCAAACTGGCTCCATTTTACTTTCACACCATCACGGTGAGAGTAATAGAGAAGGAGGATGACGAACTGTAGAGCCGGTCCGAGCACCAAACAGGCAACGACGGCCTTGTGTATCCCAGTCATTTTCAAAACCGAGCCCGCTGCAATTCAGCGTATCAGAGGGGCGTTCAAAGACCAAATTTGAGTCGGGGAAGACCAGAGAGAAAGAACATCAGCCAAACCGCGTTTTCCAACCGCACGGTAATAATATTGTCATGACACTGCACTTCCCTGCTTTTCTCTACCTTTCTCGGCGTTAATTGTCTTATTCTAGCGCAAGTCCTCTTAGACTCAATATCAGACGGTCAGGCGCTTTCCCTCCAATTTTATAAATGATGATAAACTGCTTGGAAAAAGCAGAAGTAAGACAACGAAGTCCTTGGCCCTGAACTGCTATAACGCCATGATGCAGGTTACTATCAGGGAGATGCGTTAGGTTTCGGTCCTCAGACCAGAAAATAACCCATCGGGCATGTTTGCACGGATAATATTCTGGACTGGCTAGCGATTGGTTGGAAAATCTGCGTGGAAATACAATTACACACTTTTCAGGGTCGGCTGTACCAGTTTAACTACGTCGTTCGGGAAAAAGTTTAACTATGAAACCAAATTGATTCACGACATTTCAATCAGACGTATGTAACCACTGTAAAATAAAGCCCATGTGCTGCAATGTTTTGATGAATCGATTCAGAATTTGTATAAGGAATTGTTCTTTTACATGACACGCATTTCAGCAAAAGTAAGCCACGTCACTGACGTGCTACATTTAAAGCTTTGTTTTAATAAATTGGTTCGCTACAACAGCTGTGACAGAGGATGCTGCTCTTTCTTTCTGTTTCTAGAAAAGGAAATTACCCTTACCAGCGCCCGTAGTGGGTTACCAGTGAAACACGCTGTCCCCTTGAGGGTGATCTATCCCTGAGAAAAGTGACACGTCTTGTCTGGCTCCCTGACTACAGATCCCCCAACGACTCTTGATAAAATCTTAAGCCACGTATCGCCCACAGATATAAATAGATCAAGACGTAGATTTCACAGGTCACAAGGAAAGCCCTCGGCCGGCTGGATCCTATGTTTTAGATGCACCATTCCTCTATGGATGGACATACATGTACATGCAGGAAATGCAAAATATGTGCAGAAAGAGAGCAACACTGTGTTGCATGTGAGCACTAAGCAAAAGCAAAATTGTATCTGCAGGGAGAGGTGGGAAAAGGAAGATATTGTATGCCCTTCTGAAACCTTTTTTTGCGGGGGACGGGACAAGATCGGAATATTTCGGCTATTTTCGGAAACGGGAGGAATTCATCCGGTGTGGGTCATGCGGGCATTGGGTGATATCGGAGGGTGCACCCACATACAGTATATACCCCAGAAATATGTCCGCCAAACTCATTAATAAAAGTTATACGCTCAAAATATTCTATATAAGGCAGTCCAGAGAGCCACGAAATTGACGAATTGTAGAAATGATATGGCGCTGAACCTCTGGGCCGGACTCAGGGCTTCTAATTCTGAGTAATTTGGGTGCAATCGGGTCTGAAAGTGGCACTATTTAGCCGTTTTGCAGAGGGATGGTTTTTCAAAATGGCTACTTTTCTGGTCAGGGACATTTTCTTCATTTTACAGGTGGTCTGCTCTGGGTGAAAATTTCTCAAAATTTCATTGGTCAACCCCCCCCCCAAAAAAATTGAAAGGAATATGAAAGGGGACATGTCGAACATCGTTTTTCTGTGCAGCCTGAACACCTGTGAGAGTTGCATTTTGAAATATTTGTGAAGTACGGGAATTTATCCCTGTTTTATAAATTATATGGGAATTTATTTGCTGTGGAGCACCCTGCGGACCCTTGATTCGACGAGAATAGTCGGAATCATTGGGTCTGGTATCCAGACTAGGCCACATCGAAAGTAATGTATAGGCCTAGGCTTGGCGCAACTCTGGAGATTTATGCAAATGTAGCAAGGGCGTCGCGGGGGAATGGAAGCATTGGTGCCGCTTAGCGGTATATAGCTTCAATGTGCCCACCTTACCAACCCATGTCCATGCGATTCAGACCTGGCTCGCAATTCCAAATGTCATCATTATGCGAAGTGAGGATATGATTTACAGCTTGCTGAACCATACCAGTGACGCCTATTACTGTTCACTCAACCACTCCCGATTAATTTCCTTCTTTTATTTCTGCACAGTTTGCTCCAATAATAAAGGCAACGGCAAATAACATTTGTCAGTTTGTAGGTATGGCTGAAGCGAATGATATAAAAATGGTGATTTCACCAGGCGTGTCTGAGAAAGTCCTGGATTTTCCCGAATCATCCAGTCGCAGTGCGGAGTCAGAAGGCAGGTCTGAAAATATACCCCCAAATATTTGGTAAACGTACAGTTATATTTCAGAACATGTGTAACTATAGAAATGACAACGGCAGAAAAATGCAATAATAACATACTAAAATTTCATAATACAAACTTGATTTTCTAACAATAAAAATCAAGTGCTACATTGGCTCTGATTTAAGTGAAAACTCACAGTGAAAAATGCTCCCCAGGTTCCAAATAAGAGAAATGTCACGTTGGAGAGTTACAAATCAGGTTGGAACAGGGAAAAAGACTTTCAATTTTTTTTTTAATTGACGAAAATAACATTTCCTTCAGCTTGCAACAATAATACTGCTGTAGATCTTTTTAAGTATTGAGGTACAAATGGGTAATTTAATTAATCTCCGCGTAACATATGCACTACCCTTTTATTCTTCAAAATGTGTGAGATGTCATGACAGCCACATTGACACCCTGAAAAAACTCTTAGTTATATGTATCTCTTATTTGATGCTATAAAATATCTCTTTTTTCACTTTAAATTCATGTTCAGAACAGTTTCAATTAATTTATATTCATCACATTATCTACTGTTATTTACAATTTTTTGATGCAAGTTCAAAATTTGAAATCTGAAGGCACAGAACCACATTTCACACAGAAATTGAATGTAATTGGAAACTATGTCCAGATCTGTTGACAGTGTCATGTAAAACCTTTAATCATCAGAACAATCTAAAATAAGACTACAGTGTCAGAGTCATAAAAGCTCGATGGGTAAATTCTGGATAAAATTCATTACATATTTATGAAAAAAAGGTAAAATTCTGTACAATGAGGTAAGACTCCAAATTCCTGTGGCACAAAAAAAATAATGTTGACATACAATGTCTTTACAAATTTCACACACATGAAGTTTAATGCACGTCTCCCTCGTAACTCCCCCCTCCCAATAGCTACACCCAACTCTCACACCAAGACCACCCCATCCCACACCCCATCCCACATCTTCCCAAAAGAGAAGACGCCGCAGGTGGTAAGTGATTCATTGACCAATCCTCACTCAGGATGACTGCAAACTTACAGGTACAGGTAATAACTGGCAACTGCGAAAACAATGTAAGCTACTGCATGCCAATCGAGGGATCCCAATACGACCCTTTTAGCATCGATCTGCGCACTTCCGCGTTTGAAAACGAGGCTGTATGTGCCAGCTTCAATTCTTAATACTATCAGACGATTGAAAGTAAGGAGTCAAGACACAAAATACATAAAGGTATGTTAAATTCAGACTTTTCCGGCTGCATATATTTGTCGAAGACTCTTTCAGGATGACTTGACATGTAATATCAAAAGAAAAAAACGGTAATTTACCGCGAACTAACATACCTGCGATGGTCGTGTCTCTGAATGTGCAGTGGATGTAGTTTAAACTGAAGTGGAGTCACGTCACACAAACTGGATAGTGCATGTACTGTGTGGACTCCGCGGGCGCGCGCGACGAAGTTCAACACAGAGAGCCTGGGTTTCGATGCGGATACGCGCAGACGGCGCTAATGTGAAATCCCTCTTTACACGGTGGTCCTACTACATGTACATGCATGCACCTGCAAGCAACAAACGTACACCATCACTGGCTTATCCTGAACAATGAGCAATGCCCGGATTGGTCAACAGAATCAATGTTTACATGAATACTTCTGGTCCTTGTTTACCCAACAAGAAAAAATACCTTCCTACGTTAGAAAAAAAAAGTGCCTGCGTGGTACTCTATCTAATTCGGGGGGAGGGAGCTTTTGTAAAAGGCACCTTTGCAGCAATCCATTTTGAATGATGAAAAGAAAAACCTGAAAAAAAGAGTACCCAGATAAACTGTAAGAGTGTCTTAAAAATCTTACATTTTCCTCAACATAGCAAGAAATATCTTACCCACATTTCACAATGTTGGAAAGCGGACATTTTTACTCGGCAATTCAACATGGTGGGAATAAACAGGAAAAATCAATGTTCGGCCCCCTATGAAAACAAGCCAGGAACTAGCCAACTGGACATATCACCTCTTGACGTGCAAGTTCTTTCTGCACACGCAAAGTGGCTGATGATCCTCACCAATTAGGCCTCTTGTGGTTCCTTCGTCCCAGTACTGTTGCAAGAGCTAGTCAAATGTAAGCAATAACATCATCCAGAGATGATACTGCGAGTTGTTTGATCGGCATGTCTAAAACCATGGAGGAGGGGACTGGGGTTTGCTTCTGCCCACTATTACTTCAGTGTTGGCTTGCTTGGTGTCTGGGGACCAGAACATCCATGGTCAGTTGCTGGGGGTTGCGCAGGATGATGTGAGCCACTTCTACGTGATCCTTATTCAGGACGTACTCGCCGTTGACAAAATAAAGAAACTGTCCAATCTGATGACAAAATGTTCACAAAGGGGAAGAGATAAGAGGACTGTGCTTTACAGAGTGCTTCCTCCTAGAAAAACAAGCTGTCGGATGTACTCGTTGCATGAGTGGAATTGATAAGGCTGGATTTCAAGAACACGGACTCTGTAGTGTCACATCAGCCATACTGCTGCGCTTCGACGCGGTGCTGTAGTCGAGACTATCGCAAGACCAGTCACGAGGAGCAGGGTAAACAGAGCCTGAGGAATGCTTTTGTTGCAACGTATTAGGAATAGCTTACATTTGAATTCAGACTGGAGGTCTTGCATTGGTCTGGTGGGGTTTTCTGATAGTCTAGAGAGGTCTTGACTACAACACTACGTTTATGCATGAACCCATTCCAATCCATCAGTTATTGCATTGCCTCAGACAGCCTTGTCTGACACTCACTCGACTGTCCCAATCCCCTGAAAATGTATAGTTGTACAGATTAATGAGCGAATGAATTACAGTGTAATTCAATGGAATGCAAGAGCAAATGGATTGTAGGGCATTCGGCTTTCTTCCGACAAAAACTGGTCCTCAAACGTTAAGCCTTTAGACTGAACAGGTCGGACTGAATTAAGGTTGCCTGTAAAAGTTGACGCATTGGCTGCAACAACTTTATATAGACACTTGCAACAATTCAGACACAGGTTAACCTTGAGTTCTAATGACAGGTCTCACCTTGATATAGCTCCCATCTATGCAGGACAGAAATGGACAGAAATACAGTGACAAGGGATTCCTGACTTTTTCTGGATGCCTACCTTGAGGCCAGCCTTTGCTGCAGGTCCGCTGGGGTCGACGGTCTGCACATAGGAAGGGCCGTCGCCACGGATGACAAATCCAAAGCCGACGGAATCACCCAGAATCTGAGACAAATAACCCCTAAGTGCTTTTAGAGATGTGACAGTTCAAGACCACAGTTAACATGGCTGTGCGGCTAGATGAAGATCCACGAGTACCAGTCAACCCTCAATTCCCTAGGTCCTCCAAAATCCGCCGCCAGGCCTTGGAGGATTTTGCAGCGCTGGGAAATGTAGAGCACAGCCACCACGATGCAACAGTGTACTTGATGCCCCTTGAATGTGTGGAACACAAAGAATCCACCACGGTTTTTCTTGAAAGGTGGAGGACTTTGATTCAGAATGAAAGGTGCCGTACCCGGCAAAATGCTAACAAAGCTTCAAGCTTCTTTTAATAGCAAACAGGCAGTATGACCAAAAACAAATTCTCTGCTTACCTGAAGGGTCTGTCTCCTGCAAGACTCATCTGGGTTCTTCAGCTCTTCTGCGGTTGGACTCTGGCTAAACCTGACCGCGCCTGACCCATGCGAGTCCTGAAACCTTGAGCCGGACAGATCCTCGTTATCAGATTCTGACATGAGGTTCTGGCTCTCTTCCTGCTCCGGGGAACCGATCTGGAATTTCGGACGGCTGTCGGCAGCAGTGGCATCTGGCATCTGGGGGGATTTCGGTGGGACAGGTGGGATGGGCTGGCAAGGTGAGGCCAGCTTCTGCTTCTGAGAAAACATACTGGAGTCCAGCGAGAGGCTTCGGGGTCGCTCGTGAATGTCCAAGAGGTCAATGACCTTCAGCTGACTGAGATCAGGATGAAAGACATACAGGAGTCTTTCATCTTTGAAGTGATGCTCGTTGGTTACTAAGAGAGGACAAAAACCACATCACTTTTTTGTACGAAAATTAGAGAATCGATGGACAGGTGAACTGTGGACCACTGCACTGGACTTTGTAAAACTACATGAGAATTCAGAAACAACACTTGACAACAGGAGAACTTTGCTTTCTCGGAGAGATGAAACTTTACTACAGTCTTGGTCTATAGAGCAGGCCACCCATAACAAAGTAAGCTTGTCATTCATACCTCAGTAGAGCTTTGAATTAATCAGTGTCTCTAGCTCCAACTCCGATAGGTAACGAGCAGAGGTACTCACCATGTTGGATGAGTCTGAGCTCCAGGAGGTCCTTGCCCAAGCCGATGGCTTCTTGTCTGGTGGAGCACTTGTTGCTCTTCACCAACCAGTTCACCAGCTGGGCACCGTGAAAACTCTGTTGGGGTAATCGAGTGGGAAATCCACTTTAGCAAGCCTGATTACAAATAGGACAGCCGTAATAGTAGAACTGCAAGAGAACGAGGGGTTGGAGCGAGAAAAACAAAAACGAGGGGATGGTTTTCGGCATTGGAAAGCAAAGCACAACGAGAAGATGGCTTGAAAAACAAATGGCTAACTAGTGAGTACACGGCAAAAGGAAAACAGCAATATTTAACAATCAGGGGAGCTTTTCAATAGCATTAGCCTCCCTGGATCCTCAAGCAGGCCCTGGGGTTACACACATTTAAATTCAGGAATACGCACCGTCCCAACTGAGAACAGCCTGGGAATGCCTTATGTTCCTAATTGGGTTCTGCCCTGTGTTAGTTACAGGTCACTAGACACTGTACACTAGTTACAGTGTTTGCAGTTGGGCATACTCGGAGAGCATCAGTCCATCCATTTCAAAATATGAAGACCTCACCTGAATCCCTAAATCCCAGCTCAAAAAAGCAGTAATATACCTAAAGCACATTTTTTTCCTCAAATAATAGAACCGCTAAAGGTTTTATTGATGACTCAAAAATATTCACCCAGCACCCAGGTCTCCTGTTCCCTGAGAGGCCATACCTTGTTAAAGCCGATAAGCCTTTTGCGAGTTAAATTTGAATAAAATCTGGTTACATCGAGTTCATAAAATTCACGTGAACATACCAGTTTGAATTCTTCATACTAAAGACACTGTTGCTATACCTCGTGATTCAGGGCAAGCTTTTGCTTTGTTCCATACCAGACGCCTTGCACCAATACACTTTTCTCAATGGTTAAGAAGGGCACAAAGGAACCAGTCCATTCCAGAGATGGTGGTCGCTACGCGAAAGCTTGCCCCGGTTCAAGAGGTATAGCAACAGTGTCTTTAGTCTGGGGAGTTCAAATTGTTATGTTTATGTGCATTCAGGTAACTCAATGTACCAGATTTTATTCAGGTTTCACTCGCAAAATGCTTATTCTAACTCAGTATCCACAATAAGATTTTGGCCACTCATCTCTGTAGCTAGTACATACCTTGTCGTACATGACGCCTGACTCGTTATGCAGTTTCAGTACCGAACTGTTGCCAAGAAGTGTCTGTCTGGAAAGGCAACAAGAGGTAACAAATGAAAAACGAAAAAACTGATTATTTTTTCCTTCATTTTTCCTTCCAAATGTACAACTGCAGTCTACACGACATACGTGCATGGCCCTGGCTAGGGTTTTCCCTTGGCTACCAATATGTTTGAGAAGGCAAGGAAAGGAAGATGGCTCACTCATGATACAGTTGATGACCCTTAATGTACAGCTCCGTCTCCCTGCTCAGGGGAAGCGTACCATCATCCACTCGGAATCGGTAGAACAGGTATGTGTCCTTAAACTGGTGGTCGTCACACACTGACAGAATGATAAAATCAAAATAGGCATTGAACAGATGTTCCAAAAAACGTAGCCTTGGCCAATATTCCCTTAGGGTCGGAGTAGTTTTAGTTATAATAGATAAGGTTTAAAGACGACTACGTTTCTTGTTTTTTCTGAACTCCGGACAAAGTGTGTTATTACCATGGTGGATTACGTTATGGCGCTGCAATACATTCAGCATCAGTGCTGCTGTTGATCTGTCTTTGACGCCTGCGTGCTTGATCAGCCGATCAACGGCTTCGCTACCCACAAAGCATTTTGGGTACATCCGGAGGTGGTAACGTCGGTCTTTGACCATAGGTGGACGGCAGTTGTGAAAAGTCAGTCTGAGCCATAAACAAGAAAGGAAAAAATAAATGTGTACATGTGCACCACTCAGTGGAAACTTTGCGCTGTGACATCATTACCTGTACAAGGCGCAATTTCATAAAGTTGTTTTAATTAAGGAAAAAATATACTGATCGTCAAGCAGACCATTAACAGGGATGAGGACTATCATGGTACATGGAGGTGCTTAAATAATAACGTAAGGATGATGAACACAGCAACTGACAGTGGTGGGATTTGAACCTGCTACCTCCAAAACACCGCAATGGTCTTTAAAAAGCCCTCTGCCGGTGCATGGTTGGTTTGATGACTCTTGTTTCAAAGCCGTTTCCTCTTGAGTGATCTCCCGTTCACCACTTCAGGGGTTTCAAATATATTTCTAATCTCAGTACCATGTTGTGGAGGTTGCAGCTTCAAATCCTCCTTCTGTCTATTCCTTTCTTCATCTTCATAATTCAAGATTCAAAATACCTTCTTGTCGAGTAAAAAAGTTTTCACACGAAATTTGCTCTCCCAGTGGTGCAGGAAATAAAATCAGAGTATATTTCATAAATGCAAAAAAATAAAATTACCAAGTTCAAAGGCATTAATCAAAACCAGTTTCAAAAATGTTAAATTCAGTTACATTAGGTTACATTACAGATGGGTCATTTAGTAGTAAAAAAGCTAACAATTTGGAAGAAGGGGGGGAACAGCAAAGACTTCGAACAAGGCGGAATAACAAAACATGAAATAGGGAAGAGAAAAATAAAACCAAAATAAAGAAATACCGCTGAGCAAATTTCACAGCTGAGCAAAAGCCAGCAGGGAACCAGCCACCAGAACATGCAATTGCATGACATTTGGGCCAGGAACCAGTTACTGCCAAGCTAATAATAATTTCTGTTTGTCCAGCTTGTACCAAGATGGATATGTCCAAAGATTGAGAATGTGCCAAACGTTCTGGCAGCCACATTGGATTCTGATAAATGGTAACTTCAGGACTCGGGGATAAAAATAAATTACTCTGATCCAGAGAAAAATCTTCAACAACAGTATTTTCCCCAAATGTTTGCAACTGTGCGTCTCACTTGATCAAGTGGAAATCAATTTATTACCTTGAAGCTGTATATCAGTTCAAACAAATGACGTGTCCGTGTTCCTCGTTTTCTGGGAAGATGACGCCAACTGAATTGTTTTCTTATCTTCAATGTATCCAATAATATTCAAAAGCCCACTCAAGAATTACCTGCCCATTTAGCACAATGTCAACACATTCTGAAAGCTCTACCCAACGAGTAAACATGGAGAGTTGGGAACAATGGGGACACGATGTCAGCTGATATGCCATTGCACGCTAGTACCAGCAAATGCCTTGAGCAAACTTGCGCAGTGAATATAAATCCACATTTCCATTTTTTTTACTTTGGCTTAAATTGTGTGCCTTTGGAACTGGATTGGTCCCTTCACTGTGCAAGCTTTGAATCCAAACTTAATAGTAGGACTGACAAGTGTTTTGACTTCTGACAACTTCCCGACTTGACACTGCCACAAAATCTCTTCGAAAAGTCTGACAGACTGTGCATTTATTTTGTCAGATCTGAATTTTTTTGTCAGTACAGGAAAGAAACATGTACACAGATTACATGTATTTCAAAGCCTGCATGTGAAAAAAAATGACCGTCTAATTGTATTTCTCAATCTGCATAATTAAGGGGTCTGTAACTTTTATCAATTTTGACAAATGAAACTTCATATGGGTAATTCCAGAAATTAGAGGTCCATTTTTTTGTGTCCGTGTCACATCTGACATGTAATTTTGTAAGTTCACAACACATTTTCTAATTCCCAAGATGATGAATGTAATAATGCAAATTACCTGCCAAAGAGATAGTAACACATGTAGTTTGAAATTAATTCCGGTGATATTTCCAAGTCAAATCACAAAGGTCGGATGTAACAGGGACACAAAAATGTCACACTTTTGGACTCCTAAATTTCGGAATTACCCAATATACGAGTACATACATGTATGTACAGACTTATGTATGTACATGTATATGTACATATTTCAGTATGAGATAGCACTGACTGGAAGCAGTTTTGGCTCAGCCTACCGGCAGTTCCAGATTAAAGGTCACTTCAAACACCTGATTCCTAATAACCCCTGTGCACATATGGCTGGGCTTGATCACTGATCTTTGAACTTGACGGGCTCTACTGTGACCTCACAGTTGTGACAGTATGGAGCTTGGAGTAAAGGGCAGCCCCTCCCCCAGGACAGCCCCTAGCTGTGTGTTTAGCTGTATAGCCTTGACCTATAAGATTGCACACAAAATGCTGAGTCACATTTGTGGATTGTACACACAGTTATAATAAGCTCAGTGTTGCAAGATACGTACAGGATAGCACACTTAATAAATGCATACAAGATCCACATAACCTTCAGTCTTAGATATACACGCAATTCTTTTTCCTGCTCAATTTCTCCGTATATTAGAGTCAAATTGAAATGACTCTCCAGGAGCAAATGACTACAATTAGGAACACACGTAACTGCATCCCAAAGCTTACAAGTCCCCATTTTCATTATGCATTTACATGTATATACCTCCCCGATATTTTTTCATCTCTTGTGGACAATGTTGGCCTTGTGTTGAGGTTTCCTCCCTCTGGAATTTGATCCCCAACTTGCCTCAGAGGTTTCAGTTTTGGGGGGTTCATTTAATTTAAAGCGAGGCTTTCTGAGTTGCACTTAATTAACGTACCACGACCTCACAACCTCACCTTGGTTCACTGCTCATCTGCACCGGAAACAGAAAAGCCCCAAGATGGCATGTACTGCATGATACAGAGTTGTTGAAGTAAAGTGACTTTAACACCAACCGGCTAATAATAGGTCACTTCCCCTCCCCTTTAAGTATTTTACTTTGATTGGGAAAATTGATAAGGTAGATGTACATCTAATTTACGCTCTGAGAATAATACAGCTTGATCAAAGTACTCTGATTATGCGGTGTTCCATGTACACGTACGTGTATTTACACACAAGTGCATGTACATGTATACTAATTGGTCGAGGGGCGCGCACAAACACACCGTGAAGAGCAAACAATTCAAAAGTTCCCAGCTTCATCCTCCTTCTTCCACACTTTTTATTTTTCGGCAATCCTGTTGCTCCGTTGAATTGGATCCATCTTTCCCTGACTCTTTGGTGGCAAGTTCTCGTCTTCCGAACCTCAAGCAGAAAGGGCAAATTCACTGATTTATGCACAGCAGAAACGTGGCTCCGTTCAGGAAAAGTTGACATGATGCGTGCCATGCTTTCCCTACAAAGGCCCACTCAAAGTTAAGAGGCTGACATTTCTCTGGAATTTCAATTTTTTGGGTCATTAATTTCTTGTCAGAAATGACATCTCCAAAGTTTCAGATTTTCTGAAAAAATAAGGGTGGGAACTGACTTTAATTTGAAAAACGTTTAGAAAACTTTCCCATTACATTTAAACATTTCAACGTTTTGCCAACAGTTTACAGAGTTCGTCACTGCCTATCTTGGTGTTTCAAATTTAATGCATAAAAATGTATCGTTCAACAATGCACAGGGTCCAATCAATGTAAAAATGAAGATTGATCTTGGGGCACTTACATGTATAACAAACAATGTTTATAGTTTAGGAATCCATTTTTTTCTCAAAAAGTACATGGATGCGGAAAGGGAAAAGTGATCTAAGAATCAAATTACATTTTACATGCGCCACGCATGTTGGTTCACATACTGGTTCAAGAACTGGTTCACGTACAGGTTCTCACGCTGATGCCTTTACAAACATACATGTAATTGTGCACCTGAGGTACATATATGTACATGTATGTACAGCAGTACAGCTATATCATGGATGGGCCAACATTCCTGAGTGGATTAACAGTCCAACCATTTACAGGGGCAGACACAACTCCATGGACAATAGGCTGTTATTCAAGCCAACAAAGAAATAGATAGCTATTGTCACATTGTCAGGCCAGCCCTGATAACTTGAATGGTCCCAGCCAGTTATATGCAGATGCAAAGGGCTCCCATGGACAGTTATAATGGTAAAGGATTTTACTTCTTGGAAAGCATGGTGGACTTTCCCTGCAGCTGTAGGCTACAAACACAATGCAAACAAGGCAATTGACTGTGGAAGTATGTGTAAACATGTGCGGAGGCCAGTGTGATCAATTGATGCCAATGCACACTATGCACCTGTATGTACATGATGTATACATACAGGTGCGCTGGTGTAGCCTCAGTATTGTCAGCGCTGGCATTTGATTTGATTGTGTTCCAAAACAAAACACAAACAAAATGGCCTTGCTAGTTGAGAACTATGTCTTGACAATTAAAACAATGCACACAGAGGCAGTTTTCTCCTGGTAATCTTTACATCTTGCCTAGGGCTGTGCCGAATAACCGAATGATCGATCGATTATCGAAAACTTGAACATTATTTTTCGAATTTGAATATTTGAATAAAAAGTTCAATAAAAAAAAAGGCCAACAATACTCGACTTGAATTTTGATATTTTTAGAAGTCGAATTTTTAGAAACTGTGAAATGTTTTTACATGTAAATGGCCAGTTTGGCCAACCTGGCATTTCATTTATTAAAAAATTGACAAATCTGCAGTTTTATTTACTCAACCCACCTCAATTTCTCACCAATAATGAGGATCTTGCCAAAGGCTTGGTTCCCCAAGGAAACAGTGGAGGATGACCTCAGAGGTTTAGGAACCGTCAGGCCGATCTGGCCAGTCGACTTACGCTCGGCATGCTGCGCGGGCTCATTCCCAGACATCGCGGCGGCACACTGAACACCACAGTCTGCGTGTTTCCCCCTGCCGCTTCACATCCAACTTCCAGGTTGTGCACCTGACGAACTACAGATCCAGCTGTAGAAAGAGCACAGCACACATCTCCCACTTCCAGTATTCAAAACTGTGTCCTGGACATGAGATGCCCTCCTTTGCCGATTCCAGATCTTGAAATCTCTCGAAGATCTTCTCAAAGTTCGGGAGCTCCCAACATCAGAATGTTCCTGCTGGCAATGTCACATTTTACAAGCTTCTTCCCATTTCTTACAATATGGAGTACCCCACACAGTGCTTTTAACACCGTCAGAGTCGGCCAGTTTCACATTTTTTTTTCACGACCACCACTGGTGACTGACGACCCACTCTGGCAGTTCTTGGAGCTATGCAGTTGTTTCCTACGGCAAACAATGCTGACTAGAGAGGGAAACAAGGTTTCAATTCCATTTCTCATCTACATGTATACAAGCATGCAAGAAACACAGCAGTTGAACATAACAACTACAGTCCAGGTCTATTCAGTAGATAACAGCAGGGTCCAACGACCACATGGCTGATATCAACAAGATCGGTATAATCATTTGGAATAATATACATCTGGCTAATCATCACCTTTATCATCTACGAGAATCCAATATTTAATTACTTACAAATAATGCAGAGTTACTACGCTTACAGCCTAAAATGCAAACAATTCCTCTGTTACAGTTCTACTCCAAATCCCAGACAAAAATAACAAAGCAGAAAATAACCCTGTTTTGGCACGTTTGATAAATGGAGGTACATACATGAACATCCAGAAATCCATATCATAAACACTAAAACAGTGCCCCTTGTGTCAAATGATGTCAGAACTCCCCCCCCCCACCGTTCAAATTTCGATGACCGCGCAATATTGAATGAGGACTATCCCATTATTTTGGCTACCCCATCATGTCCATGCCATAACTCGCCCAATCCCCCTCCCAACACAAATTTACGCCACTGCCACTGGACAGTGACATACCGCAAGTGTACACTGCCGAGGTCTAGTCACACAAGCCACGTTAATTGTTATAATTTGTAATGACGCCTAGCCTGCAGAAGGGGATTATTTATAATTATTGTCATGACTGTCGACTGCCGATAACATCACTGAACATGGATAAGGCTGAAAATGAAATGTCATGCACGGTTTGTTGGCCTACCGTATTCGGCTGCGCAGTCCGATGTCAGCTTCCAACTGCGGACAGGTTTCACAAATCAAACTGTCCAGCCACAATCTGGCATGACCAGCCGGGGCTAAACCGTTAACAGCTGTGAAAGCTATAAATGCGATCAATGCGTTTATATCTCGAGCGCAGTGAATTGAAGTAGGCGAGATGTAATGCTAACTGCTTTGAGTATGATATCGCACCACACACCGTTATATCTCTGGGCCGGTTTACTGATTTGTTCCCAGACGTTTATATGAGGATATTCACCTAAAGTGTACAGGGTAACCGACTAGCTAAACCACGTACACACGAACACTCGATGCATGATATGCAGTCGACTAGTATAGTATACTGTACTCACGAGCACGTGGTATACCGCCCTCTATCAGAGCAATAATAAATCATGGCGGGAAACAGGTGAGCTGAATTTGTCTATCCTGTTGTCAGGTCGTAGGATTTTCGAAAAATAACGCTGTATTTTGATCCATCTTTGGTACTTTACCGGAACATATAGACTTTATGTAACGTCATCCCTAGTAGAAAGGCAAATAAATTTGCTATCTGGGGCCTCATGATTTACAAAAAATTTCAACACTAGTACTAAAAAAAGTAGGCCTAATATTGTAATAGTATTACGGGCCTAGGCTACATGTACCTACATATTTAGAAATAGGCCTAAGGCTAAGCCATGATGTAGGCCTAGGCCTACTAGTAGAATTTCTAATTTCTATTTCTAGAATGTCTCGGCCTACTTCCTGAACGGTAAGGTACTACTCTGTAGACCTTACTGCATCCATCCTTTTGATGGTTCGGTATGCAAGGCCTATGGCCAGTGACGTAGTCGAGTACTTTTTGAGAACCAAGTTGAAGTTCTTTACCAAATGTTTAACTAGTTAGGAGGGAACAAAGCTGAAGTACATTGGCATTTGATGGTACATGCATAAAGGTAAGATGACAAAGCAACATAATGACTTCAGACCATCACTGTTGATTAAAATTAACTTTTTAGGAAAAAAGTACTCGGAAAGTACTCGGCCGAGTACTTTCTGAGTACCTTTCTCTTTAAAACTTCAATTGTACACAACTGGGAGTGTCTGAAGTCTACCATTTATTTTGTAATCTTACCTTTGCACATTTACCATCAAATGCCTGTGCCCTCTGGCTTTATTCCCTCTTACCCAGTTAAGTATTTTGCGGAGAACTTTGGTACTCGGAAAGAACCCGTAGGCGTTACTGAGTACCATCAGCTTCAACTTGGGGTTAGACCTAAATTGTGAATTCCACTTCCCAAATGTCTGGGTATCTTGGGTATTCTCCCGATCAGATATCCGGGAACTTCTGTACATTATTGAATAGGCCTAGTGTGAAGGGTAAAGTTGCCCCTTTGCCCCGTGTTAAATGCTCGTATTGATGTCATGCTGACCGTGGATATCACATGTTTTGTGATTGTGTAGGACCTGTGGCATTTATTTGATGACATAGGCCGTACATGGACTACACTCAAGTTTGACTCTTTGTGCACAAACCCAGTGTCAAACCCAGTTGTCGAAGGAGACATGCCTGAAAGATGCTAGAGAGCCTATTTTCAAAGTGAATCCTTCAATATTTTCCATGCTAAACATGAATTTTAGGACATGTTATCGTTTCCTTAAAAGTTGCGATGTCCCTGCAAGAGGAACCCTTTCCTTCAGTTTAGCAGAATACTGTGTCAAATATCCACTTCAGATTACACGTTTGTTCAGGGTCATGTACGACAAACAATCAGATGATATTTTATTTTGTCTTTTTATTTTGGTCACAATGCAGAACTCTGTCTCAGGTCCAGACCATAGCGGAGCTAGCCAAACTTGATCAATCTGACCTAGAGCCGAGGTGCCAGTGTCTCTATTTTGGAGCAGAGCTCAACGCTGCAGACATGGTCCTTATGGAGGTGGAGGACTCCGTATTGGCATTTTTAGAGAGGGGAAACAGGTAGAAAAGAGAGTTACACGTACAGGAGGCCCTGTGAGAAAAATATTTTCTCTGCAACTGAGCCTGCCCCATTTCTTGAAGTTCGTTCCTTGGCTCAGAATCAGGATTTTCAATATCATGAACCCATTTCCTTTGCCTTCAGCGTAGTCATCCGGGGCGAGAAGACCGACAGTGCCGTGCTCTGTCTGGACGCCAAAACCTACGACGTCAAGGACACTGATACGTCAAACACGTTGCTGATTCTGCCAGCCTGCTCCACAACGAACGAATGCAAGGACAGCGAGAGACAAATTGTGAATAGACAGGTGAGGGCCCCAAGGTTGTCTTCTCTATTTTTCCTGACAGTTTGGTTTGTAGGGCTAGGTCATGTTTTGCTTGCTCTAATTAAAGGGATTTTTAAATCCAAGCAACAGGTGCCCCAAATGGATCCAGATGAATTGTTCGTTTCACCTGGCAGATTTTTGAGGGGTAGGCCTTTCAATCCTCCCATCCAGGTCTGCCAAAAATCATGCATGCAACTTTTCTTCAGATTGGCTGATTCTCTCGTTTTTCACTTCACACTAATGCCATTGAAGTTGGAGAATGCCATAAAAAGTCTAGTAAAGATTGGAATTTGCTCGTTTTTGTCAAAGTCCAAGTTGCGTGCCTGCAAAATAGGAAAACAGAAAGGAAAAACACTTCAACAGATGCCTGATTAAACCCATTGAATGACGGCTCACCACCCCCCCATGCCAAAGTTAGATCCGCCCCTGGTTTGAGCATAACTGTTTGCGGGCCTGCCCTTTGGTAGTTGCTTGATGTCCCGATGAACCAAACAATGTTTCGGCCTGAGGAAATTCAGGTAGACTTCCCAGCAGGTGGTTGCATTTTAGGCTGGTTAGATTCAGCTCATTGCGGAGAGTTGTAAGACCCAAGTCTAGGGGATGTGACTGTAGCCTCAGCCACATCTTAAGTCGTGACCTCTGGTTAGATGCCATCAATGCTTGTCAATCTTGCACATCGTTCCCACCATGCAACCCACAAGGTGATCGGTCTGGCCAAGTCTTACTATGAAGTGAAGCCAATGCGGCCCAGGCTCCGCAAGCTGCGCTCCCTGCTAGAGGAGTGTCCGTACGGTGGGGATGTCTACGAGGAAGAGGCTAGTGGCAAGAGGTACTCCTTGGAGGACATCCTTGATGTCATACAGGCTAGCGAGGTGGAGATCAAGGAGGAGCTGAAGACGCAACGAGCGTGTCACATCAATGGTATGCTCTTAGCTGCCGCACATGGGGGTCGTTTATCACAGCACAAAGCCAGACCCTGTGGAGCTTTTAAGCACAGCACTGTAAGAAAAAATTGCTGAGCGACGTGTCGGTTGCCCCCAGCAAATGCCCTCCCCCAGTGCCCACCCCCCCTCATTTCAAATCCATGAACAACGTCTGCTGCAACTGTCATTTGGTGCCCCTTGAAAACAATGCGTACACCCCCGGGTGCCCCCTGGACATGATAGCCCTAGTTACAGCACTGGGTATTATGCCTATACTCATACACATGCCAATGTCTCTGCTCACGTTAAAGCAGATTATCCCCGTTGTATAGAAACGCAAGAATGCAATTGTGGAAAAGCGATAAAATAATCAACTTGAAGTTGAAACAGCAATAATGTAAAAAGTAGCATCCGTAATTGTTTTACAAGTTGTTACACTTGGAGTGCAGTTATTTTCAAGAAGTAAAGGGACACTCACGTACACTTTGTCCCATTTCCCAGGCTTTTGGAGGATGCTGCATTTCGACTACGAGTGCCAGCTTCTTAGTCACATTCTCTCTCTCGTTGAGGAGAATTCCTGGGATTTTCACAGGATCCCACTGAAGGAAACACTGGATACCCTGGAGAACTTAGAACCAAGGTTTGCAATCCCTATTTCAGTTTTTAGACCAGCGTAACCCTTTCCTTTAATACTATACAAGTGCATTTCTACATAGGTACCTCCCTCTTTTTACTATAACTTATTATTATTCAACATTGCTGATAAAGAAGACAAGGATTCCTTAAAAGTGCCCAGGCACTTTAATAGTTCGCAAGCCTGCAGACAACTTATAGAGAGGAGACAATGAGAAGCAGTTATAGTTTTAGAGGTGGGAGAAACCCCCAAATATTCTGGGTGAAACCCACATCATCAGATGAGGGCTTAAAACCCAATCCATAGTGGATCAGGCCGGGAATTGAACCCCAGACCACAGAGGTGAAAGGCAAGGAAAGAACCACTTGCCAAGCTGACTTCCCTGCTACTACTCTGCTACAAAACATCTCAACAGAGGAGATTGTTTGCAGTATCCAGAAGAAGGAGATCAAATTAAAACAAGGGGTCAAGAAAGCGGCATCTCTCAGAGCTAGTGCAGCCCATCAGGCCTGCTTTTATCTCCACTTTCAGTACCCTGAAATGGCTGAGAGTATTCCTATTCCTCGTAGATGTGGTGTTTGCCCATCACGGGTTACCTATACCATTTATTGCCAGTATCCATTCTCCTGGATGGGTGTAAACTGGCTTGCCCAAGGACATAACATCTTTGCCAGCACCTGGATTGGAACCTCTGTTCCTCTGATTGCAAGTCATGAATCCTAACCACACCCCCCCTCAAGTAAATGTTCGTGGGCTGGTCACATCAGTCCGGCGCGCAGTAGGTGCGACAGCATTGTAGGCCCCGAGAATCGCTCTAATAATCCATCTTGACATTGTCCACATAGAGCCATTTTGGAGCACACTCTGGAATGCTTCGGAGAGAGACTTCCACGACAGGACTCTAAAGGTAGGCTCACTCAGTGAAAAATGGAGCGCCCCCCCCCACATATCCCCCCCCTCCATTGAGTCAAAAATAATCCTGTCCACATTTGTGCTTTGACAGGTGATCATGTGTTTTATTGCCTAAATGAAGACAAGGTCTGCCAAATGTTTGCTGAAATGCTTCTCAGGCCAGCTGAAAAAGTACGTAACCAGTTCCATCCCTCCCATTTTTTCCCCTCCCCCCCCCCCCCCCCCCCCCCAATCTGTTCCAGCATCCCATCCTCCTCCGAGTGTCAGTGACAGAAATTCTTGCTAGGTAATTTTCAGATGAGTCCAGTGTTAGCCACTAGCGGGTCTTCTTGTCCGATAGCCTTCTTCTCGGCCATTCTGGACACCCAGTCTTGTTGAGAATGTGCCTGAAAAAGCGTACCTCGACAACTTCAATGCTGTGCCTGCCATGTCAGGCGAAATTTGGACTTTTTCTTGTAGTCTTAATGCTCACGGAAGCCTTAGCGATACTGGCACTTTGTTATTGATAGCCAGAGAGTTGTCTCGTTTGTGAGTTTTAACTTACTGTATCTCACTGGATTTTTCCAGTTCAATTTAGCCGAGTTCTTGTTGTCATGGCAACAGAGCGTGCCAGACGGAATGGCAACAGGGATGCACCAACTCCAGGTAAGCAGAGGGAGCTACCATGGAAGCATCTGATCATTGCATAGTGCCAGTTCTAAAAAAAACAAGTAGTGTACCCTGTATGTCGTCACCATCAGAGAGAAAAGTGCCCCAAATCGTGATTTTGTCCAATTTCTGGTTTTCTTAGCAAAATCAGCGAGGCTAACTGCTGCCTAAAAGGAGGTGTAATCATTTTTTTTTTTTACCAAATCTACTCGAATCGGCCAAATCATGATGATCTCGATGGGCAAAATGCAACTTAACCACATTTACTGTTTTCACAAAGCAAGAAAGTAGTCCTCCATAGCGTTACCATTAAAGGGTAAAACCGTGGGCAAAATGTGTTATCATTTTTGGTAAAGGCAAAAGTGACTTAAGAAATGTATACAAATGTAACAAACTGCACCTGGCACTCGCCAATATAGACTGTTTTCAATACAAACGAGACAAAATGCAAATGAAATCCAACATTTTCAGGAACAAACAAATGTGTTTGTTTACAAAATAAACAATTTAAATTGATTCCCGTCAATATTCTGTGGTTTTTGTGCATTTAAGATCTTATCTTTCACGTGGTAGTTTTTTTTTTAGTCGATGGAAAGTCAAGTCTTGGGGAAACCTGGATTGTACTCTTTGGATGGACTGAGTCTCTTCTTCAACGTCTGTGTCCTTAAAGTCGATTGTAAATGGCTTGTGATGAGAAACCTTGAATAGACATGTAATGGTTGTCAACACCCTCTCTCCCAGGGCATTGCAATTATTGACAGGAACAGTAAACCCGAGGTCATCTTCCATTTCCCGTTCTCTTTGATGCCTGAGAATGAGGTTGACAGGTACATCTGAACCTTTTGACCCTTCAAGCAATTATACGTCAGTATTTTAAGTGTTTTCTTTCCACTGGTACTGATTAATCAACTCACAGATAATAAGTCCAAAAAGCTGTAACATACCTCCCAAAAAACTCAAATTTGCATATGATTTGATTTCTGTATGTGATTCCAATTATATGTCCTATTGCTTTTGTTGTGTATAATGTTACCTGTTTGATTACTAAAATGTGGTTCTGGTTTCTGGAGGTTATTAAAACGTGAAAATTGAACACTCTGCTAAACTTTCCATTCATCAAAATTGGCTATTGGGATATTTTCTAAATTTTCTTAGCAATTTTAATACTTGTGTGTGTTTGTTTTCCAGATTTAATTTCTTGTTCAAAACGAGAGACAGGTGGACTCAAGAAGAGATTTTACCCTACATCCAGTAAGCAAACTGAGAAATTTGAAAATGCTGCCGATAAGGGAAGTAGGTGTGCGTTTCTTACATGTAGTTGATCGTCTTGTGTGCGTGTTGTGTTTTTTTGGATATGACAGGGATCTGGTAACGGAGAAGTTATCAGCAGCCGCATTGTTGCAGAAGCATGCAAGAGCCTCAGTGGGAGCCAACGGTGTCCGAGTGTATAACTCCAAAAGACCCATCAAGTAGGGTCTTAGAAGGCATCAGCGTGCCCCCCCCCCCCCCGCCTTGGGCTCGTAACGTCGGAAGAGTGGTAGAGATGCGTCGTCCTGATTGAGTTGCCACGTCCGTGTGGCACTTCCCAGAGACGCCGACACAGTGGGGAATGGTCCATTTTACATCGGGGTGGAACACAACAGGGCAGCAGTATTCTGAGAAGGAGGCCCCAACGGAGCATCGTGAGGCAAAGATGGGAATAGGCACTCTCTTCATACAGACCATGCTCAAAGAATTTTGAAGTTTTGGGGAGCTGGCAAGTTTTGGTGCCATTTTGTGCCGTTTTGATTCAGAGAAATCGAAACTGAAAGAGGCTAACTCTAGTGGCAATTTGAATCATTCTGTTGCATACCTGGCATTCTTTGTTATGTCAGGGGGGGGGGTTTTATGAGTGATCCAGGTGGGGAAACCATCCGTCATCGTCGGCTCTCTCCTCAATTCAAAGGTGTTTACTTTCTCCAAAACTCTGAAGTGAATTGGGGTGGAAATTACTGTGTTTGACTTGATTTCTCACCAGTGGTCCCAGGTTTGCGTTTGCTTATCCATGCGTCAGTTAATATAATGCCCATGTGCTTGAAGTGGAACTCTACAAAGAGAAAGGGGAAAATAAAATATTCGAGATTTAATAATATAACAAAAGATGACGTCATTGTGACGTCTGTGCACTCGTCCAAATTGGGAGTAGTTATTTATTTAACAGTGTTTCCCTGAAACAAATTGGAATGCTGTATTTCGTGGGAGTGAAATTTTCCGTCTTAAGTTGTAATTTGTTGTGAAGACAGACTCACTCAGCCAATGCATGTAGTCTTTATATCAGTCTTAAGGAACAAAACACCGATGGTTGTATTTACATGTATTTAGTTCAAAACCGGTACACCGTGAATAATAAATTGAACTTTTCCAAAACCATTTCAGTTTCGGACCAGTAAATCATTTGAACATCGTGAAAGCAGACTCTAAACGCTAATTTTCAAATGGAAAAATTTTTGTCATCGAGTACTGAGGATACAGTGCTGTCGCGTTTGTGGTACCACGCACACAATTATGTGGACCGCAACGTTTTTGTCATATTGGCACTCCAGGGGGCGTCCTTGATGGCGGTGTATAGAGCAAGAAAGTATTCACTCCGCGAGCTTCCGGCACCCTCGCGCGGTCCGCCCATGGGGATTTTACATGGGCTGTCCCGTCACGTTTGGTAAATTTTGGAAGAAAGATTCCTAAATGAAATCACCCCAATAAACAATCATGTCAGAATTTACCTGTCTCATTAGCATGGTCTTAAGAGCTTTGTGCCACCGAGTTGGATGCTTCACGCTGTGCATACAGTGCATGTTATTATAAAGATCACTAATAATTAGGAGGCGCCATTTTAAGTAAGTTGTCAAGTAGGAAAAATTGTCACTTTTTCTCTGGCGTGTAGGTCTACGTTCTTCATCTTTATAGTTTGGATGGGTAGAAGACGCAAGGTTTATGATGACCTATTCTTGGCTTCGTTATGGGTATACTGTTTGAAAAAAGCGCTCAGAGTCTAAACGCATTTCTAGACACTTTTTTGGTATGCTTACTTTTTAAATACGTTTCACGCTCGACATGTTTAGACATTTGCACTGAAATGTGTTTAGGAATGTGGTTAAATGCTAAGCGTACACGTATGAAACAAGCGTTGAACATTTCAACCCATTTCTGAACGCCTCACAATAAACATGACATGGATTAGGCGTGTTAAACAAAAGTGGGTTGAAAAGTGCATGTTTAAACTCTGCAATATTTTACTGAGTGAGCCATGCATTTTTGAAGGACTCGCAGTGACTTTGAAGATACCAAAGGGCGTTGATTAGAGCCGTCAAGAGTTCTTTCTTCTGGTACGAAAATAGATTTGGTTTTTTATGTGAGATCGATTAGACGTCTTTACATACAGATATGGTGTGGAGGGGCCTATTTGGTATAGATAGTCAAATAGTTCATTGCGGGCAAACCTTTTCCGTGTTTTTAGGGTTTAAACTGATTTTTGTACTCAGAATTTAAAGCGAATGTGCCAGTCAGCGCCACCATAGCAGTACAGCTGTATACTGGCGCAGTTGGCCCTTTTAAACGCCTTATTATTGTGTCTAAGGGAATGTTGAGTGTTTCTTTATGATGAAAGGGGCTTTCTGTTATGACGCAACTGCACATAACAGGTCTGCATCATGAATATAGCACCTTTGTGTAGGCTGATCCCTGAAGGGATGCACTGTACGGGCAATAGATCATACTGTTGATGGTGTTGTCTACCCCAACGGAGTGTTATAGCTTTTCTTTAAAATGCAAATCATGAGACTTTTCGAGTATCAGTAAACTCCCACGGCCGCTTGAAGCCTTACGGTATACCAGCAACACTTGCCGTGTGTACACTGTATATGGATTGTGGTGGTTGCCAGTCTAAAATTCCATGCCCACGGCGTTTCGAGTCGCGTTTTAATGCTTTGAGTGTACATTATCGAAGAAAAGTTAGTGGAGATCAGTCAGAACAGTAAGACGGTGGGTGTTAACATGGAGGACGGCACCAGCTATGTGTTGGTAACGGGAGGGGCTGGCTACATCGGTAGCCACACCGTCTTAGAGTTGTTGAAGGAAGGCTATGACATTATCGTCGTGGATAACCTGTCCAATGCTGCAAGTGGTAAGTGTACATGTATATACATGTAGTCATATTGTTTTATGTTAGCTTTAAGATTTTTATGAACGTTGGCGTGCTGTAGTCACAGAGGAAATTCTCAAGTTTTGCAGGTACCATCAAAAATCCAAAGAGAGCTATTGAGGCTCTGGCGAGATATTTTTCACTTTTTTTCGAGGTTTTCTTTTCAATAGGGCCCTATGTAGTATTGGAGTTGGTTTCTTGGGATTTCCGATTTTGTACTATTCGTTGTCCAAAATTTGTCGCATAATATCCAGTCGCCGTATACCCCTATGGTAAGTGAATCGACAGTACATTACGGGACGACTGTGTAAATATGCTGTTCGTAGTGGGTGCAAATTTCATTTAGGCTTCTGTGAAAAGCAGGGGACAAGCCAATTCGTACCTTTGACAACTCATATCATGGACAACTCGCATCATGGACAACTCCTTGTGTACGAGACAACCTGTACCTTCACAGAATCAGACCTTGCTTAGAGCTTATTATTATTGTACTTAACATGAAGATTAATTTGATTTCTTAGTTCGTCACCTAATTTGCTGTTTTGTCTACACTGCCTTCCCTACACGGCAACCAACGCTGGCTGTCCGGCAACTGACACTGGTCAACGTTGCCAACTGTCGTAGCATGCAATGCGGAATCTTCACCGTGCAGTCCGCCGTGACGATGGAGTGATGTCACGTTTTCATTTATTTCAAAGTTTATAACGTAATGACAGTTGTGAATTGTTCCCAAAAAATTTACTAAGGAAGGCGACCACCGCCACCTAAAATAAATTTTAAAACAAGGCCAGAAACATTTCCAAAAGAAATCAAGACATAAGTTTTATTAAGTACACCCCCCCCAAAAAAAGTTAACAAAGTCATCATTCCCCCACAAAATGAAGAAGTCCAATAATGTTTTCCCAAAGCCATAAGAATAAATTGAAGTCTCCCCCCCCAAAAAAAAGAATTTCGAGTTTAGTAAAGCCCCCCCCCGAAAAAAAAAGAATGTTAATAAGGAAGTCAAGTTGGGAAACGGTGGGGTTGTTCTACATCCGTCACGTAACCGGCGGCGCAAAGGCCCGCGGCAGGCACTATGCAGAAAGTCATGCTGGCGCTGGAGATCTCACCAGATATTTTTGGAGATTTTTCCTTGAAATGATTGTCAAATAGGAAGAGAAAGAAAGCTACAACCGACTTGCAAACATGAAGTGGTTTTAACTCGAGGTGCGAGTCGTCCAAGGTACGAGTTGACTCGAAAGCAAGAAATTCACACTGAAGGGTGACCTTTCTGATACTTCGTTGCCAGGTTCAAATGGCCTCCCTGAGAGCCTCCGTAGAGTTCAGAACATCGTTGGCGGTGATAAGAAAGTCTTATTCTACCAAGTGGACTTGCTTGATGTGGATGGTGTGAGAAACATCTTTAAGAAGGTATTCTGTGTTACCTTTTCAATTTTCAGACGTGAAGAAAACCACTTGCTACAAGCCGTTTGCTTTAATACATGTGCTAGCATTGTTTGCTCAAAAGCACCAAAAATCTACATGCAACTTTGTGAATAAAAGTTTTGGTCCTTGAGATTAATGACATGTATCAGGTCATGCGTGTTTTCACAATAGAAGCTGGTCTGCGAAAACCCAATGTCAGAACCAGTTCAGGGAGCTACAAAGCACCGACATTTTGCTAAAACATAGAAAATGTCAACCTAACAGAAAGAGTATTCCATCCCATTAATTCAGGTGATGCCGGTTAATATACTATTGACTGGTTTATACGAGGTCATTTTTTTTCTCAGCGCATTTATTTCTGAAGCCATTATTTGAGCAGCGCAGTACAAAGTTATATTCACTAGGTGGCTATCTTAAATCCTGTTCCCCGAATTCACAAGACTAATCGAGCACTCTGAAGCGGGGAGGTGCCCAACTTTTTTTTTTCTGAAACTATAGGGTTTGTCTCACTTTGAACAATATTTTCATATCAGCCCAAAAGTGGCATGTCTATCCAAAATGTGGAACTACACTGAGGGAGCACGATGATATATTGCTCCCACACCCCTAAATTTTTGAAACAATTTTTACTGGGGCTGCCTATTTCAATTCAAGATGGGCGACGGGTGCATAAAGTCAAGTAAGCCCTGGTCATGTTCTGCTCAAGATCCAAAAGTAAGTCGGTTATGTTGAACTTCTTTGTTGTGCAGCACCAGATCCGTTATGTGATCCATCTTGCAGCCAAGAAGGCCGTCGGAGAATCGGTGGAACAACCTTTGTTGTATTACCGAGTCAACATCATGGGCACGCTCAATCTTCTGCATGTAAGTCAGGCGTTAAATCCAAAGCTGGTCGGGAAACGGATTTGTTTCCCGTGAGACGTATCCTGCGCTTGGTGCATGATGATTGTCACTCGATCGTACTGCAGGGTTTGCTGTAAACCTGCTCTCACTGCAGACTTGCTTATACGGACGGTCAGTCATTAGATAATCCTAGATCCTTATTTTTTGTTCGACACGGCAAGTCTTACCACAGTTGCGTCAATTCTGAAGAAAATCTGTCATCACAATATATGTTCATCATTCATAATGAGTGAATGTGCTGCAGCAGTTATATAACTTTCGAGCGACCTCTCCGTTTGGGTTGGGGCAAGGAATGAAAGTCATTCGCACAAGGAAACTTAAAGATGGGCAATCAAACGCGAGGGATGTATAAAATAGGTCAAAAGTGAATTTTTTTTTTACATGCACTGGCCAATGTGTAGGTGATGGAGGAGTTTAAGGTGAACAACCTGGCTTTTTCAAGTTCCACTACCGTTTACGGCGACCCAGAGAGGCTGCCCATGGACGAGTCGCATCCCACGGGCCGGAGTCTCACTAATCCTTACGGCCGCTCCAAGTTCACGGTGGAAATGATCCTGAGAGATATCTGGGAGTCCACGCAGGTGAGCGGCATGCATCATTGTTGTTCCCGCAGTGGATGGTACCCCCTCATCCGCGTGTGTGTGCCACCATCCAGCGCCAGAAAGTAACCTTTGAAAACCTGGTAATAAAAGGGCAGCTTGTCTATACAAAAGCTAGAAAATCACTTTGTTTCATGATCTAAAAAGGTCGCGTAGACGGCGATTGATTCAGAAATTTTCATAGGTTCTGTGTTTTTGGAGACTGTTTTACCGACATCGAAGAGAAACGTATCCACCTGCACCTGAGAAGTATCATCAAATTTACGTTTCAATTTCCTCTCTCTTCTCTCAGCACCTGAAGCGCGATTATCCGAGGACGTGGAAGTATGACAAAAACCAGATAATGGTATGTGTCTTTTACGTTGTGAGAACACCTTGTCACTTTTTCATGATTAATTTTTGGCCATGGGGCCTCCAAGGTGTAGTCGGCTTAAGGGAGTGAACGAGCGCACTGTTCCTCCTCAACGAGCGTCAATTTCAGCTGCCACGGTGGCCACATCAATCGGAGTAAGGTTTTTAATGACCAGTATATTAAGACGCTAGCTGCAACCACGCACCTAGCTATCTGCATTTTAGTGCGCCCAATGAAAGGGGAGGGCTTGGGTTTGAATCCCAGCGGTTTGCACTACTACAAGTTCGTGTGAAGCCACGAATGCGTCAGTTAAGGACCAATACAAGTTGCACCTGCCCCTTTTTTTTTTTATCAAGGACTGGAACATGGTCCTACTGCGCTACTTCAACCCCATCGGGGCCCACGAATCAGGCCAGATCGGCGAAGATCCTTGTGGTCCGCCCAACAACCTGGTGCCGTACGCCACGCAGGTCGCCGTGGGCAAGAGGGAGGAGTTGAAGGTGTTTGGGAATGACTACAGCACCCACGATGGCACAGGTACCGTCAGTCATGAGTGCTGGGGGTCTAATGGTCCCAGTTGAAGTGATCCAGGTCAAGAGGTTTGCTCGTTTATGTCACCCAAAGACCTGAAGTTTTCACCCGAGAGTGAATCCAAGGAGGTCAATGGGGGCATCCCCCCAAACAAAAAGAATAAAAATTATTTTGAAAAGTTGTATTTTGGTTCCAAAAGTAAAAGGCCAAAAAATGTAGCCTCACCATTCCAAACGGCAATGAAGGTTACATTAAAAAATCCAAATTTATGCCCCCCCCCAAAAAAGACAAATTTGCCCCTCCAACAAATTTGGTTCTGGATCTGCCCTTTTCTTTTTACCTTGAGCTCTTGAAACTCGGCAGCTTTCTACCTGAACTAATTTCTTTCCCAGGTGTCCGTGATTACATCCACGTGGTAGACCTCGCTATCGGCCACGTGGCGGCAATCAAGAAGCTGGAGGGGAATTGCGGCTTCAAGGTCTACAACCTCGGAACCGGGACCGGCTACTCGGTGCTGGATGTTGTCAGAGGGCTGGAGAAGGCCGCTGGGAAGAAGGTTGGCGTCCCTTCATGGGTCTCTCCAAAATTTATGTTGGTGTGACAGAGCAATCCAGTCACGATTAACATTTAGGGGAGACTCCAAATACGGTCACTGCCAACGTCGAAGGAACCATTAATTGCCCAATTCGAATGTTTATTCTGAACATGCGCTGAACAACACTGTTGCAAAAAGTTGACTTTAATGTAATTCTGTTATGACTGGTCTGAATGTCCTTTCACAGTACTGGAAAAAGGATAAGAAATTCACCTCGAGTCAGACTTGTTTGTCTGTCTGTTTGTCCTGAATTTCTACGAATCCTTAGAAATCAGAAGTCAATATGGAACTTTGATTTTGTTTGGCAGATCAAGTACAGCATTGTTGGGCGTCGAGGTGGGGACGTTGCTGCCTGCTACTCCGATCCTACCCTGGCCGAGAAGGAACTGGAATGGAAAGCCGTTAGGGGCCTGGACAAAATGTGTAGGTTATCTCTTTCCTCTGCTGAAAGGACCCTCAAGCAGCCCAGTGCCTTGAACAAAAGTTCCTATGCTTGAACGAGACGCCATTCTTTGCCATGCCGGATCTTTTACCAAGTCGAATTGAATTGTCATTTTTTTTTCCTCCTCCAGGTGAGGATCATTGGCGATGGCAATCCCAGAATCCTAACGGGTACGCTCCGTGACAAGAGAAGGGAGAGACTTAATTCAAGATGGCATTAAAGTCATCCTTGGACTGACTAGACATCACAGATGCAGAGGGACATTAGCCTAGATGGGATAAATGGATTAGATTGTCGTAGTGGCTAGATGACAATACTTGTTATTTGCACAATTGAAAAAAAAATGACATGGACATCGATAGAGTTTCAAAGTATATGTACTGCATGGACATTTGGGACTCGAACATTAATGGAAAACATCAAAGAAGGGTTGAACTTGTACAAGACGGAGAAACAGGGATGGGACAAAAGCACGTTGATATCAGAGGGAGATCGGCTTTATTATACTGTTGTAAGAGTTTGGATTGTAATTGCATAAAATTCAACATAATGTTAACTGAATTTTCTCAGTTTGAAAAGCAAAAGGTGAAGGGTTGAACGTTATTTGTTCATTTGAAAAGCTAAAAACAATAATGTTAGCAACATATTGATTGGCATGAATTGTAAATCCTTGCGTAGATGAACACTCCTATAAACCAGGCGTTTTGACTGAAATTAGTGTCTACCGGCTCAGTTATTGCTGTGTGACTGCTAAGATGAACTAGTCTTGCTTAAGTTGTGATACACTTGGCATTTGTTATCTTCTTGTCTGTTACTCATTTTGATCTTATAAGCCAGTAAAGGCAACGATCCGTCAGCACACTCCATATTGCAGTGGGCCTTTGGGCATATAGAGGCTTTGCATGGCTGCCATCTTGTAGGCATGTGCTTCTGTTCCCCAGGGAAATCTGTTTGCATACACCGCGGAACAAAAGCACTGGTATGCAAAATGGCAGTCATGCAAGCCCTCTAATGGGGCGTCAGTTTTCTGGAAGCGAGACTTTACTGAGTTTGACCAGTTGATCACTCCTTTAACATCGTTACATTTAAGCAGGGACACGGAGACATTTCCAACTGGGGTTTTCGTGGTACGCCCTTTTTGTTAGTGCGTGACACTAGCGACAGCACTGCTGGGGACGATACGTAAGCCTACACTGGAGGATATTGTGCACGTGATCTGAATCGGTTAACCTCTGCTTTCCCATAGCGGTGCATGCTAAATCATGGCGCTGTAAATTGTGAAAGATAGTGTACATGTGCAAATAATGTCTTTAATACAAGGAGTTTGGACTTTTGAGGGCAGCACCCGTCCGGCTTTTTTTCTTATCTTCATGCTGTCGAAAGATTGATGAAATTGAGTAGGCCTACGTGACAGTTTGTCCTACGCTGAGCAACGCGTCTCTGAACCAAACGCACGCGGGTTGATTCGTTTCCTAGTACACTGGTAAGTACAATGCTTGCTGGTGGGGTCTATGAGAGTTTTTGTACCGCTTATGACCGTATAATTATTGTAGCGAGGGGATTTCATTGTTTTAAAAAAGATTGCTGTGATTGTTTTGTTGTAGTTTAATGGGAAAAGTTGTCAAGTGAATGAAATGGAAATATCACGCCACTTCGACAACTTTTCGGTTATGTCAGCGGCAGATCGAACTCTAACTTATTCACATTCCGTATGTGGGCTTTATTTCTTGTGAAATTCGACATCTTAAAAGAAGCCTAAGTTCAGTGTTGCCACCAAGATCCGTAATACAGGCCACCAAGTATATTAGGGACAAAGAACATCCTGATTCAATCAGCATTTCAGATTAAAAGCCTTGCATCACTTTCCTTTCATTTAATTGTCAAGTTCCGGTCCACCTTCGCGGTGCTTCTTCGATCTTCCTTTCGTCAACCTTTTATCGTAGTTTTCCTTGTTCACCTGCCAATTATTTGATTTTGCGTGTGTATGTGTTTCACATGTCAGTTGTTTTTGAAATTTATTCTGTGGTTCCGAAATGTACGTTTATAGAGCACTGAAGCAAAGCTTATCAATTCTAACCATTTTTTTTATTGCTCGATATTGTAGGCTGGACACGACGACTGTTCCATGCACCATAGGAATGGCGAGTCAATGCAACTTTGTCAGCAGCTCACTGGCAGTCTTTGCCCTCGTTTGTCTTCTCCTGTCTCGCTTCAACCAACCTCTGGAAGCCAAACTGGCCAAACCCGACCACGCAGTGCTAGATCGGGCGCCAGTACCGGATCCTGATCTCGGGGATGCCACAAAATCCCCCCTGGCCGGGGAGACATCTTTTGGCGGCAGCGACCAAGGTGAGGAGAGAATAGAAGAAACTGACGGCATGTCAAGGGTAGACTGGTATAAACGGCCGAAAGACAACCGACTTGGGGATTCAGGAGACGTCGAAGACCACTGTGGTAAGCAGATCAGAAAAATTTTTTTCGGTTGCGTTTTTGGCAAGGATGGGATCAATGTGGGGCTGAAATGACGCCCATCGAGTTATCGTTAACGTCCAATACTCAGGCCTCTTGAAGATTTTGAACCATCGGAGGCCAAAAAAAAACCAGTTTAAAACTTGATCACACATACCGGTGATCACACATACCGGTAGATAAACTAAACTTAGCATTGTTCAGAATAGTGACGATCGATGGTTTGCGGTTTCTATATGCTTTTGACTTTGGATAGCAAGGCAACCATGTAACCTTTCCTCCTTTTTTGAAAAAAGTGCAGCTGTTCTTGATTTAACTTGGTCTGATTTCCCCTTTCATGTCATCTAGCCATTCCCGACATTTTGTCCCAATGACATTGTTCAAGTGCTTCGAGATAATTTAAAATTGTACACACTGAAGTTCAGAGTTTCATTCGTAATTCAAAAGAAACTGTAGTAAAAACGGTCCTCGAACAAGATCAGTAGCCATCCGGTTGAAACAAAAATTGGGTGTTGAATTTCAATGTTGAATCAATTTTGAAGGTGTTAAATTTATTTTCTATAATTTGGCACTTTCGACTGCTTTGGTGTGAACTTGAACGCATTTCCATGTTGCTGTGTTAATTCTTAATTAAGGCATAACCACGCAAAAGAGGAAATGCTGGTTTTTCAGTCTTCAGTTTGTAGAATTTCTCTTTATCGTTTTCTTTCCTCTCAGAAATCTACCCTGATCGATGCCATCACAAGGATAACAGACACCGAATCGTCATCATCGGCTCCGGTCCTACCGGTCTGGGAGCAGCCCAGAGACTCTACGATCTCAAACAGGAAGACAATAACACCGTGGTCACCATCTTAGAGGAGCAAGATAAGCCAGGAGGCCTGGCCTCGTCTGAAAGGGACGATCAGGGATTTCTCTGGGACATCGGAGTCCACGTCGTCTTCTCCCACTACACCTACTTCGATCGAGTCCTGAATCTGGCCGTGCCCGAGTGGAACTACCGTCGCCGGGCGTCTTTTGCCTTCATGATGGGATCGGATGGGATCAGACGCTTCATACCCTACCCCGTTCAGAACAACATCCACACCATGGACAAAGTGGATCAGCAGCGAAGCCTGTCGGGTCTGGAAGAGATCGCCAGGTTCCCGGCCGGCCGGAAACCCAAGAACTTCGACGAGTGGCTGCTGCAGAAATTCGGGGCGGGCCTCGTTGATGTCTTCATGAGGAAGTACAACCGGAAGATTTGGACAGTGGACACCACAGAGATGAACTCAGCCTGGGTCGGCGAGCGGGTTGCTGTGCCAGACATTGACGAAATCAAGACCAAGATTGCGGAGGTGGACAGTGGGGCAAACGCTAAGGATTCCGAGTGGGGACCCAATCGCTTCTTCCGTTACCCGAAATCCAACGGCACGGGTGGTATGTGGGAATCAGTTGCTAGACGCCTCCCGAGGCGATGGTTCAATTTTCACTCCAAGGTCACCGGCATTGACATTGACCGGAAAGAGATCGCTGTTGAGGTGGGCAAAGATATCAAGAGTCGCCACACTATGAAATACGATAAACTAATATCCACGGTCCCTCTAGATAGTTTTGTCGGTTTTGTTAAGAGCAGCGATGCGTTACTCAGTGACCTGCAGGGACTGGCGTCCCAGCTCATCAACACCCACACTCACATTGTGGGCGTGGGTCTGCTCGGTCAGCTACCCCCAACCCTCGCCGATAAATCCTGGGTTTATTTCCCGGACTCCGATTCTCCGTTTTACCGCCTAACGATGTTCTCCAATTATTCCGACGACCACGTGCCAGACCCGGCCGCTCACTGGTCGCTCATGTGCGAAATAGCCGAGCCGGAAATGAGCTCCGATCCAGCGTATTGGAACAGAGACAATTTAGTCAACGAGTCAATACGAGCCTTAGTCTTGTACGGCTTTATAACTGCTGATATGGTGATCTCCAAACACTACCGTCGAGTAGAACACGGATATCCTGTTCCTTCTTTAAGTAGAGACATGATCCTTGACAAAGTCCAACCTTGGCTACGGTCCAAAGACATCTACTCCCGCGGCCGGTTCGGAGGTTGGAGGTACGAGGTTGCGAATCAAGATCATTCCTTCATGCAAGGGGTCGAGGCCGTGGACAACCTTGTCCACGGCGTTCCGGAGTTAACGTATCCGGACCCGAATTTGGCCAACTCCAAGAAGAACACGGATCGAATTATCCCGCTGGACTTGGAGGTCGTTGTAGCCGCTGAACGAGACGAGAGCCTGGAGTGGCTGAAGCCGTTTGCTGAACACACCCTGGTGTACCACTTAGGAACTGACTTGGGACCGTCGCTCCAATTCTACGCCTGGCAGCGCCTTGAAAGTGTCCATGTCAGAGCACAGGTATTTCTGCACCACATCTGTGTGAATTACAACCAACTGGCAGACCTGACGATCTTCACGCAGGGAGACGAGGAGACGAGCAGGTGTCTTCGTTGCCTGAGGAACCCGCGTCAGTTGCCCTCTGCTCCGATTCGGGTCGATCCATGTGAGTGGAGAGACTGTTACGGCGACAGCTTGGAAGCTGGTGGCGATCATCAGTTCCCGCGATGTTCCCAGGACAACCCGGCGAGCATGGCCAAAATTGTGCCCGTCTTGAATCAGAATTGTTGGGGATCTGCGATGCCGCTGACGCGACACTGCTGGAACGAGTGCTTCGGAGCAACTAAGGAAATGATTCAGAAACATCCGCTGGATCGTTATTACCAAGCCTTTAATGATCTGGGTAGAATTTCCGATGAAGATGAAGATAAGGGTGACTTTCTACAGACATTGTGGATTAGAATTTTTACCTAATTTCCTGAGGTATATTTCACGCACCCACGAAAGATGCTACTTCTAATTCACGAGGATCAACACCTGTATGTTTTAAAATATAGTAGCTCTACCAATCAAGTAATTCTTCAGCTTCTAGATCGAGTAAACAGTCAGCTCATTGACTGCGTTCTACGCTCTATTCTTTCGTTTAGACGGTGGCTGCGTTCTACGCTCTGTTCTTTCGTTTAGACTGTTATCGAATGAATGAGATGATAGAAATATGAATTTATTTGTAAACGGATTTAAACATTTTATGATTTGTGCCAATTGTTATCAATATCAAGGAAAATAATTCTCGAATTGGTATAAGGCGTTAGGAAGTTGTCTGTGTTAACAGTTTTCCTGCACTTTTGAAATATCAACTATGGTCATAACTACCGTGCATTTTAGTATTATCCGTGTACTGTCTTTAATTACGAGTGCGTTCGTTTATTTTATTTTGTTAATTTTTAAATCGTCTTTTTTGCGCCGATGGCCGCCCATAAAACCTGAGGCCAAGCATAGACATGGAGGAGAAACCCCAGGTCTATGGGCCAAGATTGCATGCACCGGACTAAAACAGGCGCCCATAGAAAAGAGCGCCAAATCAGTGAGAAACAGCGCCGCCTAGTGACGCTCAGGGACAGCTTGGTCTTGTGTGTTTCACTGCAAAGTCAAGATTATTATGACACCTCGGCCCAAAATGCTTTTCATCATTACCAGTGTTCAATTTTTTAATTCTCCCCTCCCGCAAAATCCCCCCCCCCCAAAAAAAAAGTAGTCAAACTCCAGGTCTGAATTTAGCCACTCGCCTTTCTGCAAAAGTCCACAAAATGCAGGTTTTTGAGAGTAAAATATCCCAAGTTAGAAGCCACAAGTCCCAAATGTTTGTTCACGTCGGTCCCGTTGGATCTCAAAATATTAATGAGCTCGCGCGCAGGAATCTACCGAGTGGAATGCACCCCTTAGACAAAGGAGTCCAAAGTAAGGCGGTTTTTTAAGGGAGAAAACTTGAGAGGAAAGCCTTACACCAAGCCCAATTTATACATTTTACTCTCTACTTTTACTACTCGTATTTTGAACTCCTAACTTTTCCCCTCGCTTTACTCTTTGGTTTCTGAATGCCATCACGCCACGGGATAAGACTCACCACATCAGCGATCAAAATAAAGACTTCCGTGGACTCAATTGCTTGATTCGCAGCAATGGCTAATGTAGGGCGTCAGACAGCTCTGACGAGGATTACGATCCAGGTTCAAATGTTATTACACAAAAGACTCGCAAAGTATCTTCTTTCGTCGGGTAAAGAGGACATTTTACTAAAATTTCCGTTCCATCGGAAATGACAAGGAAACCCCATTATTTTTCGTCTGTTTTGCATATAGAATATTCCCTTAAGCAATGCAAATACGGGCGTCACAGAATACAAACCATGAGTTTGAAATGCGTCGCCCAATCACAACGCGCGAAATTTGTCCACCCTTTTCAAACGCGCATTGGGTCGACAGATTGTGCGCATTGTGATAGGCCAACACAATGCAAACTCTTGGTAGCGCACTATATTATGAATTGCCCGTATTATAAGCAGTAGATGTAACCTGCTTGAGTCAATGTCCTGGTATAGGAAAGCATTGGTAGATAATCATTGGACGTGAATAATTATTACACAAAATAATTCAATCCTTGCTGTTACTGAGCGAAAGATTTTATTTTTTTAGTTCATACTGATTACAGGCCAAGTAGCTTAATACAGCTTATTCTAGAAAAGGTACTGCGTTTAATGAGTGCTTCTTCAAAAATCATTTGGAGTACAAGCGGTTTTTTATAGCGGAAGTAAAGGGGAATCTGGAAATCCTTTCTTTTTTGGGGGGGTGGTTGTGGGCATTAAATTCTAACAAAAAAAATAAAAATTACAAATTGGTTGAAAAGCGTTGTTTCAATTAACAAAATTCATTTAGGTGAACACGAATTTTTCTCTACCGGAACTGGTCACGTGACAGATTTTCTCCAAATAGAAGTTTTTGGTATGGGAAGAAGATTAGACAGCACCAAGCGGATGGTTAATCTCTTTTGGGGCGACGTCCCCCACGTCTCCGACTGCAACACGTGTACCAGAGTAACACGTTTGCGCCACAAATGACAGCGAAAACCAGCAGCAAGATCAGATAAACATCGATGAGGTTACGCTGGACGAAGTTCAGGTCAAACACGGCCGGGCGGAGGTGGTTCCCGCCGAACTTGGTCACGTGAAGGATCCAGTTCGCGATGGTCTCCGCTGGAGGGTTCATTCTCACCAGATCTCGAAGAATCGCGGAGTAATGCTGTGCGTTCTTGCGGTACCTGAGAGTCAAAAAGGAAGCAAGACAGAATGGATCCCAATAGACCTCTGTACCGATGACACCGCACGTTATTTCATGTGTGCTTACCTATCAGTGGACCCTGCACCCTACTGGCTCCACAGGAATGCGCATGACATGTAAACACGGCGTGACATCATCAGTACATGGGTATGTTGTCACGCGTTCCTGAGCTTGGATTTTATTTCTGAGCTTCACTTTTCCCTACGAGATGTTTGAAGTGTGTTTTGCGAGTATACTTAATTTGGGTCTGTTCTGTTCTGCCATTGGTGGCTGTAATTGCAATTTTTTGATGGAGGAAGTTCATGTGAGTTTGGAATATGGGCGATTCACAATAGTGCGTCACCAAGAGTTTGCAACGCGTTGGCCAATAGTAAAGTGCGAAATCTGTCGACCCTTTCCTAACACGCGTTGGGTCGACGGATTTCGTGCATTGTGATTGGTTAACGTGTCGCAAACTCTAGGAAAAGCCCGTACTGTTTAAATGTGGCTGCACAGGCGTCGCTAAACTCTTGTAAACGGGGGAGTCATCTTGAAATTTTCCGACGGACATGGTAGACTGATTCCCATCTGATTCCCTGACCTAACATTTAAGAAACCCCCTTCCTTCCTCTTTCGTTCTTTACTCTTTCCTAACCAACCATGACTATGCCGACAAAACTGGCCCGGGGGTGTGGCACCCCTACCCTCATCCCCGTATAGCGACACCTGTTTCCGTGACTGAAACTGAACCTGGGGACAACTTACTTTGGATTATTAACTACCTCCACGACGGCGTCCCGTAACCTGTCCGATGTCACGCTGGTAATGTCGCCGAGAGAGAGGGCGAAACCTCGGGCCACGGCGCGGTCGTTGTTGTCAAACATGTCATGTAGAAGCGGTATGCTGACGATCGGGAGTCCGGCCCATAACGCTTCCTGCACGCTGTTGATCCCACACTGAGTCACAAACGCTTTGGCGTTCTTGTGTGCTGTACACAAAATGGAAGAAAAACCAAATGTCAACGAGAGATTTCCAAAGGAGCTCAATTTCTTCCAAATGTTTTTTCTCTGTTTATTGATGTGAATCCTGTTTGTTTCCTTTTTGCCTTTTAAGTTGCCTCATGTGGAGGACATGAGCCGTTCGTCTTGTCTTGAGCCGTTCTTTTTGTCATATACATGTTTTACGCAGCACTGAAATTTCTTGATTCTCCTTGCATTTGAATGCTTAATCCGAAGCCTTTGCCTGCATTTGAGTTGTTTTCTTGGCAACCAGCGTCAGTTTCTTCAAGCTATTGTCTTTTTATTCTCTGTCTTTTTTCCATATACGTCTACGGCCTTGTTAGGTTAAGCAGATCGCCTCTTTGGGACACATCTCTTGAGTACCATTGGGATTCTAGCAGTTGATTTCAGATTTGGTGACACTCGACTTTTACGGGTCTCTTCACTTTACTTATTTTATTTCAGTTCAACTTACACAAGAGCTGCAAGAGGGGGATCCAGTTGACCATTTTGGTGTTCTCGCCGAGGTTGAGACCGGTGAAGTTGATGTTGGATTGCCAGAGGACCTTCTGGGGCAGCAGAGCGAAGCCGTCGGCAAACATTTGCGCCTGTTCGACCTCCATCGCCTCGACATGGGAACCGAGGGAAAATATGACGAATCCGGCCAGAGCTTCGTCAACGAACTTGGCAACATCATCCCGGAGCTGGAAGTAAGAAAAAATAACAGAAACACTCATGTTTGGACGTGCCTTCAAGAACCCGACCATGACAGTAGTTGTTGCAAGGGAGCATATCATTGGCAAATATAAGGCCTATAGAAATAGCTTCTCCTGGCATAGTCGTCGCATTACAATTTTAAAAAGGTGCCTGAAGTTTTCTTTGTTTTCATTTTGCATATTGATCTCTGCTTTTGCACTTGTCTGGTTATGCTTTTTAAAAGCTAACGTAAGTGCACCTTAAACTATAAGGGACATCTTTATCTAGGCATGACGTCACACTTGAGGTTTAGGATTGCTGGTTACCTTCTGCCAATATTATTGATACGTTAGGGAACCAGCCCCACTTTTTATCGGAAAGGTGAAATTAAAGTTTTCGATCTTTTTCTTGACCAGTGAGGGCACAATTGCTTTCATGCCATTGAAGAAAGACACTCTATATTTTTCTCGTTAAAAATGTGAACGTTACATCTTGTTTTGCACTGAAAATATTTAAGAGAAGAACAATTAATCATTCAAGAAAAGGATTAGAGGATTAGATATTCCATCCCAGGGTTTACTGAAATCTTATAACTGAGCAGTTGCTGCACGGGGGTTTCCTGCGAATGGTATATCCCACTGTTGCCCATGAGTACCTCGATTTGCATGAACACAAAAGCCCCAAACAGAAATAATACATTACATGCGCCCTGTATATGCCACTTCCTTTTCTACTTTCTTACCGTGTAGTTCTCTCTCTTCCCGCCAATTAGAGAGGCATACATGAGCGTATTCGGCTGCATCGGTCGGGGAAATTCTAACGGATAGTTCATGTTGAACACCCACAGCCGAGCTTTCATGAGGGACTCGGTGATGTGAACTTCTGGTTTAATGTTGTACTTCACTTTAAGCTGCTGGTACCGCGTGGGGAAATCGGAAAATATGTATTCACTTGTCCAGTGGAAAATGTAGTTAATTACCCGCTGCGACAGCGTCATTCGGTCGGTGAATCCGAGTTGATGGGCCGGAATGTAAGACGGATCGGTTGGGACCCGGAACCTGCGAGAGAAAGAGATGGGGGCAGTGTTGCTCTTCCCTTACGGGGCTTCAATGGAGGCAAAATGCATGGCGTAATTTTTAGAGCATCTAGTGGATAGCGTTTGTTTTGAATTATAACACGGGTCAACAGTTCCACGTGCGCGCTAAATGTACATGCGTGGAGTATAGGATGGCAAGTAACCCACAGTGCCTTGCGCATCAGTTGCTGTGACGTTTAATAAGGCATTTCACCTTTCCCAGCCCATGAGCCCTGGGGACGAGTGAAAGGGATAGCAAAAATCTAGTAGTCTTAGCACAAAACGTTCTCATCGTTTGAGCTCTTACACAGCGATTCCAATAGTCTGGCTCTTGGACCTGTGGGAAGTATGAAACCATCAGCATTGCCCCCCCCCCAAAAAAAATTGACAATTTCCAAACTATTTCGAGGACTTAAAAGGCATTAGTACACTAAAAACTGGGCCTTTCTGACAAGGAAGTGGAAAAAGGCCCAGCTTTCCTATTTCCCAAGATTTCCCTTGAATGTGCTTGTAGACATTTTGTACAAACACTGACTACTTTTGTGTTGGCAGCCGGTTTCCAGAACTCGCATTTTGCTTCATCAGCCGTAAAGAGGGGGACATTTTCGTTTACCAGTCACTAGAGGTGTTATTTATTTCTGTGGATTTTTCTTAATGTTTGCTCGAGATTTTGTCGCACTTTGCGAATACGGGCGTTTCACAATAGTGCGCCACCAAGAGTTTGCAACGCGTTGGCCAATCGCAATGCACGAAATCTGTCGACCCAATGCGCGTTTGGAAAGGGTCGACAGATTTCACGCGTTGTGATTGGCCAATGCGTTGCAAACTCTTGGTGGCGCACTATTGTGAATCGCCCGTATTTCCACAGCTGGCCATATATAGTTTTGTCACTGAAAAAGGAGTTCGCTTGAGGCGCAGCAAAGGAGATGTGCATTTGGTGCTTGGCAGAAGAGTGCAATATCTAGAAGCAACAAATACCAGTGAAATACTCACAAGGGCCCGTACTTGTCCGGCATGGCACACCAGTTAGCTAACTGCACGAAAGGGATGTCCAGTGCCTCTGCCACGATCGCGTTGCAAAGTGAGAAGTCATCCGCGACCATCATGTCAAACTGCTCACGACGGAGTCTCGCCATAGTCTTCTCATCCCTCAACAAGGCGTCACACTCGTCAATAAGCAGATAGATCACTAACGGTTTACCGGTCCGGAGGGTTCGCAAGATCAAGCGGGCTATCCCCGCCGCAGAACTCAGCTCTCCCGAGAGGGAGTAGTGAGACAGTTCCCGGAACACGTCGCGCCGGCCCTCCGTCGTGTAGTTAGACTGGAAGAAGATGAAGGAAAAGAGATCGTTGTCGTTTGTCTTGGGCGCCCGCGGCCCGTCGCTGCCGACCAGGAAGAACACGTCGTGCCCCTGACGCGCCAAGACCTTTCCCGACTGGCTGAGCTGCATGCCGTGACTTCCAAGTTTCTCGAAGGAGTAGTACAAAAACTTGTATTTTTTGAAGTCTTGCTTAGTCTCCTCGCAGCCTGTCGGAAGCGGTGCTGCTGAAAAGCACATCAACATCAGGAGGAGAGTCCAGGCTGAGAGTGCGGAATTCATGGTGGCCTTCGTTAGCAACACAATCTGCAAATGGCGCAAATGACAGAAACAGTGAGACTGTAATGTTTCCAAGATTCCATCCCGCAATGCAGAAGTTGGCATTGACACTACATACATTCAAGGGCGGATCAAGGAGGCCATCGAGGGCCATGCCCGCTCCAAGAAGCCAACTTTATTTTCTTATATACATAATGAGAGGGGGGTCATTTGTGGTCTATTTCTTTTCCCTCCAAAAAGACCTTTTGCTTTTGCCTTTTTTCCGGGGGGGGGCGTGCCATGCATGTTTCAAACAAGGGAATTTACACATTAAAAAACTCACCCAAAATTCGAGACCCTAATGCAGAACAACAAGGTGTCGAGCGACGCAGAAGTGCTGTCAGATCAGTTCAGATATCGTAGCCCGTCTGAACACTTCTACCTTTACGCTTGACCTTTCGTTTATTTATAGACGGCAGAATTGAAGTTCATTCTCTGAACATTACCTGTATCAAAGTCTCTGTTAGAGACAGCGAATGCTGAAGTGTAGGCTGAAATAATTAATACCAGGAATGTCATGGCACAAGTGCCTGGCAGAATGGCGTTTGGACAGCAGTGGCGTAACCACAGGGGGGCTGGGGGCACGTGCCCCCCACAAATCCCCGGTGCCACCAGGTGCCCCCCCCCGAAGAAAACGGATGAATGGATATTGATCAAGGCTAAAACAATAGCTTGCACCCTAAAAAACCACATACTGAAACTGGTGCCCCCTCATAAGATGCTGGTGCCCCCTTTGTGCCTCCACTAGTAACATCTAGCTACGACGGTTGGACAGATTTTATAAACATGCAACTCATAATACCACAAATGACTTATGCAAGACAAGACGCATTAAAGGGTAGCTACAATGGAATTGTTTTTAATGCAGCCATCAAAATGCACCTGTGTGTCTCAGTTAATGTCATTTTCAATTTGTGTTTCACTGTTTCATAGGGTATTTTACTGCATTTTTTGTTTCTGTGCTGATGATATGTCCATATTCATGAGCAAAACTGTGATGTCATCCCAGGAAGCAAGCCTTGATGTTAAATTGGTTTGTGCACAAAAAGTCCTATCTTTGAAGACTTAGCTTGACTGACTTTTGTCTCCTTTGGTGATTCACTGTTGTATAAGAATATACCAATAAGAGAGCAATCAACCCTTGCTGTGAAAATCTGTTTTCATTGAGTATTAAAAGTTGAACAGAAAAAAATATGCACCCAATGTCTTCCCTAGATGACATAGTAAGGGCAAAGTTACTTTACAAGTCTGCTTAGAGATGAGCAAAGATTGGAAAGGTCTTTTTTTAGATTTGCATTAATTCATTTATTTGCTCGTCATCCTCATGAGTATGTTTAACAAGACGCCATCTTGGCAAGGCCATTTAACCAACATTCCTCACAAAGACAGGTTATCAATATGCAAACAGCCGTGGAGTGCCTAAAAGCGTAAACATGCATTGTGTGCAGTCCGCTACAACATCACAACAGCGTCCTAAGTTGTCCGGGAAAGCGTGGATGGTTTTAAATATATTAAAAACTACATCTTTCAGTGTAGGTAACCAATTAGGCATGCACGATGCACCAGTGCGGTGATGCTACTATCAAGTTTTATTACGGCCTTGAATTTCGGCTGAGTTGGGCTGTATCACGAGATGAGACAATACGGGCGATTCACATTACCGTGCGCCACCAACAGCTTGCCACAAACTGGCCACTTTTCAAGTTTACGGTCGACACGCTGCTGCGATTGAGCGCACCCAAAACAATCTTTATGACTACCTAACACCCATTCGCAGTAAGGAATGTTGAATTTTCAACCAAGACAAATATTCGGAACAATTGAAAATTCCCACGCACAACGCAATTGGCGAATGAGACTCTGTCGACTATTTTGGAAAGAAAAGGCCTCTCCGTGACAACCTTTAGGTGGCGCACTAAATTGTGAATCTAAGGTTGCACAATCATTATTAAAAAGTAGCGTAACGGATAGTCCTTTGTGGTTTTTAGCTGTGCGACAGTCGGCCCCTTGAATGAAGTTCCGTGAGACTAGGATTTTCTGGCAACCAAGGTGGCCACCCATGTTGCACATTATCGGTTTGAACACCGATAACGTGCTCTTGGACAACCTGTGTTATATTTATTAGTACCCGTGAACCCATCAAAAACGCCCCTCTTATCTCTCTCATTGACAAAGAGGGGGCGTGATTTTGGGTGAATTTCACGTTTAACCAGGATGACATTGAACAGAGTTCTGGGGGGTCGCGACACTGTTGTGCTTGCAGACTAAGCTAGTAACTTTATTCATATCATTCAGAAGTAGGTGAGCTAAACTTGCGTTATGCGGTAAACCTGCCGTCAGAGTTCAGAGAACAGACAGTTTCTTATTTCAGGAAAATCGAATGTCTTCGAGAAATTTTGTAGTGATCAATCTACTCTAAGTAAAATCTTTATTCTGATGGTGAAGTGAAACTGTTCTTCTCATCTGAACAAATTTCACGACGGGCGAAATGTTAGAAGGCGGGGCGTTTCTTAATCTAGCTTTTGCAATTTGCACTTTGAATCTCCTCAGATTTTCTTGTCCGACCATTTGTTGCATCTTCCCCCTTATGACGAGTGGCGACATTTAAGCCGCAAAGTACGCCGAGCCGAACACGTCATCTCCCTTGTAGTCGTAGGTCTGGATATTGGCGCTGCTTCCGTTGAGCTTGAGCTTGCACAAGGCGTTGGGCGACTTCAGGAAGCAGGTGGAGAACATGGCCACTTCGAACTCGGGGCTGCCGCCGATCATGATGGAGGTGATTGGCTTGACTCGATTAGACCACTTGAACTGGAACTTGACAATGCCATTCTGCCGAAGGAGAAAAAAATCTTCACTCGTCACAGGATAGTCGCACGCGGATGACCTCACAAGAACAAGGTAGTCAGACTACTATTTTTACTATTCATACACACTGCTGGATAGCAAGGTTACTGAACAGCTAGTCTTGTACCAAGACGGAAGGAACTTTATAGCGGACTCGATCGAGCATATGCCGCGTGCACCGATTTCTATTGCGCCCTCTACCAAGACGGTAGAACGAGCCGTCGACTGGTGAAATGAAGTCACAAGAGGGCGCAATAAAAATCGGCGCGCGCAGCACGTGCTCGATTGAGTCCGCTCTCGACTTCTGCCGTCTTGGCTGAAGACTACTGACCAGCAAGACTGCAGTTTTCCTAAATTGACAGTGTGGCCCCAAACTCATGATTATTAGGTATGCAGGTAGACCACATGTCGGAAATCCGGTCAGCGGGTTCGACGGCTCGAAATAGGAAGGACCAACTCAGTATAATTAGAGACTACTAGGCGACCGAGAATAGAGGAGGGGTGGAATGAATTGATTCGTTCTGCTATGATCAGAAACTATGTGTTACGATCCCAGTTGATCCAAATTCTTTGATCATGTGTGTCTCCCCGAAAAGGTATTTTTGGAATTCACGCACGCTTTTAAATCCTATAGAAGACTCCGCAGTCATTATTTTGTTTCGTTCACAGTGAGTGACTTTTAATATGCCTTAACATGTGCGTTACAAAATAGCCAGTGTTGGGTCAGCACCTCCGCGCCGTCTTCTACCGGTCTGCTCCTCTTCATCGCCTGACGGTGGCCGAGGCTGTCACCGCGCGCTGTGGGACCGTGGACCCCGGAGTGGCTCCATGCAGAAGCCGAATCTCGGGGTTCCCTTACCGACCTACCTGTCTGAGCTGGGCTGTTCTGGCGCCAGTCGTGGCGGTGCTTGGCCCGACGACTGTGCTCCTTTAGCCGTGGCACTGACTGGGCGTGGCCTTATCTTTCTCGTCTTTGTTTTGGGCTCTTTAAGGTAATTATGCTCGGCCAAATTGATTTGCCTCTTAGTCCATTAACATGTCTTTGCCGGCTTGTTAATATTCTTTGTATAATGGTGCTGTACTCATGTAAATATGTTTACTTTTATGCTTTTTCTTGTCCAAAACTCACGGTGTTTTTGCATGAGAAGTTTAAGTTGCAAAAAACACTAGATTTACTTAGTTTTAAGTTATTGCTTTGCTGGTTTAAGTTTTTAATTAAATGTTGTTTCAAATTAGTTCCTTGCCATCCTTTACCCATATTTTAATGTCCGTATTCCCGTCTTTTAATTTTCTTCTGCCGTGCGTTCTCCGTGCATGTATGCTCCACGAGGTTTAATGGATCGGGTTTTCTATTATCGTCTGTCAGTTATCTTAAATTATCTGCCTTAAAGTCACCAGCCGCTGTAATTCAAATTTGCAACATAAACAGAGCCATCTTTTGGGATTAGAATTAAGCAGTTTTTATTTCTAGTTTTCAATCCCTCGGTTTTATACGAAGTCCCCTAGCTATTTGAGAATTTTAAAAGTCTGTTCATGCTTAATTGGTGGCAACGCAACCATAACGTGTACATTTCATAGTCGTTTGTGAACCAGCAAATTGCAGTTCCTAGAAATGCACCAAAGGATCCTCTGTTGCAAGGAAAATTGCGCCCTCTCTTGATACAGCCCTGGGTTCATATTGTGGTTCAAATCTACTCATATAAATAGGCTCGGTGGCGGAAATGTTGAACTTAAACAAAAACCGCTCGTGATTATCAGTAGCTTACTTGGATTTCTACTGACATTGGAACTTGAGTTTTGACCAGTGGTCGAGTCATGGCTCACCTGTATTTTATTTAAGTACCCATGATAGTTGGCGAGGCCATTTTTTTCCAGCAGGTACAGGCGCACCCAGTTGTGGAACCCGGACACCGACGTACTGCTGGACCATTCGCCGACAAAGACGTGCTCGAAGCCTGAGGTATCACTGGTGGCTTTGCGGGTGTAGGGCTTGAAGAGGAGTCCTCGAACGAAATCTTTGTACTGGCTTAGACTTCCAGAGAAATAGTCTAGTCATTGTTTTGAAAAAGAAAAGAAAATGTCAACGCGTGTGTTCAGTGTTCGGCTACTCTGTGATATAGTCCTCGGGAATTGAAATTCTCAGCACGATTAAGCGCGGGAATTTATTAAAGTGTAGCTGCATTGAATTTTTCTTCGACACAATTTTTCTGCATCTTTGTACTTTTCTTCCATGTATGAAAACGCTCATTCACTGCTTTTTGGTTGAATGCATAGAAAAGTGCACACTTTTAGAGGGTAGTTGAAATCGATGTTTTTTATTACAAACATGTAAAATGTACCTTGGTGCTTCAGTAAACCTTACTTGCAACTTTGGTTTCACTGTTTCAAATGGTATTTTAACGCCTTTTTTGTTTCAACGCTAACGAGAATTTCCATTTTTGTGAGCAAAATTGTGATGTCATCTTAGGAAGAAGCCTCAATAATTTTCCATTGGTTCGTACACAAAAAAGTCCGGCGTTTTTGGAGATTTTCCTGGACTAAGGTTTCTCTTCTTTGCTGATTCATTGTTGTTGATGTGCACAGCAATAAGAAACCATCAATCCCTCTCTCAGAAATGTTTTCAGTTGCTAAATTCTGGGGTCACAGATAACTGTAACCTGGTGAATTAAGATGGAAGTATAAGATCTATAATTTCATACTGCAATGCTTGGACAAATCTGTTTAGGAATGATGTCACTACAACACGACAGTTCTTCCTCATTCGCTGTAAAAATCATTATTTTTTTTCACTTTTAGTCAGAAAGGCTGACAACATTTTCAAGGTTGGCCCAAAGAAATCGAGAAATGGCGATTTGTGACCCTTGAGAGAGCTTACTTTTCGCCGTCACGAACTTGTACGCCTGTGTCATAACCGCGGTTTTAAAGATGGCGTCCATGAAGGCGTCTTCTTCAGCCTGCTCAGCGGACGACCGGCTCTCAGTCGTGCCCTGACTGGTGACGTAGTTATCGAAGAGGTTGATGAGAGCCTTGAAGGTGGGTCTGGTCAGGATCGCCGGGTCGATGGAAGTGAAGAGTCTGGGGCGGAGATGGAGGGGATTCAAGCCGTTAACGGAGGGGTCCGTACTCGAAGTGGAGATGAGAGTAGTGTGAAACTTGACTGGTCCCTCTAACAATCTCGGGGCGGAGAAGGCAAAGAACCAGACCTTGCCTATTCATGTAACATGTAAAGGTTTGTATGGTGGGTATGCACAGTCGAGTTGCTTGCGGTAACATCATATGTAGCATATGAACTCTCTCTTTTGTATGTGTGACTCCCGAATACCACCCGCCATTTGCTTATTCATGTTTAATATACGCGTTTTTGGTCGCCCAGTTGCTCTTAGGGTACGTCCATTTACCCACGTGATCGGACGTTCGGACACCTGCCGTTAAGGATAGATCGCAGTGCCGCGCGCAGCATTTTAGGTAGGCCTATCTACAGACAAACTCTCAAAGCTTTGATGAATGACAAAATTATGTTGCACAAGAAAAAACGAGCAGCCAGCACCTGGGCTGGATCGGCACGACAACGACTGTATCACATGCAAACACGACACATATGATTTGATAAAAACTGCATAGTTACGTTGTTGGAGTGAAACTTAGCTGCAAAGCTCGACCAGCTATCGCTTTGACAACTCAAACCTATACTGTAATGGCAGTCGATCTCGGGGAAAGCGTATTGTCACGTGATACTTTGACATCTATTGATCAGACCCTATCAGGAACCATTAGCGTGCCGAGAGAAGTCCCCCCTCCCCATATCGACAGCCCTGTTTCCCGTTCCCTTGCTCAAGGGGAACTTCAGCAACAAATGTTGAGGTCGAGTGCGACAACAGTTCATTTCTCCCTCCCCAAGGGTCGTTACCTATTTCCCCAAGTCTTCATGTCAGGTGCAGCTCACCTGTTAGGTGACACGTCCGTCGTAGAGGATGAGCTACTGATATAATTGCCATAGTTGATCGTTATATCTGTGCCCACGGTGGCCCGACTGGTGTCAGCCTTCCATATAGCCGTGGCAAACGCCGAGATGTCAGCAGGCACGCCTGGGGCTAAATCACCGAGTAGCATAGCCTGTTACTAACTCTGACAAGAGCAGCAGAGCAAACACATCAAAGAACCCAGGGGCAAATGAGCAAGACTTTGAGGATGGAAGTAAATTGATTACAACTGGAATGAAGAATCAAGGTAAGAAGAACCGTGGCAAACAAAAGTGGGGCCAGAGGGAAAAAACAGTGTTATCAATACAATACGGAAATACAAACATCTTTTTTGAAATTCATGGAGACGATTATAGCAATTACAAAAATTGATGTCCCAAAACAAAACCACCATTCCCACATAAGCTTGTTTTCGTACATGGTCGTATATTACAAGTGGTAAAATCCATATTTTTCCATTGATCGTTAAGAACTAAAAACTGCTCGAATCTTTGGTTTTGTTCTGCGCAAAAGTGCTTGAATTAACATAATTTGTTCAGTGGTTTCCAAAAAGGCATATGGATTTAAAATAATACACATATTTTGCAAAGCTTCGTTATGGCGACATAGCGACCTCAACGGACGTTTAGCAGGCGCTTATCCATATCTTGGATCCAAAGGAGCAAAAGAGATTTTTTTTTCCAAAAAATGACGACCGTCTAGATGTCGTTACCCATGAAGAATCTTCATTGCACCCCCTCCCCAGCGAAAGGTTGGCAAGAAGTCCCAAGGGTGAGCAACTTGCACCACCTCTTGCTCTCCCCCCCCCCTATCCTCCGCTGGATACGCCTCTAGAGTGAAGTCTGCAGCAGTCCATTTACCAAAAGCGAACTTCTAAAACGGTGATTACCGGTGCCACCACCTGTGCATAGACTGTCGTAGTCCGAGCAGCAGTTGCCATAGTTGGGGCAGAGGTCGTTGCATTGGCAGGGTAAGGTTTTGTCATAAGACGCACCGCATTTGCCGGCGCAGGAATCTATACAGGGTGTAAGCAGAATATTAACTTACATAGCCAGCCGGGAGGGGGAGGGAGGAACTTGTCCCCTCCCCCTTCGGGGGAGGATTTCTAGTTGGGCGTTGAAAGTGCCGACACTTGAGAAGCGGTTCTAACGCCTCGGTGAGGAGATAATTCGGATATAATTGGACATTCGGTAAAAAAATCGCCCCCGCCGTTCTCAAGGCCTATTTAATACGTCACTGACAAAACCACTGATACCCTCCGGTGGACACAGACAGGTTCATTAGGTTCACTGATAAGAATTTTTTTCAAACTAAAATGGAAGTCGATTTCGAATCGTTATGATTGGAGAGTAACAAATTTGGTCTCGAGGATCAACATTGTCCGAGTTAAGATTTTGTAGGGTAATCCTTCAATAGCATAACGATTCACTGAATATAGCGCCACCAAGAGTAATTGCGGGGGTATTTTTTTCTTTTTTCAATGTGTTATGTGTAAAAAGTCGAAATCCGCTATTAATTATAATTATGGTTGTATTTGAATTTCACGAAAATTAATTAGCATTTTGGACGAACATCGAGGAAGCAGACAATCCGAAAAACTGTAGCACATATTTGAAGCGTTGAGTTGCCAGTGACCCAGTGCTACATTAGCAGAATTGTAACGAGTCACTAATTGTTTGTGACTCGCATCGAGTCATTATAGTTTTTAAAAAGTCGAGGCTAGTCGAGTCAAATATATAGCTCTATCAAGTCATCAATATTGAACACAAAACGATTAATGAAAATAAGAAAGTCATTTTTTAGCATTTTAAATTTACGTCAAAGTTTCTACATGTTATCATACGGCATCTTGCTCTTGATGATAGCACATAGCATGAACATTTTTAACCAGCACTACAAGTCATTCCAAATATATTTTCGCAAAGGAAGTTATTTTTATATTTGGGACTCGAGTCTAATCAACTCGAACTCGGGTCGTGCCTTCTTATGCAGAACTCGAGTCGAGTCATTTACCCGTCAGGAGTCGAGTAGAATTGCCAAACATTGTGTTGAGTTGACCTGAGTCGATGACTCGACTCAGGTCAGTGCAACTCTGCACATCAGTGAAGGAATCAGGATTCACGTATTCAAGTTACGCATAAAGAAACGGTGTAGTAGAAGTTTCTCTCAATCAAAGTGGGAAGCGGCTGCATGTAAATCATGAGGAAAAAAGAGAGGAAAAAAGAACCATCAGCTCCCCAAAAAAGGAGCAGAAAAACCTATTTTCCGTACCTGCCACGCAGTACACATCGTAGTCGCTGCAACAGTCGCCATAATTGCTGCAGGCGTCATTGCACTGGCAGGTGTGGCTGCTGCTATAGCCATCGCCACATCGTCCGAGACAAGATGAGGCTGCGTCTGCGTCTAGAGAGGAAGTACAAAATCTTAAGGACAAAAGAGAATTAGTTTCTTATCCGTAAATATTGAATTATATATCGTTAATCAGCCCCACATACCGCGCTATGTATATTCAAACCAAACACGTTTATCAACAAACAAAACGCTCAAACGCAGTACTACATTTATCGTTATGATTTTCTCGTTTGTCCTTTTTTGATGGAAAGTCGCAACCTTTGCGAATTTTCCTTGAGTTCCACCGATGGCACCCTCACCGTGTTGGAACTTCCCAGCGGCGTAGCACATCAGTATCACAAACACGATTAGGCTGACAACTACTGCAGACGCGACAGCAAGCTTAGTTCGCGAGGAGCACGTCGGAAAGGCCATGCTGAATAATACTTATGAATCCCACTCCTTCCTGCCGTTCACTGTCTGCCATTTTCAACTTTGGTATGACCCAGGGTTCTCTTCGTTTGTGAGCTTGTGTCGTCGGACAACCTCAACGCAATCCATATTCTCTGAAGGCGGTTTAATAATCCACTTCCCCTTCAATCTTTGACCTTTAACCCTTAGTTTTTTTTCGAGCGGATGTTCTGAGTTATAATGTAGAATGCGTCTAGATTGCCGCTGTCACTGAATTCAAGGGCAAGTTCAACCGGGGACCGTTGTGCCGTCCCATCTTGCCGTCGCGGCGTGCCGTCGCGTTGTCGCGTGCTGCTGTCGTGCCGTCGTGTCGTGTTGTCCGTCGTATCATGCCGTCGTGCCTGACTGTTTAAAAAAGCGCTGGTGATTATCAAGGCCAATAGACGGCGTATGTCACAAGTCATAGAAGACACAGTGTGCATACATAATGGGTGAATAAATTATAGGGCCTACAAAAAGTGATCATGTGATGGTATCTATTGGTATGGTATTCAGTTTGTAAGTGTGGCGTCACTTCTGTTTAAACCACGCCCACTGCACATGCACTGCACATACACAAAATGATCGCCATTAACGTGGGACCATGGAACCGGAAGTTAACGCGCAACTTCAGCGATCGTCCAATGGGAGCCTGCAAATCGTAGCGCGTTCGCCTTCGTAACGAAGTCACTTACGAACTGAAGTGGAACTAAGCTCTGTATGAATTTACCAAGGAACAGGCGACAGCAGGACCCGAAATATTACAATGTTAAATGTTACAGATATAAAGTCGGAACTAGCCTAGGTTAATTCTAAGGTTTGCTTGAAATCATGCTTGAAGACTTCATTCACATACACCAACAAGGTTGCCTCTGGGTTCGGGTAATTTTAATGTTTCTGGCATACTGACAAATATCTCAGGGAAAATACATTTAGGCAAATTTTTCCAGTCACTCGTACAAGTTTGTACACACTTGACAACAAACAAGGGCAATGGCCATATAGGTTGGTGTCTTTAATAATGTTTGGGAATATGAATTCGTGCGCACGACCATCAGAGTAAAAAAAACTTGATAAACATTATTCCATGTACCTGTACTTTCATGTGAATTAACACTACGAAATGCAGACAATATGCGACATAAAATACTTCCAAGTAATTAATGTATTCGATTACCATATTCAAAGGCGTCGGAATCAAACAAAACGCATGCGAGACCATGCATACAAATACAATGTGGTCGTATGTTCGTGCTCCAACACACATGACCATGTATGTACTTTGTGTCATCGGTCGACCGTGTAGTTGTACAAAAATTGGACCTCAAATTTTCACTGTAATGGAAGGCTGTTTTGGTATAAACAGGCGTGAAGTCAAGATCGGAAATTTTGACAAGGAATCGCGTAGCATCTAGTACGGTGCTGAAGTCAGTGGTAATGCTCGTAATCAGTCGTAGGAGGCGTACTGTACCAAACGTACCACTACTGAGAGGCTGGACAGATGGCGCAAAAAACCTGTCATAAAAAACCTCCAAATGCATTCATATGCGTCATTCGTAGCTGCTGTAGAAAGTCCTTAACTTGTAATGTGTAAATGAATCTCAAAGTTGAAAAAAAATGACTTTTACATACAAAACTGGGGATGTTTAGGATTACTTTTTTTGGAGAAACTTAAAGTCGTTGAACAGGTCTCTGAAATTCCACTTTTCGAAGTCTTCTTCGGCAGAAATGAAACATATACGACACTAAAACCCAGCTCTGCTCATAACGAACATCTTTGGTTTGAATCATTAGGTAGCTATCTCCGAGTTCCATAAAACGTGTTTGGCAAAAGTTTGGAAACAACTCTTGCAAACAGCCTGCGCGAAACGGAGTCCAGCTCTCTCGTTGCTACGTGTATCTGGACGAATTCCTGCTAATGCGCACTAACTAATGGCCACTGTGAAGCACTCGTGTCTGCCGGTTGCTCAAATCAAGTTTTTCAGGAGCGACTTTCCACCCCTAATTAGAGTGCGAAATTGTAACAAGTCCAGGCACGATGATGACCCGGGGTTACTCTTACATGCCGGATATTTCGTCAAGCTCAATGGACATGGTTTAGAGACTGTTTAAAAACCGTAAATCATTTGACCATCCCTTGAGACGTGACGATGCCTCATTATTTGGGGCAAAATGGGTTGAACTGAAGTCGGCAAGCAATATATTTTTTAAAGATATTTGCTCTGTTCCTTTAAAAAAAATACCGATCTAAAAACGGAATAAAACAAACCGTGTGGCAGAAGTGCAGCTAGGAGGCCGAGTACCCACAATTTCAGCATGGTTGCTGTAGTGATGGAGGGCAAGTCCGAATGGAAATTTATCACACAGAGACACTACTACGCCTTCGGCACATCTACTTGAAAATGACTGAGCTAGGCTTATAGGCCCTACTTATAACGAAGCACCGCTGCAGTTGCTAGATACCAGGCGCAGGCAATTGCCTGGGCACACCGTCGTCACGCTGTCAATCGCCGTACAATGTGAGCAGCAGGAGTATGGTATATCAGATAAATACGACGATTACAACCATTTTTCTTCCGGTCCATTCCCTTTCCCTGGCAATTTTCCCAGGATTGAGGCATTATCAAGATAATATAATCTTTCACACGCAAGCGCTTTTGACTTCGTAGCAGAAACCCAAGCGTCAGTGAGTACGGTCAGCTATCGATATCGGAGCACTTTTTATTGCGTCCTTTATTTAGGGTAAACAAAATTCCATATAAATGCCGATAAAGTTTTAATGAGTTGTTTTTGCTGGTTAGTTATTCATTATTAGTATTTGCATCTTTCGCGGGGCCCCAATTCCGCCACAGATGAAGGAAAAAATCCCCAAACCAAACCTTGGACACGCAAGCGGCTTCATGACGCGGTTTATTGAAACCTCCATTGGGTAAAGTTCATTTCAACATCCATGTATGTTCATGCATGTGCACATCATGCTATATCGCGTGCATGTTGTCCGAAGTGACTGATCTATACACGCTGGAGTGGGAGGAGCAATGACGATTATGTTGGGGGGTGATGTGATTGCTGTCCTTGGTCAGTCTGGTTTGCTCCGCTGGGGGTAGGGGGCTTAAGAGGGCATGAGGCTGGTGGAGGGAGGCTGCACAGCACGTCAATTTAGTTAAGCCTATGAAAATTTGCACTGAACAAATTGTCATTCCAGTAGGGAATTCCACGACACCACGCCCCCCGAAATTACTGTTCCACAGATCTGCTGCTGCACCATTAAAACACAGACAGACAAACTGTTTTTTTTTTCATGTGCCATTTACCCTTTAATTTCACAAATCGTGCCCTTCCATAGTCCTGTGTAGTGATGGCGTATCACAACGTTTACCGCCCTGCATTGGTGGGCTGGAATGGGAGTCATCGGTGTACACGTACACACTGCTATCATGAGTGCGATTATCTTCGTTTCCAAATGACAATTGTTTTTTCTTAACCATCGAATTGAATCTTACATCGAAATTATCCTCCATCACCGGAAATGGTAAGATTGCACCTTTCACTTTCTACGCCGACTACTTGACGAAGACCCAAATTCTCAAGTAGGGCTTAAGAAGGAACGGCGCGAAAAGAGACTACTAAATGCCGCTCGTAATACACAACGCATGCTCATTGACCTCTGATGACCTCCCAATTTCAAAACGTCGCCGGGAGAAAATACCGCTAGCGGCTAGGCTGTGGTAGGACTACGCTCAAAACTATCGACATGGATGACGAACAAGTGAAAGACACGGGCAAGGAATCACCACTACGCATCCAAAACAATGATCTGGACGAGACACTGCCACCCTGTAAGGAGTGTGAGAGGCATTTCTTCTCCAGAACCAACACATTCAATGTGTTTGATGGGGCGGTTGTCCTGATATCGATGGTCACGTTTGCTGCCGACATTGTGACGGGTACGGTACTCGTACGTACATTAACATGACGTAGGCCACAGGCCAGCACTGTTTTCGTTATTTTCATTGCACTGTTACCTTTACCTTGAGACCGGAGGCGAAATCAACTACACGTTCTCTATGCTAAGTTATAGCATTAGCAGTAGACATGGTAGATAGTTGACAGAGAACTTGATGTCTGTATTATTTTTTGCTCTTTTATCGGAACGGCACGGGGGGGGTGGGAACGGGGAGCACAGATGCGCAAACATGGTGGTCATGATCAGATGATAGTCCATTTCTGATTCGTCCATGGAGGTTTTTATTCCTTCAAGGATAACTGATATGACAAGCAGAAGTGTAACAAATAGAATTATTAGAAGTATTTCCCTGGTTCTCTGCTTGAATTATTTTGGCTGTCGTATTCACCTGTTCACGAGATGGGATTCATTTGTTTGTAACTGAAACAATTTAGACTTGTTAGGCCTACAACTTAAATGGGCCTACATGAAATACAATATACAAGATTACGTGACTTCCCTCAAAAATATATTTTAAGTACGTACCGTACTGATGTAGATGCAGAATGGCTACTGGAAAGGCCTCAAACATGTCAAAGGCTGTAGGGGGAGCCTGTGAGTTTTTTAAGTAGCTGTACATGTGTATTCTCTCTATCAGAGATCCAGGAACCTCAAGTATTTCTGCATCATGTCGAAAAGCATGACAGGGGATTTTTCATACGCTAAATAAAGGCCTTAATGATGTCATGTCAAACGCAATAATGTATAGAGCAAGGAAACAGCTTGCTTCATCAGTGTCTGTCTTTTGGTTAGGATGGTGACAGAAGTGTTACAAGACTTCCAAATTTAGTTGACGACATTGTACAATAAATGGGCATTTATGGTGCCAGATTCTGCAACGGCACTAGGCCTTTTTATATGTGGTGAGTTCAATACGCACACTGCCCAGCAAGCATGTCAACCTGGATGTGACCCCCCCCCAACACACACACACTTAGCAGTTCCATGTATTTTCATTTTCCTAGGTGTTTTATTTTTCCATAGACACTGATCAGCTGATACATGTACATTGTACAAGTTTGTCTTTACTTCCAGTGGTAGCCCAAATTCCTCCCTAACCGCTCCAAGCGGAACAAGAGAGGCGTGTTTTTTTGGGTACTCACCGCAAGGACGCGCCATGAGGCGTGCAAGTATATATGTGTGTTCGACACGGAGCACACTGAGCACGTGTAACTAATTTACTCCGGCATGTAGAGTCTTTGCATACATGCAGAATGCTTGCAAGGACCCGCTTGTAACCACCTGTCTTTCTTTTCAACGATTGGGGGCGCACTTCAGCTCGGGGCGGATACCCCACAAGGACTTTTCAAGGCAAATAAAGCCCAAGTTACACGCTAGTCTGGCTCCTGTTTCAAATGCTGCAGATTGCTGTGGTACCATGCAGAAGTGCACAGCATCCAGTCTAACATCCTGGAACTGTAGCCACGACATTAAAAACAAAATCTTCCAGGGCCATGAACCAGTTGTTTATACAGCTAATCAATCATGAAATAGACAAAGCTGAAGCCAAACTTTCAACCAAAAAGCAAACTGAATGAATTTTTTTTCAGATGGCCTGGCAGCAAGTCAATATTTTGTCTACGGGGAACCAGGCTGGGGTTGCCTGACTCTCAGTTTTACCCTGGTTCCCTCCATCATCATACAGTTGTTCAGTGCACGCTGGTACTTAGCTGATGAAGACATGACTGGTTGGAGATGGGTCTTCCATTGCTGCCTCCTTGGACCCATAGAGAGGTACATGTATCAATGTGTACATTTTGCACACCAGCCTCCACCCTCAATCTGGGATTTGTCCTTTTTTACAAATCTCAGACTTGTTTTAATCTTGGCTGCCTCTCAAACTCTGCCATCAATCAATCTAAAATGTTTTAAACGTGAAATCAGAAAAACTGTCCTCCACGGTCACGTCAGACAGTCCAGCAAGTTTTTACGATCCACTCGAATAGTGTTCAGTGATTCATATATACGGTTCCACGCAATGGCTTCAAAATGTTTGTCTTTAAATCGTAGCTCAGAGCTAGCCTGTGGTGGACTTTTCTTTATTTGTTTGTTTGTTTGGTTTTTTTTTCTTTCAATAGATATCTCACTGTCTTTGAGACTGGACTGGAAGCCCGACGGAGCAGGGATCCACTTGACTTTGAGCGTTTACATCACCAGCAGAGTGATGTGAGCATGCTTCGTTTGTTTGAGTCATTTTTGGAGTCGGCTCCCCAAGTTGTCTTGCAGCTCTACATCATGGTCGCGACCAACGATGAAAACCTCTTCACAGGTGATAAATTATGGGGTTCTTTTCCAAAATTTCCCTTTACTGTACATCTAGTAAATTTTTTTTACCACATTTCATCAGACCATTTCATCAGACCAAAACTTGTTTTCCCTATTTTTTCCATACAGGTATAGCCTGTATAGTGTCACTGATATCTCTCTGCTGGGCCATGGTTGCCTACAATCGTGCACATCGCCGCGTAAGAGCGGACAAGAACAGCGTGTCAATAGCTGGCGCTGCCCTCCAGACTATCTGGCGCATCGGAATGATCTCGTCGCGCGTTGTTGCCCTGGTGCTGTTTGCCTCTGCCTTCCGAGCTTACACGTTTTTGGTAGTAGGTAAGTTTAAAATGTGTTATCTTTGATCACTTTCACCCATATGAAATGCAAGCTTTAATACCTGACTGAAAAGACAAGGATTAAAGCACCATCTGCAAAAGTGTTACCCCTGACCAACAGGCTTGTACATGTAGTCAGTTTTTTTAAATGTCCAGGCCAACTCCCTGTTGAGTGTAACATCAATGCTCCATCGTTGGATGTCTGAGTTAATTCTTTTCTCTTGGCTTCAGACTGAATCAGAAAAGATAGTTTGCTTAAGGATGCTACTTGAAGGATCCCTTCTAGTCTGAAAAGATACAGATCAGAAGTAGGTCTTTTCAGCTTAATGATGGTACAATAACATTGCATGATTTGCAAAGTCTGAAATTTCCATATGACCGAATCCCTACTCCTGTTTCTATGTGGTTTTTGGACCTTACAAGATGAGGAATGAGCGAGACCAAAGCTGATGCAGTTGGTATGAAGAGGCTCTTGACTTGAAAAATGAATTGTGAATGTACCTGCATTTTGACTTCTTTCCATGGAGCCTTCCCTTCTAGCACCCTACTCAAGCCAGCAGTTGTAACCATGTGATCCTGCAAACATGAGACATTTCCGTAGATCAGCTGAAATCTGCCATTATTCACTTGCCATCCACACCATCACAATTTGAAAACTAGGACAATATCCTTTGCGTCTCTCAGACTCTCAGTTGCATCCCAGGTTCTGATCTCTGACAACTCGCTCCCTCCCCCGACCCCAGAATAATTTTTGCCGTCCCTTTCCCGTCTGGCCCCAGGGATACACTGGCTGGCCATGGTGGCCTGGGTCTACCTCCAGCAGACCGACTTCTGCGACTCCTGGCTGGAGGAGAGGCTCTTCAACTGTGTCGTGGCAACTGTCTACATTTTCTGCTTCTTCAACCTGAAGGAGGGCAACACGCGGTACCGCATCAGCATCTTCTATCTGGTGGTTGCCGTAGAGAACGTGGCATTGCTACTGCTGTGGCACCATTTTGGGATGCTGGAGGATTGGTACACCTTCCTGGGGTTCACGGTGGTGTTTGGTGGCTTCATCATTGGTGAGGTTTCATTTCTCTTCCCATCCCCGATATCTTATTAAATGTGGTGTCCCGATTTTTGTAAACATTTAATGCAGGTCGAGTGTTGTGAAAGGCAGTATAATGTAGAGAGAAATTATCATTTGAGTTCAGTTGGTGCCGGAATTTTTGGCGTGCCCGTGCTGTGTCTCTACACTTTAAGCTACTATCCATGAAGCGTATGGACATTGTGACAGCTCAAGCGTGGAATGTTGAAGCTGTGTTTTTCTTCTTCTCAACACCATGCCGTTGAACTTGGGTTAAAATATCATGGAATATTGCAAGAGGAGGGTGTGGGCCTGTCAGTAAATGGTATTATTTGGTTTACTTGACGGTCTCCTCCCCTCCCCACAGGTGTCACAACAATGATCTTGTACTACAAATACTTCCATCCCAGAGGGGCCATATCATTCTGTAACAGCGCCCCCCGTGACAAGAATGACATCTGTCAACACGGTAAGTCCAACCGTCTGTCAACTCTCGGTCATCGCCACGACAACTTGGATGCCGAGATCTTTCGCCGCTCCAGGACCCCTTCTCCACAGAACTCCCCTCACGATGAGCAAGCTGGTCACTGCTTGGAGGGCCCATACCCTGATATGGCAGTAACCCCCCATAAGTATTCACCCCCCAAGACTAACCCTGACTGTTTGGATTGGCGAACAGTACCCCCGCTCAGGAGCAAGAGCTTAAGCTGCTTGCTTTCAACAGAAAAGGAATGCCTAAATGGAAGACAGTTCTCACAAGGTACCAGATCGTTACAGTGCCTGGAGGAAACGGGTCGTCCATCTAAACTATCATCATTCCCTCCCCAAAAGTGCCCAGAATCGTGCACTTGTAGTTTTCAAGCTTATGAGCTGTCGGGCTTTGCCACGGACTTGGCAGATAGATTTGATAGGTGCAAAGAACTGGCACTTGCTGAGTCGTTACTGTCCGACGAGTCGAAGTTGAGTCTGTACTCTGCCCGGCCAGGTGCTGCTGTGAACCAAACGCCATGCCGAGCTTGCCTGAATTTGGGGAACAGTCAGTTAAAGCCAATAGCATCAGTTGGGAACAGGTTCCGATCCCGTTCCCAACCAAGTACACCATCAGTCACCCATTGGAGCAGTCCTGCTTATTATGAAATCCACCAATACCCCCACCCCGCTGTCCATTTGGCCACTAGCACTGAGGCCCACCACCCACCCACTCCTCAAAATGCTGTGATTCCAGAAAGTACAGATAATGCAATGGAAATCAGCCGAGCGTCGGCTGACTTGCCTCCAATGCCCAGCTTCATTGATTCCCCTCAAACGGCTGGCAAATTGAATGCATATGAAATCCAGAAAATATATGATCAGATACTTGAGAGGGAGCCCTTGCCCCGTGTCTCTAAAAGACAGTTAAAGTTTGATAAGGATCTTGAAGACTGTCATGTGAATTGCCAAGGAGGTCCCATTTCCAACTTTAGCGAGGCTTTTCAAAATTGTCCCGGGGCTGTTGACAAAGCCAGGCAACCCAAAAGTCAGTTTGGCAAAGACGCTGCCTTAAATATAACAAAATGTAACCAGTTGCTCGATGCAAAACTCAAAGCTTCAGCCAGAACTGATGAACATAAAAAGAAACCTTTCAAGTGTAAACTGCAGAGGGCGGAAAAGCCTGAACACGATGAGAGTGAATCATTTCCAGACATATACTGTGAGCAACTGATAACTAGCGAGGCCAAGCAGCCTGAAAATGAAAGAAGACTTTCAGAATGTGTGTCCAATGTAGCAGACCTCCCTTGCGATTCTGCCCCTGACAGTGAAGACTACAGGCACTTCATGCAGCAGACAAATCCCGGTGCTTGCCCAGAGCTAGGCACGCTGTCCCCAGAGGTTCTTGAGCCTAACCAAATACCACAACAAGCTGGCGTTAATGTCTCCGCTCTTGCTGGACCACCAAGTCCACGAGGACACGTTGTTCCCAATCTGGGAGGAAGCCATAGTACAGTGGCCTGCTTTCGTAGATTGTCGATGCAAGATGTTGCCGAGAACGATACCCTGGTTAACATCCCTGTCGTCTCAAAGATCTCTCACAAGGTCCAAGGAGGCGAAAATATCACTCCTGACCCGATCACAGGCCCCACTGATGAAACCGACATCTATCCATTCAACCAAACTTCTGATCGTCGATCAGTCTGTCCTAAGAACCTCTGCCAAGTTTCCACAGTTGGAAACTTGAAGGAGGAAGACTGTGAAAACCGTATGAACGCAGAACCAGCCTGCGTCATCGAAAATGCCCCTTCCTCTCCCTCACTTTCCCCCTGTCCTTTCGAGCCGATCGGTACAAACGGTAACAAAAGCAACCATCTCAGTCCCACGCAGACCACTCGTGAGCCAAAGCCCCTGGAAGACTCCACCTTTGCCGGTGACTCGCGGAAAAATGGCCAGCATTTCAAGAAAGCACAGAGAAGCGTTCTTCTTGCATCAGGAAACAAGAACCCCCCGCCCGCTCCTCTGCCTGTCCCGAGTTCGCCTCGCGGCGCAAGTCCCAAGGGCCACAAGGCCAGGCTTGGTCAGACAGGCGCTTGCCTGTCGTTGGATGTTCCCATCGCCCGCTCCGGACAGGGCAAAGAGAACAACAGCCCCTTGACTCCCCTGAGTGCCAGGTTGGCCCTCCTGTCTCCCACTCCCAACCCTTCCCCAGCCCTAAAGAAGCCTCCACGGAAATCCCTGGGTAGAATCCCGACCAATCTCGTGGCTGACAAGGTGGCCCTTTTTAACAATTAACTAAATGCGACGAACTTAACAGAAATGTGGGCACCTTGCATTTGGCAATATGCCAAAATGGCTGATGGCAAAACAAGACCACAGTGCTACATCGTAGCATCAGAACGTGCTCTTCTAAACATTGAAATAATGCATAGATATCATTACTGGAAACCAAAACAGAAGTGAAATTTGAGCTTTTTAATACACACATGCAATATTTCCTCGGCGTAGCTTTGCCCTGTTGAAATGTAATTGCAGGTAGGATGAATACATGGTTCATTTCCGTGCGAATACATAATTACCTCTTCACACAGTTATATATCCATATTTTGATGGACACAAAATAAATACTGGTCGGGCTAGTTTGCTTGCGTTTGGATTTGTTTTACCAGTGATATAATCACACGTTGCATTATTCAATTCTAAACACACTTTAAAGTGAAAGGTTCGTTTTATTTTTTCAAGTCGAAGTTTTATTTATTTTGTACAGCGATGCATGCACTGTGCATGGTACATTAGTTTTCCGTTTGTGTCTTTTAAATGTAGGTCCTACCTATATTGTTACATACATCTCTCTTCGACTTTCGCTTTTTACTTGCTTGCCTTTTTTTTCAATGCAGCGACGTATACATTCTGCAGAAAGAAGAAGTAATATACTCTTTCTAGTTGTTTTGACATAACTGTATATTTAGTATTAATCCTACTACATGTACATGTGTTAAGCCGCGCTGTGTACTCTCGATTTCGGCGTATGCTTACCAGGAGTTCCCTGGTTCCCTGTAAATGTTCAATCCTCGCTTCGGGGCGAGGGTGTGTCTGTCTCAAGTCTCCTGAAAAGTGTTCAGGATGTTAATACTTTTTCACACATCAGTTGTCGTCACTGAAGAATTGCCGCACTGCTGCCCGCCTGTGGGACGACAGATATTCTGTAAAACTATTTTGTGAATTGTACAGAATAGATTCACGGGGAAGCATTTTGGCGAGAGAACTAGTTTGTGCAAATAGGCGACTCCACTTAATTTTATGAATTGCACATGCGGCTTGTGGAGCACGGGCTTGTTTGATATGTTTAATGCGCGAAACATGTAAATTCCAAACAGACAAACAGAAACCACGAATTTTAGTTTTGTGCATCAAGTAGTCCAAAGGATAATGTTTATGAAATATGAATTACAGTATAGTGTATTTTGTTCCAACAAAAGTGTTTTAACGACGATTAGATTACATTTTTAGTAATGTACTTGCATGACTCACGTTGATATCTTTTAAACACCCTAAATTCAAGGCTCATGTTAAACTTTTATAAAACCAAAACAATGTGGTCAGCACTATTATTTATAAAATAGGACACCATCTTAAAAAAATGAAGGGACGTATCTCTGGGTTTCGTTTTTAAAGAAATGATGGTATTTTAGAATAGCACGTCTTATTTGTACTGTTAAACAAGTGCAGAATAACGGTATCCGAAAAAATGCAACATGTAGGCCTACGTACATAATACTTGCCATATTTTACCGTAAATGCATGTACACATCGTGTTTAATAACTTAGCAGTTCTGCCATTTATTTACTCCATTATTGTGTCACTTTGCTGGCTAGTGTTTTACGTTAATACTGGTGTACATGTATGTTATTGGGATGAAGTCGGGTGGGCTTTGGGATGGAGGTGTGTTCCACTTAAGGTGAAGGGGGGCGATCCGCCCATTCTGCAGAAATTGGCTGCTCAGTTATAATACAGGGGTGTGAGAATCCACCTTTTTAGCTGATTTCAGCTTTTTCGGGGGGGGTAGATGTTGACCCCGAATTTCAACTTTTATGTACACCTGGTCTGTACAAAAGTATGGGAACTTTTTACATTTCAGCTTTTTGCCAGCTGTTTTCAGCTTCAATTTTAAGTGGCCACTCACACCCCTGATCATCGGATGTGCACCACACATGGTTAAATCTGGCTTGTTTATAGCGTACCCGTAAAAACGCCGGGTAAATATGGGCTTGTTAGCTCCAAATGGCACAAATATTGCACGATATCTGAATAACGTGCCTATGCGAATGGTTCGAAATAAAAATTGTTTATTTTTCGGATAGTTTTTGACATCTGACGGTTACCATTTTCTTTGATTCACATAGAAGTGGCTCTTCAGTTGGTGTCGTTGTTTGTTTGTTCGTAGTTGTGTTTAGCTGTAATGTTTTTGGATTGGGCGGGGTTTCATTTGGTCGTGTTGCGTTTGTAATTGCAATTCTCGGTAGAAAATATTTCAGGATGTGGTCGTCGTGTTTAATATGGAAACCAGAAGTAGTGGTCCATTACGCGGTACAACATTCTAGTTACATGTAGTCGTCGTTTTATGCTAAAGTGGGAACAAAAAGAGGTACATACATGTAATTGTTGTCAGACCGATAGCGAAAATGGACGGCGCGCTTGTAGGAGTAACAGTTCAGCTTGTTTATGCAAGTTGTTTTGATTGAGAACCAAGCCTTCACTTGTACGTGCATTGTGTTCGGGAGTTTCCAGTGATGTTAGTGATGAGTAAAATCCAGTTTCATCAAAACAATGTTCAAGGCTTGGGGGGGGCTTGGGGAAGAGAACTACATGTACATGTACTCTCGAGAACGGAATCAGGTTTGTGTATCGCAATATGTTCCTCGCCTTTCACCTCAGCGACCCAGGTTCGAATTCCGTCCAGGTCTGCATTGTGGATAGGGTTTTTCAGGCCCTGCCTGACTCCGTGGGTTTTCCCAAGAGCACTTTTTGTCCAGGGTTTTCCCCACGTCTGAAACTGAACACTTTTCATCGACCTCTCAGTGGGCCGTCCACGATTTCAGAAGACAAATATAATAAAGCAAAGTGCTTTGTCTTCCGTCTTCCCTCTTCATAAATGATATCGGAATGCCGTTGGACTTTGTCTTATTTTGTTTTATATTTCAGACAAAGCTGATGTCAAAAGATGCCATGGCCTGTCAAAATTTGTGCCCGATTCTGTGGTCGGCCACTGCACTGTGTAATAAGGAGAGCGTGCGGGCGCGTGCTCTGCCCATACAAGGAAACAAACTACTGAATCCAGAAAGAAAAAGTGAAAGCGATAAACTATATTTAGGTACAGTGTCAGAAACGCAGGAGAGAGGTTTCGTGCTTTTCAGGGTTTGGCGGAAGTGTTTGGTAGTTTCAACATGAATTATCGCAGAGGGATTTCAAACCCCTGTTCAGTGCAATGCAACATGCCGATTGTGCTGTGTGTACAACATGTAATTATGACTAGGTCTAAGTTTAACTTCGAATGAGCCAACAGAGAGCGGAAAACAGACTTTGTCGTGGATATATCGGTCGCAGATTTTTATCGAATCCGTCATCATTCCGCAGTGTTTTGTGTTTGGTGAACGTTTCTTTTTGCGCGAAGGAGTTTTCAAATTTTGTCATCTTTTGGGGTCAGACTTCCTTGGTTCGGAGCATAGTCTGGGAAAAACTTTAAGTTTCTCAGGCGAGAAGGAACGTTGCTTGATTCTGTAAGGGGGCAATGACGACGCCTCTGATAAGCCAAGGGTGTTACGCTTCAGCCATGGGTAGTTTGGATTGGCTGGACACTTCCTATAGCCCGCTTCAGCTAATTGAAAAGTGAGTACACACCTTGCTAGCTGCTTCTTTTTCGTTGTAGTTGTGGTTGTTAATGCTGTCCTCGCTGTTAGCGTTTCTGCTGTCATTGCTGTTGCTACTGTTTTTGATGCTGGAGTTCCTGCTGCTGCTGCGTTGCTACCGTTGCTGTTGCTGCTGCCGTTGTAGATCATTTTGTCGCTGCTGCTGCTGATGATGATGATTTCATTGCTGTTTTACAGCTATTTCTGTTACTGTTGATTTTCTACTGTTACTGCTGCCGTCATTAACCTTTTTTTTTGGTTTTTTCTCTTGCTGTTGTGGTAGCTGCTGTTATCTTTGGTGTTGCTGCTGCTGTTATTGCTGTTAGTGCTACACATACAGGACAACAGCAGTCCCGTGCTATCCTGTGGAAACCAATTTGATTTAACATCAGTGTTACATCATAGTTTTTGTAGTGTATCTGTTGTTAGATTGCCGCAGTTGATTTGCCGTTGCTTTTGCTGCATTTAATTCGATAGTCCTGCTGTGCTGTCGCTGCTGTTGTGTTTGGATGTCTCTGTTGAGACCACAACCCTGCTGTAATGCCCAGTTCATTCCTTCAACCTTAGCATCCCCCTCGGTGCATCATTACCCATCACTGATGTCATTCATAATGCATGTAAAAATGACTGGTGTCGGATTACCGCCAGCTGGTGCCGGCCACGGTGCACTACTATTGTTCGATCGAGCCATTTGACAAGAATAAGTAACGCAAATCCAACACTGCCGTGTTTGGGGTCTGCTTTTATTGTTCAAAGCCTACGATATTTCTCTGTAGTTGGGCCTATACCTTTCCGGTGACTGAAAAAGCTCAAATATCATCTGCCACCGTGCTGTTGAAGAAGTTACAGGCTAGACACCTCTGGCACTAGGTGGCGCTGTTCACGACCCCCCATCCCGTCCACCTTCACCCCCTAGCAACGCCCCGAATGCCTCCAGCTACTCACATATAACCATTATTTTCTTGACTGTAACTTATGTCCCCAAATGAAATCTAGTTTAACCTCACCCTGCACAGGTACAAATTGCCCACATTGGTCCGACTCTGCGAGGGTTACTATGGCAACACAAGTAATTCCTGCTTTTCGGCAATGGACGTCATCAAACTTCACGAAATCCAGCGTGTCGATATGATAGTAGTGAAAATATCGGTTAGTTAACTGCTCTCCTCTGTATTATTTCTTTCCACGCAAAATGATGTTATCGCACGAGTGAAAGTGAGGTCTTTACTGTCGAAGAATGGTTACACAGGCATTTTGAAATACTCCTTTCGCCATCACTTTAGTCTAAGAAATAGCATTGAAACACGCCCATCTGACGCAGTTCATGGATCATTTGTCTAAATAACTTTTTTTTCTGTCTGAAACTTTATTGTGTCACGACAACAAGTTACATCATTGCACTTTCATTTGAACTCCGTGCACTCATCTAAACCCTTTGATTTCTAGCTAATAAGGCCCTTTTGGGAACAATTTCTGTCAAAATGTAGCAGGAGGTAGACGGTAAGTTTGAGGACGGCCCGGAACCTGTTCGTCTCTGCTTCCCAAAGAACTTCGCCGGCCGCTTCGATCCCATCCACCAGGCTGGCGAGCAGAGCAGCAACAAGCCGCCAAAGTGCTTCAAGACGGTGCGCAAGATGGCCGAGATGACCCCCCACTTCATCAAGGTCAAGAAGAAGCCGTGTAAGAAGGGGGAAGGACCGGACAAGGACGACATCCTGGAGATACTCGGGTTGGCCTTGTGCGACGCCTGGTGGGAAGATCGTGGATTCTTGAGGTAAGCCCACTGAAAGGTTCTCTGTGGTGTTGTTTGTTGTTGTTGTTGTTGTTGTTGTTGTTTTTGTTGTTGTTTGTTTGTTGTTTGTTGTTGTTTGTTGTTGGAGGAGGACTTGGAATTGCTTCCGAAGCAGACAATCTCGCAAGAGTCAAAGTCATGTTACTGCTAGTTTCTTTGACTCTCGTTCTCTCTTATTACGAGACCTAGGGGACCTCAAGAACACATGCATTGTAATCTGGGGCCTGGAATAAATGTATGATAAGACACAATGAAGGAAAATATGCCACTTCAAAGCAAAGCAATAAGTTATTTCCACGCGGAAATTGCAGCAGACCAATAAACTGTTTATATTGATTTAAAACTGTAATCAGGCCCACTGAATGCCTCCGGTAGCAATAAACAGGTAGACTCTTTGCGCACTGGGTACCCAAGAAATCAGGCAATGAACTGAATACAGTTCACCAGCTCTGGGTAGAGATCAAACCTCCGGTTGCAGTGTAATGAAAGTGGGGCCGAGGTGGCCGACTGTGACTCACTTTGAGCATGATTTGATTTTCCCTGACGATGGTGATGGTTGTTGGACTTGTCCCAGATGCCGAAAGCTGGACGGCGAGGAGGTCATGTTGAACCTGAAGTGGGGAGGACTCTACGAGGCCATTCCCGATCCGGAGGGGTACACCTTGCAAGACATGCTCAAGCGCTTCGTGTTACCTTGCAAGGTATTATGGACCTGTGTTGCCAAACATGTTTAGTTCCCGGTTGATCTTAATGCTGAGGACAATCCAAGAAAGAGTCTGTTCAGTTCTTCATGCCTGGACAACATCAACGAAAATTTATTTGTACAGTGTATAAAGCTGTTCTTGTTTTTATTTCCATGAATTTCCCCCTTTAAGGACAACATCAACGAAAATTTATTTGTACAGTGTATAAAGCTGTTCTTGTTTTTATTTCCATGAATTTCCCCCATTAAGGGTAAACTTTTACCAGTCCTCTACCTCTACTTGAATATTGAATGGCGATGGTAAAGTAGTGGCACACGGACTGGTGAGACTTTTATCATGTTTAAAATGCGCAGTGTGACAAGACATTACACCGAATCGTGGATGAAACAGCTGGGGGGAAATTGCTCTTTGAACATTATGTTCCAAGATATCAGAGAGGTCCTCATGCGTCGGTTTGTGACCGAGAAGGGATCCAGATAATATGACAGCAGTCAGGATTTTTCACCCAGTTGGGTGAAGTGGCCCTTATTCAAACCACACGGATGTCACATTCCACGGTCCTGGTTCCTTGTGAATCAGATTTTTTTTTTTAATATCTTATCCTTGTCCCCCAGGTGACCCTCAGGGATCCTCAGTCGCATCTTCGTCCCGAGTCGGACCTGCTCAAGTTCCTCCCTGAGATGGAGGGAACCCTCGTTCTCGAGCGGGAGATTACCCACGAGTTCCTGATAGGAACGGCCGTGGACACGGCGTCTCTTGCCCAGAATCTCGGTAAGCGGGCACAACTTTATGGCAAAAGGCCTTTTGTGAGTAAAATTTGAATACAATCTGGTACACCGAGTTCTCTTAATTCACGTGAACATAACAATTTGAATTCTCCATACTGAAGAAACTGCTGCTGTACCTTGTGATTCGGAGCAAGTCTTTGCAAGAGACGCCTTTCACCAATACACTGTTTTAATGGATAAGAAGGGTCATTAATTGGCGTAGCTAGGTTTTTACTCGTGAGGGGCACAAGGGGGCACTAGTACCTTGGGGGGGGCTCACCAGCTTTCAGTGGTGTGGGTTTTGGGGGGCAAGCTTTTGTTAGCTTTGTTCAATAGCCATCCATCCGTTTTTTAAGTGGGGGGCACCGGGAATTTGTGGGGGGCACGTTCTCCCAAGCCCCCCCCCCTCCTGCCCTCGTAGCTACGCCACTGAGAAGGGCACAAGGAACTTGTCCCGGCATTCAAAAGCTTGCCCCAGATCACAAGGTATAGCAACAGTGTCTTTAGTCTTGCGAATTTAAATTGGTTTGATTACATCTACTAGTCATATAACTCAACGCACCAGATTATTTAAACTTAACTGTAGGTCTCTGACTGTCATTCGGAAAAAGGGGTAACTTTTGCAAACCAAAACACAAAACTGGGTTGGGTGCCAGGAAGTGCCCTTTTTAAGCAGTATTCGAGAGAATAGCAAGCCAAGTTATGTTCCAAAATATGAACTTTGAGTTTAATTTATTCAAATATAAGTTCACCCTAATTCACATGTGAAAAACTCTGGTTCGTTATGATTTGAAGTTTAATCATATTATCGCAGAATCTCATCCCTCATAAACATTTTTGTCTTTGATAATCCAAGAATCGATTTGCACTTTGTATCTGAAGGACTCAATGCGTCCGTCAGATATCTATTTGCACTTTGTATCTGAAGAACCCAATACGTCCTGTAAACTTGAGAATAGAGGGTTTGCATGGCTACCATCTTGCAGGCCAATCTTTTTGTTCCACATGGTAAGCACAAAGGTTTAGCTGTGTAAAAGAGAACTGCCTGCAAGATGGCTACCACGTAAAGCCTCTATATGCTGAACTTTAATCCAGCCCATGCCCAATCAGGCATGGCAGTCCAAGGATGGATTTCAGTGCGAGCAACTGCAGGAAATTCCATGTAGGAAATGTACATTGCCAACACACACATTCCCAAAACCAAACATGACGTGTCTTTTTAAACTGAAACCGAGCCGGAAAACTTTTCCATGAATTACAGCATTTTAATTTGGTTTAGCAGTGCACAGAGCATCAGGTGTGGGAACATCGGCAAGGGCCCGGTCATCGCGACAGCAAACAGCCGCCGTGCCCTGGGTGGTGCTCACCAAAAACGCCAACGTCCTGTTCCAGATATGCCAGGATATGGTCCACAAGCGGGCGACTTACATGTCGCTGCTGGAGATGTTCGGCGACTGTTGCATGGATAGAATACCCATGGTCAGTAATAATACGCAGTTCTGTCCCAAAATCGTCTACTGCAGCGGTTCTGGATTTTGTGCCTCTCATTCCCAACACTCAAACCACTTCCAAATTCACACTTTTTTGTCTAATGTAATTCCAACAGAAAAGTCTCTTTTCATTAGCCGATGTCACGTGGTGTATGTACACCATCAATACGGCCGATGCACAATAGTGCGCCTCCAAGTGTTTGCAACGCGTTGGCCAATCACAACGCGCGAAATCTACCAGTCCTTCTCAAACGCACAGTGTGGTCGACAAATTTCGCGTGTTGTGATTGGCCAATGCGTCACAAACTCTTGGATGCGCACTCTTGTGAATCGCCCGTATTCCGGTCCTTCTCACTACTAACATCTAACAAAAGAAACACAGTTCACTGACAATGAGTGTCCATTGTTCTTGCGCCGTGCTTCATTTGTTAGATGCTCATAGTGTCTTTTGTGTTGAAAATACACGGAGTCTCACGTGCGCGCGTTCGAGTTGCCATCAGTGCATGCCGTTTGATATCGCATTTTGAGAGCGGCAATTCAGTCTCACGCTTAACCAGCACAATTCATAATGGTCAAGGTTTTTATAACTTAATTTTATACCTTCAAAACTTACATGCATACTTGCCCCTTAGACAGAATTGGACAGACTGTTGCTTCCAGAAGAATACGAGTCCATTGCCAAATGTATCAGAGATTTTCTTTTACCGGGGAACATTTTTGGAAACCTACTTTGCATCCTGTTTGGTTGGTTTTGACCTTTTTGTGCTTCATGTCCGCCCTCTGGCATCTCCCAGTTAAAACTCCAGTAGGAGTAGTTTAGAGGAACCAGTTCCATGTACCCGTATTTTGTACCCCTTTCCAGGATCTCTTTATCTGTGAGTACGCCACACCGTTCGTTGCCTTTACCCGGTCGGAGGAACCACCGTTCCCTACGGCGCAGCAGACGGATGACGCTCCGTGTGTGGCCAGCAAACCGTCACACAGCCGGAGCGCGCCCGATCTTTCTCGAGGTAAAGAGAAGAATGCTGTTGGTTTGCATCGGCAGAATAAGTTTTTTGAAATCATGCCGAGAAGACAGAGCTGATCCATTATGTTCAAAATTTCTACTTCTGCTTACTTCAGTAGTGGTCCAGAGTTGGTCAATTCCATGCTCATTTTGCGATAGTTTTAATGTTGGTATGTTCAGCGGTGTTTATGTCCAATTTTTTATCCGTTTAATACTCGTTGAATATTCTTTTCAACTCTTATCCTGTCAACTAGATTACCCCTCGTTCAACTGAATCACCTCACTCTTAAAACAACAAAATAAGGTCAAATACGTTTACTTCAGAGTTTTTAAGTCTAACAAACTGCAAATTGAGTCTGTGGCATTAATAGCTTTTAATATGTCTAATTCATTTAATATCTGTTAATTAGCACCTCAAATTTTCGATACGTGGCCTAGCACGCACCTTAGTAATAAATTAAGACATGGTGTCGATTGTTTTTGACATTATTAATAACCAAGTGCACAAGCCAACCCAGTATCGCCTTTTGATATGATCTGCGCCATAAGTGTGGTTTATTACGTGACATTCGAAGATATCAGGGCTGGAGCTGTTTATAGAGTGAGTAGCGCCAACTTCAGACATTGGAGCCAAAATGGCTGTTCATTAGTGCAGTCTAGCATAAAGTTATTGTGTGCCAATTGTCCATGTGCAGACTCATAAGCCACCATTTTGGTTCCAGTACTTGAGACATCCATGTCGCAACTCTATCTATGCACAATTCTGATCAGGGCAAGACAGCAGTGTTTTATGCGTTCCAGGTGAATCCTTTGGTGCCTGCAATAATGCATTCGACGACCCAGCGGACCACAAAGGGGCACGGCCTCTGCGCCCGGATCCCGAGGTTGAGAGGCGGATGAACCAACGTGAACTCCCACCTCTACCCCCTGAAGCAGACCCCTCAAGGATGAGCAAATTGTTTAGCGGGACAACAAACATACCAGGTGACCCCCCCCCCCAGTTATTGGTGCAGCAGGCACATATTGTCTCCAAGTTTTAAGCATCACTGAAAGATAACAACATAATTTGTGGGTTAAAGATGATGGATATTTTTACTTTGGTATCGCTGCTCTGAAACGTTCCATGGCAAGAAAGAGCAGGATCAAAGACTGTGACAACCGTGTGGGACAGCCAACTGTAATTGAGCTCTCGAGTCTCCTGCAGAAAACCCATGCTCACGCATGAGTTACTGTCGGACCTCTTAAGATGGCGGCTGGCGACTTCAAGCTTTTGATAGAGCCAGCATACAGAGATCAGTGCTTTTTTGCAAACCAAGCTGACCTTTGCGATCACCATGTGTCAAAACCCCCCAAAATCAAGCAACTTCCATAAAAACTCAACTGAGGCTTTTCGTTTCAAACTCCTAGACAGGTCCCCTTCTCTTCCTGTTGACAATGTCAATCTTTCCTCTCTATTTTCTCGATCGTTATTTACTAAGGTCGTCAATTGGGAACGCTGGCGCCAATTATTCGGGAGTACAGCCAAACCGTGCAAAAAGATATGGTAAATATCAATATCTTTGTAGACTGTTTTGTCTTTGAAATAAAATTTTTAAAAATGTACAGTATGTAAGGTTTTTATAGGCCACTTTGTTAGAAAAGATGTCTTTGCTACAGAGGGCGTCTGTGATACCCACTTAGAAAGGAGAATTAGAAAATCTGCAGTCAACTTGCAGGACCGCGAAGCTGCTGGAGGTAACCATAAGTTGCATGACGATGGACTTGGAAAAATTTACATTTTTGTACAAATGAAAATGTGATCTGAACAGGACAAAGTTGGAGATGCTTGCATCTTCGTTCATATGTGCACTAAAACTTGTAATTAGCAATTAAATACAATCTTGGGATCAATGTGTCAATATGTCTACAGAACCCGAGCAATGTGCGTCCTTTTCCTACGACGTCAGTGTTTCCTTACACTACCGATCATCGGTCGTTTTGAAATTGAGTTCTACAAATTCCAGTTGTGAATCTGTCATTGTCCGATTCACGGGGCTCTGTTCAACCTCGAAGCTTTATATTTTGGTTTGATTGTAGGCCATCCCGATTCTCGTGACAACAGCAGCTGATAACGGGAATCATGAAGATGGCGACCACGAAAATGGACCATATACCAAGCCGATCGACCCCGAGGGCTACGAAGCCATGCAGCTGACCTCGGCATCGCCATCAACGTTGAGCAGCTCGCCCCGCGATTTATCAACCCGCGCCAAGCCCCACATCAGTTGCATGACCATGCCGCTGCCTACTCAACCCCACCCCGACCCGCCTCGTGGTTTCTCCTCCCAGCCGGGCCACACCAAGGTGGAAGAGATCAAGACCACGGTCAGGGGCGCGGCGTCCCGAGACGCGCCCCCAAGCCGCGAACCCCCTCCTCCACCCCCGCGAACCACGCCCAGGAGGAAACCGTCCGACGTCGGTCATCTGACGTACGGGAACATTGAGACCGAACTCCTCAAAACGCCCTCGGAACCTAAGTCCACCCCGCCTCGTCCCTCCCGTGTGCCCCCGGCTCCTCGACCTCGCAAGACAGAAAACCTCAAGAGCCGCAGTTTCCACCAGTCGTCACACCGACGGGACCTTCGGCTAGCCAGCCCGCCTCACGATTTACCTTTCTGTACCCGGCCCTCGTCTTTAACCACGAGTGACTATCTCAAGCCTCGTCCCCCAAGGAGCGGAAGGGAGACGTCTAATCTCCCACCGCCCGTCAAGTCACTTTCGTTGGGGTCTATTATTGATGAGCTCAGTTCCTGTGACTCGCTGGCAAACGATGCAAACACGGTAGGAGTTTTTTGTTAACCGCTCAGCCGAAATTTATACCTCTATTATCATGTATTCTAAAGAGCCATTGAGGAAACCTGCAATGTACAGTGGGCATTCTATCAAGAGCCACTGATGTTTGGTATCCGCCTTGAGCAGAAGTGTCTCCCCATCGGTTGGAAAGAGCCATGTTGGTGGGGAGTGCCCATTTTGTAGGTTCCGCAACGCCTGCGTTCCATATTCATTGGAGAAGTTACATGGGCCGCTTTCCAATACCCAACATCGTCTCTGTCACAGGCTTCCTGTTGGAAACCAATCCCCGACTGTGGGTGATTTAGCGTTTAACTTAAATTGGAGTACTGTAATGGCTCTTTTGCGTCTTACTGGATGTTTTGTGGCATTATCAGACTTACTATTGCGCTTACAACCTCAAAGTTAGGAAGGTAAAAAAAACTGTCGAAACCTCAAACGGAGCCCAAGTCGAGTATTGGAAAACGGCCATGATGTACCACGAAAGGAGCCTCTGTTGCTAGAAAAATTGCGCCCTCTCTTGGTTCAGCTAGGGGCTGTTCATAGTGGAGTATACTTGGTCTCAGTCGGGAATTTAATTGTTTTTCTAGCACTGACTGTCAGATGATCCATTTTTTTATCAGCTCCAGCATTCAGATGGTATAAATAACATCAGAAGCGGCCTTCTCACTTTTTACCACACGGGAACGAGTTTCCCTCTGCTTCAAAAAAAGTTCCCAGCTTAATCTGTGACCGTTCTGCTTCGCAGGTCCGCGAAGCGCCTGTGCAGTGTCGCCCAGTCACGCCCTGCAAACCTACCCGTCGCATCGACACCGTCGACAGCATCCCGTCCGACATCAGCACGCTGACCAGCTCCGAACTGGCGCAGTGCCTGCGCCTCCTCAAGCTGGACGAAGAGATCGTCACCCGCTTTCACAGCCACCAGATCAACGGCTCGCTCTTGGTGCAGCTGTCCAGCCAGACGGTCCGGAGCGAGCTGGCCCTGACGGACTTTGAGGCCGAGAAGTTGGACGCGTTTCGGAGAGGTTGGAGACCAGATTCAGAGGTTTAAGGCATGAAGAACAGAAAACCTCTGCCGAAAGAGACAATAACGCCCCAAGAGACCATGGTCCCGTTTGTTTCACAAGGATTTGGTATACTGGATCACGATCAGTGATCCCAAAGCTGGTTCGCACCATCCATTAGGCGGGCTCCGGTGTCAGTGAACCAACGACGAATCACTGATCCAGATTCTAATCCATGTGGAACAAACAGGCCCTGCATAGAGCAAACGGTCTAGTTTCTGTACTTAAACCGAACCAATATTGCATAAACGTGTACAGATGAACTTATTTCTTATTCTTGCAGTACATGTATGGCGTTGACAGGGTTCCTGCGGCCTGGTAAAGTCTTGGAAATTTGTTTTTCTTTTTCAGGCCCGGAAAAGTCATGGAATTTTGTAAAAAATGACTAAAGTCATGGAATTTTGTCATGGAAGTCACAAAACACTGTATGATTTCTATTATCAGAAATAAGCGCATAAAATCTGTGATTGTATATTTGCAACCTAAAAGGCCGAATAGTCCAAGAAATTGCGTTATTTAGTCGTGGACGTTGAGTTGGGCCCATTTTGATTTCCATATGAAAGCGGTCGTATATTTACAGTGTAACCAAGAGACACTTTAGTGGTTAAGAGTCCTCCATGAGCCAGTTATATCTGTGTGCCTTGACAAAACCTAAGTCTGTTATACTTCACTATGGCTACATTCTGGAAACGATCAAATACCAATTTGAAACCAAAAAACCAAAGCAAAAAAAAGGAAGGAAGAAAACAAGACTACGCCTCATAAAGTGTGGCCTTCACCTTAAATGTGTATAAATTACATAGCTCGCTGTCACAGATTATATGCAGAATGATAACCTACTCACACGCCTAGCTGGTTATTCCTTGTAGATTTGCAAAAAAAAGATCTGTATAATCAAGAATGATGTACGTTATAACTGGGACCTATAGTCACAAGTCACTAGAGCTACTTTAGAGTTATTAGCGTTTTGCTAAACCTTGAACAACGGGAATCAATCATTTATTCCGGTATCTTACTTTTGTCGACTTGCACGTATTATGACCTATGCCAAACTACTTGACGGATCAAAAGGTAATGCTTTCTGGGCCTGTTTGTCTCACACGGATCTTGATCTCGATCAGTGATCCCATCGTTGGTTCGCTCTATCCATTGGGCGGGCTTTGGTGTCTGTCAACTGAGGATCACTGACCGCGATCCAGTTCTGCTTTGAACAAACCTACTGAAACATTGGAAAAGTGAGTTAAGAGGACTTAAGACCCTTTTTTTAAAGATCCGGTCACAAAACTTATATTTCTGTACACTCCTTCGTTTTTCCTTTCCTGACGTTCAATTTACTGTACAACAACGCCTTGAAGATGGATTTTCTGTACACATACCAGCTCTGTGTTTCGCCATACTAACGATTTTTTTTCCTATCCTAGTCTTGGTTTGTAATATCACGGTGCCCGGTCGTTGCCCGCGGCAACCTCGTGCCCAGATGGACTGCTGGTTATGCAAACACGACCCTCCACCCGCAGGGGTGGTATACGCCCGCCCGTGTCGCACCCTGGCCCTCAGGGGACAGGGTCCATTGTAACACCGGAAGAACAGATTCCTGGGGGGCAAGGGAGTTATGCTTATTAGCTGAGAAAAAATGGACGGTTTTGAACTTTAATCGGACACGTGCGCAAAGCTGAATTTTAGAAAATAAAACTAACGGTAAGAGTAGATGTTCTCTCTATTTTAGGTGCACGATCGTTGATGAAAGTAAATTGTATCTCAGTAAAATGTGTTTAATATAAAAGCTGTCATGTGGGGGAAATTCTAAGAACAAGATAATTGGCGGATTTTTCTGTTGTGTCGGTGACATTTTGCAGGGATTGTTGAATTCTATAGGATTCAACAGCTTTTTAAACACCTTTTTGTTGGCATTTGGAACCCACAAACAGATACATCATCCGAAAAAAGAGACAGAACAGAAATCAGCCGCGACTCAGCAGCGGGGGACTTAGGCCTGACAACTGCCGTTCATTCATCGCAGTCGTAAAATAACGCAGAGGGACGGCAGACCGTGAAATGGCAGCGTAAATTAAAGCCACGATTGGTGGGCGTCCGACGGCGCGGGAACGGCCAAGGCGTGACGAGCTATGCGCGTTGATCACTCGAGGACGCGGATTGCTCGGAGTTCAAGTTGGTCACAAATCCCTCATGGGAGAGCTTTGCTCTTGTCGTCCCATGCTGATCGATGAAGGTTTATTGGGAACATCGCATTCCTAAATTTCTCGAAATGTGGTTACTTCCACTCGCTTGCTTGGCACGGATGTGTTATCTTCAGTTTTCTTCTGAATCTGCCTTTAATCTCGGAAAACATTTTCCTGTTCTCATACCGTGAGTTTACTAAAGTCAGATATTTTATTTTCATTTGACGTTTTCACCTCGTTGGGAATCTGGGAAACCCACGCTGTGTGTACCTTTCCTGACATCGGTCCGACTCCATCTTTTTATTTAATTCCAGCGCTCTCATTTTCAAAAGCAGAGATTAAAGGGGCCTGTCCAGTCTTGTTCACCCATGGAGTCAGCCCAGCAAAGATAGAAGTATTTTTCAATCAGTCCTCCTTTGGAAGTGATATTTCGTGTTTTTCCCCTTTAAACAATCGCTCTGTCCACTCCCTGTTGTTGCTCATATTACCCATCACCGCTGATGAATTCGTACTCGCCGGCCATAAATCAATGTGAGAAAAATTATTTCTGCATTATCGCGCCAGCCAATTAACTGCATTGGTTTGGAGCCTGGCTGCGCGTCATGGATGTGATCTCCCCTATCGATACAAGCCAGAATATCGCGTATTAAGATGAACTTAGTTCATTGATCGATGAGATTTAATGAAAAGTGTGGATTTGAAATCAAAAGTATGATTGATATCCGTTTTGTATTGTCACCATTTTTCAAAAAAAAAAGACTGCGGACTTTACCTCGTCATTTTCTGAAGCATTTTGTTATATCATTTTGATTAGGTGTTGGAAGGTCCAAAGTCTTGGGCGTGGTGCGATCACCCCACATAGATTTTCATCCTATGCGCTTCATGGAAATATGTAGAGGGCGCTGCTAGCATTGCTGATATAAGACATGGAAACATATCGTTTAATATCTAAACTCTGTCAGTGAATTTGCAAGTTACCAAGTGACATTTCTCTGGGCACATGCGCCAGAATTAATGAATACCGCGTCGCTGAAAATATGGACGGTTAAGAAGACATCGTGAAACGCCTAATAGGCCTACTACTCACTACAGTCGAATAATCAAAGACCAAAGCCCAATTGCTTTTAGTTTCCCAATTATGACAGGGGTGGACAGCTGGTTTCAAGATCAGCTGCTAATGAACACAGACTGGCAGAGAAGTCGTACTATTTTTTATTCAGATTCCAACGGGATTTTCAGCTCTAATACCGTTTGGAGGGCAGAGATAGGAATGCGGTTTTAAATGCCTATTTGTTGAAGACTGCGTGCCTAAGTTCCACCCATTGTAAGCAAGACAACAGTTCACAGGCCAGACAGTCAAATGAAGCCGCGCCGAGCCGACGCGCTGTTGCACTCGCCCGGCCTTCGTCTATGCATTGTGTACTCCCTCCGGTGCGCGCAGCGGCTGGGACCAGCCCGGTGTGTACCGTCGGGCGGCTCACTCAACACGGTAGGCACGGCCGCCTTTATTGGGACCCCGGCTGGAGGTGACAGTTGCAGCCAGCCGAGATGATGGATGGCGGGACCCCGTTGTTAATCGCCGAGGAAGAGAGAGGTTGGTCCTCCCAAGTCATCTGTGACTGTGCTTGGCAGAGAGGAACTAGGACGGGGGAAATTAGCAGGGAAAATGAAGGAATTGGAAATGGATTGAGGAAGAAACGGTACTTGACATATTCTGATCATGCCGATTTGAAATTGACTTCTTCAATCTAAATAGCTGTCTACGTTGAGTTTCTGTTACTTAACAGTGATCATCAAACGATCAGTTTTATATCCGCATGCCCTGATCTGGACTTTTCTTGTAGGAAACTAGGAGACTAAAATTACATTTTTGGCTCACCGCATAGGCGAGCCTGTTCCCCCAAAAAAATCTGCTGTCTTTGCCAATGATTTCACGATGCTTGAGTCGGTACTAGAAGGCACGGCCCGAGACACGGTGTCCCCCCCCCGACCCCGGCTCAGAAATCTGTTAAGACTCGGTCTTGGTTAGCGTTTTGACTGTGACCAAACCCACTGAGTGCCACCTTCCAGAAAATGAGGGCTACCAAGTACCCCTCGCAAAATGTACCCCAGTTTGGCCACTGCCCCCTTCCCCTGTTTAAAAGGCAAAACTCGCGTTATTTCAATCTAGTCAACTTTGGGGGCAGATATAGCATTTTTGAGTATGTACCGCGATTCCTAAAAAAAAAAGATAAAACTGAAAATGCTACGCCTTTACCATAACATCGATCCCGACTGTTGTGCAGCAGGGGGCGTGCTAACCGTAGTTGGGATCAGCCTGATCAGTCAGGACATATGCTGCTGCTTGGACGGGAAAAAAGAAGGGTTATAGGATACAGATTGGAGCATGGAACCATCTTCAAGATATTAATGTTTAGAGAAATTGTTCGGCTGTGAACTATGCAGAAGAGATTCATTGTGTTTACATTGGCAGATTTTTTTTGTCCCTGAGTTTCTCAGTCTGTAACCGAGTATACGACGGTAACCACTCTGGGTATGTACGCTATTGCCAACATGGATGGTAGCCTAAAAATCTTTACACGTATACCATTCTTTAAAAACATTAACAAATCACTTCTAAACTCACTTTTTTCCTTTATTTATTGGTTAATTAATTTTCCAAGCGCCTCAAAGTGCAGTGAAATGAGTAATTAATCCACGCGAGCCCTGTTTCCTGAAATAAAAAGACATAAACTGTACGATCATTTTAAGGTCGACCGTGCACTTGGCTAAGCCCGAGGGGGTATGCTTACGCCGTCCCTGGAAGTATTGTATTGCATCGCACGTGCAGCTGCACTGTGCAAGCTCACCCTCCATGTGTTGAGCTCTCTCGACCTCCCCTCTTTGAAAAATGCAGTGACCCTATCCTTTAGCCCCTCCTGATTGGTCAACGGGTTGCTTTTACCGTGTCTTTCTGGTAGTTAAAACAATGCGAATGATCATGGGGAGTTAGTCGTTAACGTGGCGATATTTTCGACTCTTGCCTGGTTAGTTTCGACACCGTCATTTTGCCGGAAACGCTGCTTTTGTGTGGCAACGTCGGAATCGTAAGATTTATAACACCGATGGTCGGTCAGTTTGAGTTGATCCGCAAGCAATTAAGAGATCAGAATTAAGAAAAAAATACGTCCGTTTTACCATCTTTGCAAACGATTTTGACTCGAAATGACGAAGCAGCCCGAATTATCTCTGGACGCTGATCAAATGGATGCCACAGTACTGACCCTGCTTGGGGAACAGAATGACACCGGCCATGACAACACCGAGCAATCCAAGCCCAAGAAGCGAGGACGAAAACGCAAAGAGCCCGCTGACACCCAGACAGAAGCGGACCCCAAACCCGCCAAACGCGGCCGGGGCAGACCCAGCAACGCTTCGGCGGCCGCTGCATCGGCCGCGGCCGCGTCGGCCGCCCGGGCCGCGGCCAATTCTTCCCCGTCCTCCTCGTCCGGGTCCGAAGTCTGCAACGCCGCCCGCGAGCGTTCGCGTGTCAAGACGCTCCGTGACGCCTTCCTGGATCTTCAGAGGTCCCTGCCCTCTGTCCCTCCGGACACCAAGCTGTCCAAGCTCGATGTCCTGGTCTTGGCGACGACCTACATCGCTCACCTCATGAAGACCTTGGACGGGGATGCCGATGTGCCGGAGTTTGGCTCTTTATTAAGATCGGGGCGAGAGGCGAGAGGCAGCGGAAGCAAAGACGGGGGAGACACTGGGGCAAACTTGGACCACAAGCACCGACTCAAAGCCGACGGATACCTCCACCCTGTCAAGGTCAGAATTTTGTTAATTAATTAGAAGAAATAATAGTTTCTATGCAGGAGGCGTAGTATTACTTACAGATCAGTTTAAGAAAAGCTCATTGCAATTTACTCAAAACATGAGAGCTTCTACCTACTAAACAAAACTAGCAATTGCCAAAATGTTCGGTACAATCCCTAAATGGCTTTCTAAAGTAATTCACCTCTAAATCTGAATATCACAGACGTTACGGATATCATGCCGTTTCACCCTTCTGTGTCTATTTTGGTGACAAAGTTTCTAAAAGCGTTTCTGTGAGTCATTCTGAACACTTGTCGTTCATGAATGTATACAGAGGCCATTGTAACTTTTAGTTCAAATTCTGTCTTGTTACGGCTCGCAAGTTGTTGTCGGAGGAATTAGCGCCTGACCGTTTTTATCCGTGTCTTCTTTGTAGTTCTGCAGTGTTGACTATTAAATTCATATGCTCTCCTCGTGAAGTGCAGCAAACCGTTTTTCCAGACGTCGTTGTTTGAATGCCGTTTGTGTAGAAACTTATAACCATCTCAAGCAACTTCAAGTTGATCACGGAAAAGTTTGTCTTGGAGCTTTTTCGTAATCCTATCCTGTGAACTCGAAATAGACAAACCCATTGCGGGTTTAGTGAACCATGAAACTGCATGCAAAACTGTAACAAAACTAGGCGAAACAACAAGGTAAATTGCGACTTTTTGGCATAATATTCAATGATTATTTGGGACAACCAGTGGTCTAAGAAGTGATAAAATGAACAGTTGAACTCGATCTGCAATCTTCTTTCTCTACAAATGATACACTGACAAGCGATCCAACTTTATCTCGATCCATTATTCAGCAGCAGTCATAAATGTCTCAGATCCATCTGAAGTCAATATTTTGACAAAACATTTAAGTGACGCTCCGAAGGTTTATGGTCGCTCTGCCCACGGCCCTAGCTCTTTACGGCCAAGTGCGAATGATGTCTTTATGTACATGTACACCCGCGCCCGGGCAGTAGACTTGAACTCAAAGTTGGTCGCGTAGTTTATGCACAGCCACGTACCGTGCGTTACCCGGACCGTGTGAGGTGACCGCAAATAGGCCAGTTTGGCCGGCGGGCTGTCATCGTCTTTCAGCGGCTCGAGCTGACGCAGAAACTCGGTCTTGGATCAGGTGTAACTGCGTTGCAGTCTCATACACTCCCCCTACACCTCTGCCGTGTTAATCGTGACTACAAAACGCGATATTCAAAGATGGCACCTTGCATTGTGAATGATACCATGGAGATAATGACTTCATCAGATACAGGCTAATTGCTACGAAAGTAACGCTATACTTTGTATATCAAGTAGTCTTTAATATGTTAAATCTTTGTTACCTCTGTCATTGGCGTATTAAAATGTGTATTCGAAATTGGGGGGATGACCTACCATAGATATTTGACAAGCGAGAGGGGCGGCACACCATATACACTATATAGGGGGCGATGTTCACGATAAAGACGTACATCTGAAATGTTTATCAAATTCACGCAGAATATTACATCAGAATGGCACATTTATTGCTTAGTGATATTTCAAACATTTTAGTCTTTAGGAAATCCTGTAAGTTCTTCACAGTCAGCTTTATTTTTGTTTGTGCTCATCACAAAAAAGTGGGGGGTACGTGATTCAATGGCCCACCCCAACCTCAAAAAGTGGGGGGGGGGGTGATTCAATGGCCCATTCCCCACCCTCAAAAAGTGGGGGGGTATATATCCCCATCCCCAGGGATTTACGCCCACGACCTCTGTATAGTTTACTGACACGACCATGTATACATCTTTATGCATATCTATCGATCCCTGAAAAATACTAATTCTATTCATCATATCGAATTATAAAACATTCATCATAGTGGTAATTTCTTTTCTTTTCTTTTTTTTTTTGCTTTGACACTTATGCGCAGCCAAACATGGCTTTCAAAATGTAGGCTAAACAATTTCTTCTGTTATTTCAGACATTCACAATAAAGTGATCTATTTTAGCAGAAAATAAAGCACACCATTTTTGACTTCTTTTTCGAAACATTGGTTTTCAATACTTTATAATCAGCTACCTCGAACAGGCGATGTCAAGAATGACATTTTACCTAGATTGTTAAGAAAATTAAATAATCAATTTGAACTTTGTGTTCTGAGGATTAATATGCAAATCACTATTACAGCCTACGGAATTTTACAAACAAGTAACCTCGTACACAAGGCGAGGTTCGCGGGTGCTATTTTCTCTAAATCGAGATCTAAATCTATTTTCTGACAAGTTTTCTCATTTTAGCGGCACATGCTGAAAAGTAGGTTTCCCAAATTAAAAAAAAAATAAGGCCAGCAAAAAATCCCCTTCCCCCATAAAAAAAAAACTTTACCTCAATCCTTTCCCCCCAAACACTGCATCTGACGCGATGTTAACTATGGAGAGCAATGACACCCTCGGACGATTTGCAAGAGCTTGATTCGTTTTTATACCGATGTGGCCGCTCTCAACTCGGGCTTGTTGGAACAACCCAAGAGCGGTCTCGAGTTGTCATCGTAGTAACTTAACGGCCCTCGTGTAACCCAGGCCTGTCGGCGGCTCCTTAAGTTTCCTAGGCGGTAGTTTGCTCTCTCCCTTCTCATCTCCTTTCCCCTATGAGGTCATTCCACTTTCGGTTGTGATGACTTTGAGTTTCTGTACAGTGTAAGGGCAAATTATGTTATCTAATATCCCACGGAAGATGCGGAAGGGTTCAGAGATTGAAACATAATCTATCGCACGGCTTCGAAACAAGAGCTGGAAAATCCCTTTCTGTAGAAAAATTGACACTGTTACCAAATTAGGGCATGATTTTTGCCCTAATTTCAATACAAACAGAAACTTTAACATGATTTACGTCTGGTAATTTTAACTTAGTAGCCTCAAGCTTAGTGGCATGAAACCAACACGAGCTTTGCAGTGTGATATAAAACGAAAATTTGAACCCATGGTCAACCGTATTCTTGAATAATCAACAGGGTTTTATAAACGACCTATTCCAATCTTTATGGGAGTCTGAGATTAAGTGCTGTGATTTCTAAGAATTTGAGTCTCTTTTTATGTTGCAATTGATATGTTTGGTTTTTGAACGTGCAGGCCCCTAATAGTAACAGATTTTACCTCAATTTCACCCTGAAACGTTTTCATAGCGAAGCAAAACAATCACTGAAGTATTTCCCTCGAATTTATCTAAAGATAAATCATGGGAACCACTGGCCAGGTGTCCGATCAGCCGGCGTCTCTCGTGCCGTGGAATGGTGTCTTCGCCCCGGGCAGATCTCAGCTCGTTACACGGCAACAAAACCACTCACCGGTCCCTCAAGCGGTCTTTCTGCACGTGCGCCAAAAATAGACTTAGCTTTTTTTTTACCTTGGTAATCAAAATAGACTCGTAAAACGAGTGCAAAAACAAAAGACCGGTATATATCCCCCGCCGGTAATTGCCGACACAGCGTGCCGCTGCTCTGACGTGCCCATGGCTGCTTTTTAATTAGACATTCTACTAGAGTTGCCAAATTGGACCTCCTTCAAACAAATCACTGCACGTGAGTTTAAGTTGAACATTTTCTTATAAAAAGCCGACTTTTTGCCCGTCGTTTCTGCCGCGCGTGTGCCGAGAGCCTGCTCCGTGCAGGTGCGCGCGAACGTGTTCCCCAATGCACTTGGCTTGTTCGTATTTTAGTTCCTGACATCTTGTGCTGTTGTTTTAAGACGACTGTTTCAGGGGAGAGGTTAACAGGAGGGCAGGGTTGCCCCAAGTGAACCCCTGGACCCTGTTTTAAGGATCAATGAACTCCGAATTATTTTCTACACTTGATGTTTTTCTTTTCCAAAAAGAAAATTCCCTTTTTTCAGAGCAGAAATTTGGAAGGAAATGGGAAGCAAACATGCTTCAATTTTGCTACAGAATAATAGTCAAAAAATAGTTTTAAAAGTGTCCCTAAAACGTCAATATTGCAGATCTCGCAAGAAATATAATTACCAGATTGCAAGCAATGGTCAGGAGAAACCGTGGTGTGTTTTTTTTTTCAAAAATCTCCACAGAAATTATAAAGACGTGTTTTAGTCGAAAGTCGATTGTTTCACCCAGATTGGTCGAGTTCGAGGTCCAGTGTGCTTCTTCTTTTAGTTCAAGGTTTTTCATTGCCCTACACCTGAGTGGACTGTCCGGTCACTAGGCTCAATGTCAAATCGCTCACTGAAGTTTTACTTTAGGCGAGGTTACGGTAAAGGCTTTCAGTCGAGCCACTTCTGGGGTGTCTTCTCGTAAGACCGCCTGATTTGAAGAAAAACATGCACACAATTGTAATGTTTAATGAGACACTTTCTGACTGTTATATCACTTTTGCCTTCCGTTTTTCAATATCATGATAAAGGGGACGATGAAAGAAAAGAAAGATCTTCACATGAAATTGTTTCTCCGAAGTGTACATGTTCTATCAGAGCTCAGAATACTGTTCGGTCACACCCCAATTTTTTTTCTAGTTATACGTCTATGATCTTTTTTAACGCCAGAACCTGATTAAACTCGACTCGGTAAAGTAGTCTCTAACAGTGCACTTTGGGCCTCCGTAAGCATCAGTGTGAGACACGTTCATCAAAACTTCATTGGGCAAGCGGCTCGCCGGCTGTCCTTCCCCAGCCGTTTACATTCGCCTCCGGACCGTACACTGTTTGTTTAATTTCGCGCTGTTCGTAAGCCCGACGTTGACAGATTCGCGGGGCCGACAAATTCGGTTAATGGAGCAACATGGCGGCCCGCCAACAACATGGCGAATGATACAAGGAACGGTGTACCAACTGGGTCATGCGCAAACAAATAATGAAGAGAGAAAATAATTGCTGTAAAACTCCCTCGGCCGAACTCGACTCATGATTTTCCTTCTCGCGGAGTCTGTTTAGACAGACGCATCATTAGTACTCCACTAAAAGACAGTTATACGTAAGATAAACATTAAACAACTT